TTATGACCACAGTATGGCTCCACAGTATGTGCTCTTATAGTTACCTTCATTATTCTGGCGACTCGTCGCAATGGAGTAGAAGAAATAGGACTCCTTTCCAAGAGCGAGGAGCTTGGGCGAAGGAGGAGAAGAAATAGCGAGGAGAAAGTGAATGAAACAAGTCGACCGAGGAAGAGCGAGGAGGTAAAAGCATGAGAATCTGAATTGGACATTAGCACAAACCGACCGACCGACAATGGTGGAATCTTCTAAGGCTGAGTTGCCTTGTTGGGGGGGGGACCCAAATTATGTCTGCAGGTTAGCTCTGCAGGGGGCTATATACATCTGAAATCCTTAAATTGTGCCTCATACATACCAACCATACCATCTCAACATCTCCCCTTTGATCTTAACATGCACCATCCAACCAACCAACCAAAACACACTTTACACCATCATTAACCTGTGTGAATAGAAGAGAGAAAGCAAAGTAACAAGTTTCTCTCTAATTCAATGTCCAACTAATTTCCATATTCCCTCCTCCCCAGTTAAACTTACCTCGTACAATGGGAGTGACAGAGTCCTTATCATTTTGTCGATTGCTTTTCTAACTCCCCCCAGCCACACGTATTATGTCCGGCATCATTCCAGGTCGTAAAATTTAGTTGCATATGCTATCATCCTTATCTGCTAATAAGGTTCTCAATTCAGTGTTCAATTCAAAGTTTGTGGGTGACTTGAGATTTTGTGAGAAATAATGAGAATAAGCAGACCGCATGGTGAGAATTAAAAATTAAATCATTGCATTTCGCCCATCCTAGTCGAGTTCATTCTCGATTAGTTCGACATCTACATTACGCATAACATCAGAAAGTTAGGTCAGAAATAGAATTGTAGATATATAACAAACTGGAGATTTTAAGTAATCTGTTCACCTACCATTCTTACACAATTATAATGGATTTCTGTAGATGATATTACATTTTTTGCTATTACGAACTGAGATCAACTGCAAATAATCAGATTAAACTAAAAAAAAATAACGAACGAACAAACGAACTTGCTTAATTGGACTTCAAGAGTTTCTGAACTGAGGCAATAACTTCTTTAGTTTTGGCTCTAATCTACTTTCCTCCTGGTTTCATATAATAAGAATAATAATAATAATAAGCATCCGCACTCCTCGCCAATATTCATTTCACATGATTTCCCTTCCAAACTCCATTCCATTCAATTGTAATTAGCCATGGAGTTAGCGGAGCATGTCGTTTCAGTTTACGTAACGATAATTCTGTAAACAATACACATACATATACTTTGGGCCAATCATTATTTCAACTTAAGGTAAGATTTGGGCTCGTTACGTAAATTGCCACGATAGTTGAAGATTCTTTGGCCTGGTTTCTTTTGGAGAAACCCTATTTGATTGTTTCACCAGAACGGTACATACATATGCACATCTATTATACCTCGTCTCTCCGTGTTTCATATTTATTCCCACGTATTCCGGAGTTGTGATTGGTTTTAGTTTGGATGAAGAAAACTGATGATGTGCTATTACCAACCACTAACGAATTCTGCAGGTAAATATCTGAGGTTGGGAAATGTGAACGGTTGACTAATTTCTACATGCAAAACAAGGCACTATTGAATTCATCTCACATGTCGAATTCGTATTCAAAGGAAATTGCTAATTTCCCATTGAGATGGATGGAAGTGAGCCCCTATGCACCTTTTGCTACCCGCTTACCCGTCAGCCCTCCTGCTCGGCGCAGATGACGACGACAAATTTTCAAAGGAGAACTATACACACTTAGCTCAGGCTTTGGACTGGTACACATCACGAACGTTGTAAATTATTTTCACGTCTTTATTCATGAAGCTAAAAATCCATTTGCATCCTAAAGAATTTTAATTGGAATTAAATTACCAAAAATTCCTTGCAGTTGAGGTTACAAAGTTTATTCAGATTACACAACACGTTGCTATTGTGCACTGCACCAATACCAAGTCTCGCCATCGTAACCTTGTTGAGTATTTATATTGCCTCCAAGTACGCAGAGGGTATGTCTTTGAGGAGCATCGTGTAATATCATGATGACACAAACAGTTCCGGGTGGTGAGCAAATGTGAGTTCATTACTTTGTTGAGACATGTTGAAGTGAAGTGTAACAATAAATGCTTCGTGGTTGGCCGTCGTCATTGGAAAACCTGGCCCGTGATGCATGTTGCTGGCACATTCGGAGTCATAAACAAAGACGCGCACACACACAGACCGTGGCTCACGAGAGAAAGCAATCACACAGTGCTTTCTCCCAGTCGGAACGGGGCTGCGTTGAGGCGAGATGAGATCGCTCGGATGCTGCTCTCGTTTAGAGGCTGCATACAGAGTCCCAGCTACCATTTAGTTGCCACTGATACTATCCCCTCAAATTCTCCCCGAACAATTTGTGCGGAATCAGATGTGTAACCGTGGGAGGGAGAAAGCAGGAGATATTAAATCTGTCGTGATAATAATACTTAACGCGTAGCCAGCAGAATGTCACCGTACATTAAAATTAATCATAACCCCACATAAAACGTTTAATATAGATTTATGTTTATTTTCCCCTCAATTTTCGCCTTTCTGGTGTGGATGGATGCATAAATTGTAGAATGTCGACGACCTCGAAGTAGACATAAGTACCTAAGAAAAATGAAATCCTGAATTTTATCCACAATTGAAGTAGTATGGACACATCCTAAGTAGTTGTACTTTGTATAAGCACATAATATGCACGTATGTACGTATCTGGTTGGCATTTAGATAAGAAATGTGAAAGAATTACTAGAGAGGAAATTGGGAGATGTGGATTGGAATGAGAATATTATGTTGCTGTATTTAACCCAGTCGTAGAGTTTTGCCATCCAGAGCCTCACTTTGGAGAAAGTGGAAGCACAGGGATGTTGTTCTTGTCGTAATTTACTGCAGTGTGATCTAGAATAATGTTGTTGCAAGTTAATGAAATTTAGGACTTAATATGTTGTCCTATATAGCTCAACCAACTCGGAGCAGTAGTAGCCGATCTTCTATTTGTGTATGTATTTCCAGGATTAGTGAGCATTTGCGCTTGAATTACAAATCTCTTGCTTTTACAACACATTCCGCACACGAATAGCGGCCTTTCCAGCCCCGTGACGTGATTGCTTCCTTCCGCTCGCTCAGCCTGTGATCTGACTGTCATGTCCTTGTTGTATGGTGTCTATCCTCCTACATAATTGAATTGTCTCCTTCTCCTCGTCTCCCCTGCTCTCAAATGTGCGAAAATTCGTTCACCTTAATATTAAAAGGAATCAATCACTCTGCATAATATTCCTATTCAATTTGCATGATTGAATTAGCCAATAATAACGATATACAGGGTCTGACTAGCAAAGGTTGCCAAAAAACGATTATCAAGCTGATGACAGGATAATAGATTTGAACTCGACTTCTGCGAACAATCGGTGATGCACTGGACGCTAAAGAGTGACAAGAGTGGTGTGGCATGGGACAAGTAAGACACGCGAGTCGAGTAGTATCAGAAATATATTGGAATTATGTCTTGTTTTCAAAGTGATGTATCTGCCATAGGCCAAATTGTCTGCGAGCAGATATGGATTATAACTGAGAATAATGCGAAAACATGATACATACAACAGTGCCAGTGGTACAACTATGGGCCAAGGACGAAACATTAAATGGCGTGGGATGAAACAGACGGAAAACTGAATTTTATGGCAAATGTTTCTTTGTAATGTTGTGTTTTACTCTGACTAAAGTAACTCAAGTCGAACTTGTCAGGCAATTTGGCCACCCCTCCTTTCAGCTCGTTGGCTCTTGTCCCACGCGACCCAACTACCAATGCGGACTTTTAGTAAAATTTTCCTACAAGAATCCCATGCTTTTTATTCTCTTTCCTACGTCTTCCCAGCACAACACGACATTACAATTGTGGAGCATTACGTGGAGATATTATGCAGCAGCAGTTCGAATGGGGGATCATTAATACAAATTGGGCCATCCTAAATAAATTTTTAATTTGGAAATTGCACGGTGAATGTTAACGATGACCTCCTTTTCGTCTCACGATACAATGCTCACACATTACGACAATCAACCAGAAATAAGGAGGCTATTTTTACATATAGCTCTCTCACTCGCATATTGTTAAAGGTATATGCGCATCCACAACTTTTTCCATATGATCCATATTACACTTAAATTGGCAAACCTTGTACTTATCATTATTATCATTCAATACGCTCTGCATACATGTTTGTACACGTAGTTTGACATTTCCTCAACCATAAGTAAAGTGTTTATTAGAGCGTTCAAAGTTCAAAAGGGAAATTTGTCAATGTTATTTCGATTTCACTCCTATATTATTCGTAGTGGGGTGGGGACCTTGGAGCTGGTAGGCATAGTGATGCATGCGGATTTGGTGAAATAATCTGCGAAGAATTCTATTCCAATTGAAATGTTCACATGAGGAGGAGGAGGGGAAATGACGAAGGCCAAAGGCATTTATTCCCATACGGACGACGTTTGACGTTGGAGAACCATAGTTACACATCCGCATCAAAACCCACAATCATCCAAACCCTACCAGAAGTAGTAGTGGTGTGGTGAATGGGATTAAAATAGGAGGAAAAATGTCTAAAATTTGCAACAAAGATGAAGATCAAACGATTCTATCAAATCTCCATCCATTGTCAGTTAGATTCATGCACAAATGTTTGCTTGGAATTTGGGCATTAAAACTAACAGTTGTTGGTTTACAGATTATGGTTATCGTATGTACATAATCATAATCTGATCTCTATACAATAAAGCATATATATTATGAAAGCGGATTAAATTGGTTACAATTTTGGATGTTCTTAATAGCTCTTATACGCCACGCTATGCAAAAAATTATTTTTATGGAATATGTGATTACTTTGTTGTGTTTTGAATAAAGTATTTTATGTATTTACTACAAATTTTTATGAACTTGCAGGAAGCCAACACCTTTAAAAGACGGAACAGGTCCACCGAGTAAGTTACTGAAATTGTATAAGTCTACTTGCACTCTAAACGATCTTGGTTCCAACCATACTTGGACCGGTTTTATGTAATAATACAAATTTCTAAAAACAAGCCATTTTCCGACAGGCGATCACCTTTTGCGTTTTCTGCTTCACTCCTCGCCCGATATTCATCCCTCATGTGCTAACTGTGATAACAAGAGCAGAGCTCCCATGTACTATTGTAATACTTGCGGTAAGTCGTTCCTCTGTTCATTAATATCTCATTTGCCCTGAAAATCGCATGTGTCGTCACAGCCCCTGATTCTACTTAAAGTTTATGCTTATAAGACATATATATCAAATCTCTATACATATTTACAAGAAAAAATAACGGATATAAAATTAAAATTCGTTTACTAATGTTGTAGAAAAACTGGCCTCGGCCTGCACCGTTGAGCCTTGTTTTGTACAAACAGTCTCACAAGCCCCTCGAGTATAATTGATTCATAGTGACACTCTCCGAAATCCAATCTGATCAAAGCTATTAGGAGAAAACAAAGTAATCTTTGGCACTAGACGGGATTTTCTGGAGGGCAGAGCTGAATAGATCTCTCTCTAAGTTATTTTTTCCTACAAAATGCATGTGTATTGATGTGATGGCACTACGAGAAGATAACTTTCTCTTCCTTTTCTCCACATCCACATCTTTATCCTTCGTATAACAATACATAAAATACGAAGAGCGTGCAGTCGTTACGCTTCCGAGAGTGAGAGAGTGCATCAAACCAAAACAACCCGTATGAATTTGATCAGATCTTCAATCTACTCCGAGACACATACACACATAACTACAAACTGACTGGGCCTATTTTTTATCAAGTTGTATTGTATTGTCTGAAACCTTTTTGAAGGGAAAAAAATCATGCGCGACATACATGGAAAGAAAAACACATAAGTTTACGCCGTGCGGCTTTCACCCATCCTTCCACTGATTTTATCTACCAAAGAAGCTCGTCCGCTTCTACATACCTTTTTATTCTCAATGTAGATACGTGCAACTCCTTTCGCTTTTGTATCAAGAAGTCTTGATAATCTTGGGTAAATGTGCTCACTTCACTCAACTCAGAAAAATATGCATTTTACTCACTAAAAATTTCTCAACGAGTCCATAATTTATGCACCTTCGCACCTTTAAAATTTCTCTGAGTAGTGTGTTAAATCGCGAATCGTGCCGTAGCATGTAAGTTGAAGGGGCTTGGGCTGAGCAGATAATTTGCAACTGTCCAGAGGAGGGTTCCAAGAAACGTGGTGGAATTGGGCAGGGGGGTTGAAATTTGATGTGGAGAGGAGCGAGCGAGAATGTGTAGACAAGGAACTTGGAAGACAAGGGAGTGGAGAGGTCTGATAATAATGCCGATCCTACGACTGCCAGCCAGTTGATTTCAAGTGAACGTTTCCAGCCAGACGACTAAAAGGATGGAATGATAATGATTGGATTCGAGTCTGTACCACTGCTTGCTTAGGCCTCCTTTAGGTCCAATGCGATGATGACTATCTACATTTCGCCCAGAACTACTACGCAAACACACAATAGTTGCCAAGTGTGGTACTTTTACCCTTTATCCCTGACGTCCTTCTCACATCGAGAAACCTGCCGACTTGAAGAAGGGTCTCTCTCTAGACGAACACTATTTACTTTCCTCAAGCACGCCACGCACTCAACACACCCAATTAAACACTATCCATTTGCAAAATCTCTCCAATTACTCTCTCTTATTTTCAATCAGCCATGTTTTTACTCCATTCTTCAAGTATTTATCTAATTCAGGCCGTGTGATCGCATAAAGCTTTCTCTGATAAGTAATCAAAATGAATGATTAGAAAAATTGAAGCTTCGCTTTATTTTTACAACAGATGCTGTGGAACAAGAACCACAGCATCTGGCTCACTGAAAAATGAGACACATTTTTGTATAGTTTTCCTGGTCGACATTGGAGAGGATTGGTTCAAGAGAATATAATGTGTGTGTAAATCACATTTTTCATCTCTGTTCCATTTTCTTGTCATTATCTCTTTTGTCAAAAAATAGGTCAAAGTTTATTGCCCAACTGTCTGGTCTTGTGATCTCCAAACAACAATAAGACACTAGTCGAACTTTTAGTAGTCGTACTAAACGAAAAGCTAAAGTTGCTGGCTGTAATCTGATGCAGTTCGTACTTTCACAGGAATAGCAGACCGAGATATCTAACGTAAATTGCGTACGAAAACTGGATATTACTCTTCCTAATAATATGCGAAACATGACTTTCTTTATGGATATGTATTACGATAACCTTAGAAGGAGTAGAAACTGTCGTTGCACAACACTATAGAAAATCAGTCAGAGCCAATCAAGCTTGAAATCATTGGAATCACAAAGAACCTGGGAAAGTGAATAAAAATTTATAGAGAACAGGATGCCGAGAAAATAAGGGGATCAATGAGAAGTGAAAGTGGGCGTTGTGTATTTTAGTCGTGCAGAAGCTGGATTCTTTGTGCAGTGATTGATCAAATGCAAACCTATGTATTCATGGTGGATGTACATACACGTAACCAACTTGATTCTCCTCGCAGCAGATGATGAGAGATGCAGCCAAGGAATGTGTAGCAAATGCTCACGGTGTGCCGCAGTGACACCGCTTGTTTTATCTATATTTAACGTAATGGAGTCTGATCCAGGAGTAAATATTTCATCAGATCTCACACACAGACAGGTAGCGTTCCTAACTTTTCACCCACTACTCAGATTGAAATCTTTGCTTTGTATTCTTGTCTCGTCTCACTTTTATTTTATATGCATTATTATTTTAGCTTGAATTTGGGCTGCCATTATTTGACTTTTACTTATCCTGGGCGAAAGTGAACTGATTGGTTTGCTTGATTTTTTTTGTCGGAATCCAAAACCATTGGCTTTTCATTCCTGGGAGTGGTATTCTATATTTGGTAAAGCCACTGCCAACTCATTCCGCACTGAGTGGATATTGGTTGAAGGCAATTTGATTAGTGACTCCTAAGCTACATCCACGCCACGCCAGTCGAGAAAATCATGCCAATACAGATATCTGAAATCTCTGTTTGTAGTCAGAAGTAAATCTGAGCCGCACCAAGTCAGTCAGCATAGCAGATTTCGTCCTATAAAATTGCTAATGTAGATTCGAGGCAGGTCACAATACAAGGGAGCGACGGGATGGATGGCAAATTTATAAGGGTTGTGGGTTAGTTGGATGATATGCTCCTCTTCTGTTACTATTACTTTACATCATTTCGATTTGTGAAATTGCTTCCCAACTCGATTTTGGTCCTCATTCATGTCACGAGCAGTTGGGCCAACTCGGATGCACATCATAACTAGTTAACCAACCAAGCCAAACATGTTCCAACTCTCTCTCCCTCTCTCTCTGACAAATAATGGTGCGTGAAATCAAAAGTCGATCCTTCGACGTAGCACTTTGAGAAAAAATTAGATAAATTTCAGGTCAACTGGAAAATTTGGACTACTTATTTAAAAAAATGTTTATCTTAAATATTTGCATTATTTTCTTCAATCCTTATCTTAAATTGGGCAATAGTTATATGTATTTGGGTTTGATATATCAACATCCCGCAAGTTACAGTGCTATGTAAACTTAGCAGTTGCATAATATTCCTAGCACTTTTTTGATTTCTCCGGATTTCACAGAGTATTTGCGTTTAATAAGAAGGATTTCGCTTCAAGCGTCACCGTCTTCAACTCGTGCAAATCCTGATTGCTTCATTTAAGGGCTCAATGAACTTTTCATGAGTAAGTAGGACATCCGGTTATTTGTCACACAAATTTATTTTATACTTAATTTTGCCAATCACTACTGATTGCCACAATCATGGAATTTTTAAATTGGATTTTCCACTTTAATTTTGTCATTTGTCGTAAAGATATAGCATACATAGATGTATACACCTATGTGCATGCATGCATACAGTAGCCCACAGCACTATAGAATTGTTACGATTCATGTACACGCACATATACTGCCCACCATTTCTTTACGCCAGACAATATGTACACGTATACCTATTGTCTGGCGTAAAGAAATGGTGGAAAGTCAAATAATCGCAACAATAGAAGTCGTAGAATAGTGGGCAGAGTAAACTAATTTCAAAGCAGAACAAAGAAAAAGACAACCGGAAATTGGAGATTTTCTCGAGCTAAACAAAGAAGAGTTGGTAAGTAGCTCCGTAAGCTGGAGAAAGTGGATACGATCGCTGATGTACCTTTTATGTGTGTGTGTACGTATATCTGTGGTTGACTCGTGATAGGAAAGACGTATGTATTCCTCCCTGTTTGTTGAGATCTGGTGCAAGAAGAAGCGGAAATTCTTCAGCTACTGCTTGTTCAGTCCGAAGAAGAAAAATATTATTTCCTTCTGGGCCATTCCACTCGGCTCTTGGGTGGCAGGACTAACAGTAGATTGCTTGATATCTCAGATATACGTAGTACTTATAAATATGTATACGAGTAAATTTTACAAACTAACGCATGTCATGACATAATAAATAGTTCCAATTTTATCAACGGTCGCAAAAGTCAAGTTCCCGGATTATTAAAAGCACACACATCGTGGAAAAGTTGAACGCTTGAAATTACACAAAATGCAATTAAAGTCAGAAACATGTCAGTTAGACATGTCTGAAAAATATCTCTATTAAAAAATAATCTGGCATGACCACCGCCACTCTGTTTTCTACGTTTCCCAGTATATCACTTTTCGCAATAAAGATAAACGAAATGTTTTTTTTTGTATTTTTTACTGCTCTGTGTTCATCTCGTGTGGGTGATTTTGCTGGGAACCCTGAAATCTGTGACCGGACAATGGTCTCGAAATAATATGGAACAACAACCAACTTCACATACGCTATTCCACGAACGACTTTGATGTGGATGTTGGGATTTGGACTCTGCTGTTGAACAATATAAATGACTCAATTGCGTCTTTCCTTGAAATTGATCACCAACTGCAGGACAAGTACTTTGTAACGGATGCAGGGAAGAAACCCATCGTGCCAAAATGTTCTCAGTAAGTACGCAGTATTGACATTGGATGGATACCATAGCTCATGAAATATATATCCACTCGAATTCGTGCTCAGCTACCAATTCCACTCTTTATTTGTATTTTCAGACTCACGACATCATTCCAGTGTCCAAGTATACGAAAGATACACCGAAAAAGGTAAACCCTTGTTGTGCTAAACTATTAATTGTTCCCGTCTTAGCGTTAGCAGTTAATATTTATTTATATACCTACTAACACGTACTTATGCACATGTGCTAGGAGCATTATTTTTATTTCAATACAAACAACATGACAAAATCGAGGAGGTACATCTGGCACGGTCACAGTCCGTCCTTATTTATGGCTTGTTATTTTCCAATCCATCCAATTACTTGAAATTCATTGACAAAAGTTTTATAACAAGTACAATAGCTGAATAAGCTATAATAAGACTCTGCTCTTTTGACAATAGTTTGTTGTAATGCAAAGAAATATATATGTTTTAAATCCCAGAAAGCTTAATTTGATATCAAATAGTGGTGGTAAAAGAATAAAAGGGAAAAGAATTGAGCATAAAAAGGTCTCCTCCTCGTATCCCAAGCAGTCCAGGCTAAACTTGAAGCGTCTCCGTTGAGCCATTTCCAAATCGAACCATAAATACAATTGAATTTAAAGGGAAGGGATTTTCAGAACCGTTCTTGCTGTGATTGGAAGAGAATGGTGTGGAAATACAAATGCTCCTTCTGTCCGAACCCATCCCAATTATTTGTATTTTCCAATTTCAACTTCCTCCGTTCCCGAGAAAGAGAAAGCGACAGCGAAAGAGAGACAGACGCAGAGAATTCAGAAAATTGGAACAGGAAGAACAACTTTCACGCGGCCGGAAACCCTTTAGGGGATTGTATACGTATTTCCAGTTGGGTGACATGCATTTTTTCCACCGTGCTCATCCCCCAAGCCAACTACAGATATTGCATAGAAGTAGCAACTCTCTTTTCATAATACATATGTTCCATTTGTACATTTCGTCTGCATTTCGTTTTCTGTACATTGCGCTCGTTGACAATTTTACTCCAACCGTGGAATATTTAGAAAATATTTAGGGCATAGATAATCGTGCAGAAATGTTGGAAAGCGAAAACAAACTATGCCAATTGTCATTAGACCAAAAAAACAACAAATTCCCGTGTTGCACTACTTGTCGTTGCATATCTGCACCTCTGCTTGGATTCTGAGAAAGTTTTCTGTATTTATTAAACCGTGAAGAAAACTGCATGCCTATCTAGAAGTTGTAATGGGTCGGATGATGGAATTCTGGCTGTTATCTGTTTTCTGCAAGGAGCTAAATGTTGTAATATGCACATAAAATAAATGGCATTATTGAATGAATGAGGGTTAAGAGTTTAATAATGAGATTTAAATTACTTTATAAATTCCTTTGTCTAATCAAACTTATCTTTAATTATTTTTCATGTTAATCTATTCACCCATTTCCCAAAACAAACAAAAGTGCTCAGTTCACGGCGAGCAATTCATTGTAAGTTGAGTTGTAAAATTGTGTTGTGGGTTTATTCTAACAATGCATATTTAGTTACAAAAAACGTGTACTTAATGTTAACTTATGCAATTTTAGATGTTCTCAAACCTACAAAAAACAATGCTTTGTATAAATTGCTACCGAGATACGGCCATGGAAGGCCGACTTCATTGCGTCGATCTGGAGACGGGTATTGCCGATATTTTATTTCATTTTCTAAGGAGAGAAGATTTTCTAACTCTTTTATCCTACTTTTACAGCTTATTCACAAGGGTGTAAAAAATTGGATCGGGCTGTCATGGTATGTCACTTTCTCTGCCTTCCTCCAAACTGCATACGCCAACAAACAAAGTTTCCCTTTTCCTCAGACCCAGGTCAAGTGGAGACAGGCAACTAATGATTTAGGATGTGTGAGCTGCCTGCTTAACTAGTTATCTAGAAATGAAACAAAAAACATTGGGTTATCGCACGAAAGTCGTTGGAAAGTGCACATTCACAAGAAAAAGTGCTTCAAGATAACTGCCATATAGATATTTAGTTCATTCCCCTGCGCTTCCTTGTCAAAGTCATTTTACGGGCACTCGAAATGTATGTTGATTGAGTTACCACATAGACGAAATTGTTTCAGCCGTCTTCTTAGAATGACGTTGGGAGTTCTTTCCTGATCATTATTTCTCTCATTCCAATAAATGGTGACAATTTAAGAAGTAACTCGTTGACCAGGCAGTCGTAGTGTCATCGCGATCTTTTATTGACACGTGACAATAAGAAGGAAGCACATAAGAATTGAGAAAATCATTCAACTTAATTTTACAATTGGACCCTGACATTTGACTCCAACTGCAAAATCGGCAATATGAATGGTATCATTATTAGGACTTGTTCTACTTGATGCCCTTCCTGGCACATTTCCCAATCACTTTAATACCTGTGATTTAATTTAAGAGCAAATTGAATTGGTGGTGCAAAAGCTTTCATATGTCTGCCTACGAGAATGTTTTTGTGACTCAACTAAAGTGGTGTAACCCAAATGGAGATATCGATAATAATAATAATGGTAATAATAATTCCTTGTCAAATATCCTCATGACCATCGTACGCCAACTGCTCCCTTCAATTCCTATTCCTTCCTCTCTTCTATTTATATCCCCACGTCCGGCCAACCAACCCTGCTATGACACCTAATAAACACCTCAGAGAACTCTCACCCCACACGTCTCGAACATCTTTAGCGTGCTTCCCATTCTAAAGGTGTGATTATTTCAGACGAAGCGTCAATTCGTAAAAAAAGTTGAGTCATGCTTGGTCTGAAAGTTTATCGAAGCACTATTCAATTTGTTGGAGAAATAAGTGCTGAAAGTTACAAAAACTACATAATTCGTGAATCTAATGCTTGGTGTTGGTCCTTAGAGCCTGAGAGACCTCCAAGTCGCCGTTAGAGATGGGATTACTATGCTGAAAAACGTGTTGGAAGAATTGCGGAGAAATTCGGATTCTGAGAAAAGCGCTGTCAATGCCGTTTGCCAGGTAATTTTTATATGGAGTACGTTACCTATTCCACAGAATGAAAACGACCCCCCTTCTCGTGATGCCCCAAAAATTGTTTTTGTAGAACCCTGCCCATTAGAGCATTCTGAGAATTTCTCAGGTGCCCAGAAGTGTAGATCCTTAATTGTTGACCTGACCTTTCTATGAGAGTTTTCTGTATGGATGCAGAAGCATGAGTTGAAACGATATCCTGCCTTGTCTCAAAACTTTGGTTTTAGTTTTGTTAATTTCAGACAATCAAAATAATATTTTTTGATTTCGTCTATATATTTGACCTACGCTTTTCCACTAATGCAATGCGAATTGTGCAGTCAACTCCGCCAGACCTCACAATAAACAAATTATGCAATGCTGTTGCTTTCACTGTGCCGAGAGTTGTTAAATTAATCTTATTTAACTAAAATCAACAGGTAATACTCGACGCTCTGACCAAGACACAGGAAAATTTATTGAAGGATGTGGATTGGTAAGCCTAAGCTCTTAAGTACTTATTGCTTCATGAAAAGCACGGGGCACACGAGAGCCTGTAGTATTGAAAAATGTTCAGCTCGGTGAAAGTAAATCTGATTTTCCCCATTGTGCACAAATACTTAATTCCACATAATTTAGGCAACCAAACCGAAAAGTTTACTCAAATTCGATGTACAAATCATCTACACTGGAAGGGATTAACTATTTCTCAAATGTTTGTGATGATGAATGCGTGAAGAAATATTGGTTAGAGTTAACTTTATTGAGTATTAAAAGCATGGTTTGATTTGAATTGCAGCCAGATGGAAGGGAAAGATAAAGTGATCAGGGGTCAACTGTGCCAGGTAAGTGTTTTCGCACCGTAATTTGCAGTTTATAGTTTCTCATAATTTGTATTTTTTTTATTTCCCTGAAGCTCCGATCAGTCCTGCCGACAATCAAACTTCATCTCACCATGTGCGCCACGATATCAAATGCCACAAACAAATACGACTTTCTGGACTTAGCCTATCCTCTAATAGATCGTCTTATGGCTATTACTCACATGGGCTCAGGTCACCACGCCATCAGGTCAGATTCCCGTTTCACAAATCTCCTTATCAATTGCTTTCTTCCGAAAAAACGACAGCCAAATCGCCCCTTTCGTACCAGACAATGATAGAATAGCTCCATGTTTAATCTTTTATGGTGCAATGTGATCCCATCCGCATTAGACGAGAAAAATAGCCTTGTCAACTACCAGTCGAAATAAATTGTTCAACTTTTAAAACAACGTGAAAGCTGCCCCTCGCTCCTCTGCCTGCATTTGGCCCCTTTCCCAACCTCTAATAGTCGACAGGAAATTGAAAGCATCCTTTCAAGTCAGATAGTTTGACGCTTAACCTCGATATCAGATCTGATTCCCTGACTGAACTTCATCGTCATAATTTGTGAAGATTATATCACGGACAGAACGGAGTTTCACGCTCACAGTCAGTAGAAGAATGGGCCTTATAATCTAATAGTTACGAGTAGCAAACCCATTATCTAATTTTATCAATTTGTAGCCGAAAATCTTAGTATCGCTTTCCATGAAACGACACCATATTACTGCAGCACAGCCACATGCTGACTACCGAACTAGACGCGTCAAGTCAAAAGCCAAGTTTGTCCCAAAAACTTTTGTTTTAGCTGAAAATGGAAAAGTGTTCTTGACATTGGGTGTGTACGTGGAAAGGTGTCCGTAATATGGACTCCGTAAAGCTCCCAATTGGTATTTGCTAAACCTACCTTAAACGAAGGAAGTTAGCGGTGATCACTAGCCCCGAAAACTCCACAAAATATTAAACTTTGAATACTTGAAAGTCAAAAGTCAGACAAAAGACTTTCGTCATGGTTGGAAGACTCCAATTTCGGTGGTAAAAGGCAGCGATCCCTTGCCCTTTAATTAAATTTCTCTGGAATTAATTATACGACATTACCCTTTGATTATCGTTTTTGTGGAGAAACTAAATACGTCCATACTCTGCATACTTGTACATGCAGAGACGACCAGACAGACTTTCCGTCTTTTTGCTTTCAATTTGTTGCATTACGCCTCATATGAGCCCAATTAGGGCCATGTTGTTTACACCAAGTTACAAAAGTGGTACAGCATATTTAGCTGCATACCAAGTATGGCATAAGCCTATTCAAAGTAGGACATATACATAATGGGCATAAATACATAGTTATGCATTGATTTGCTCTCCAAGTAGTGAAATAAAATGGTTTTACTTGCGTCTCGGTTTTCCCAATCTTGCTCTGCAATTAGTTTGGTTAATTATTTTTTAGCACTCAGCAGAAACAAATGCAATGAGCTTACAAATTATTACATGCTGATTTCCAACGTGAGTTAAAAAAATATAAATAAAACTTTCTAGGCCGGGACTCAGCAGTCAGATAAAATCGACCTATAAGGTAGAAATGGCAAGAACATTGGAACCCTGGGTGTAAGTGTTTTAAACTTTTTTTTATTATTATTTGGAAACAATTCATGTTCAAATTTAATGCTAATTATGAGATAATGTTGCATACTTAACAGGCAACCCTGGGTATCTGGTGGGGCGCATGGGGGTGGTGGGGCGACGACGTCAAAGTCCTCCTCCCATCACCATCTTCAAAAGGATTATACCCAGCCTGCCGACCCCTCGTTAAGCGAACCCATGTATTCTCAGTATTTTCCAATGTCGAGATCCACAGTCACTCCCATGGTTCAAAAGTCTCAAGTTTCTCAACTTGGAGGTGGATATGCAGCCCCGGCTGGTGCCGGTGGGGGCACTGGACCCCAATCGGGGAGGAAGACCCCTGTGTTCAAAAGTGACCGACCAGACGAGCATTTTGCAGCCCACTGCCGATCTTTCACTGCTCATGTTAACGTAAGTTTTCACACCAAATTTTATTTTAAAATCTTGTCAACGCCTATCAGCATGATCCATGCCACATGTGATTTCTTCAAAAAGTACGACGTTGAGTTTTTGCATTGCGGTTTGTAATATTTTGTGCCAATTTCCTTTGTTTTGTGAGGGAAAGTTATGACCACAGCTACTGTTGTTTTCCAACACAATAGGTTGATACAGCATTACATTGTCTAGTCTTGAGAGAATCATATCAAGTTAAGACAGTAGATACAGCCTTTGATGATTAATCAGAGCTCAAGGAAAGTGAGTGAGTGAGTGAGTGAATGAGCAGTACGTACATAACTTTAACCACCACTTTATGTGGCGGCGGCGGTACTTTAATAATAATATCTTTAGACAAAAACATCCTCCGGCAGTCGGCGAGAAATAATACAAGAAATGGAAGAAGAAGGAGAAGACGAGGAGATACATGTGCATCCTCCTATAAACCATGCGCCGTAATACTGAGCAAGTTGTTGCAACTTGGCCAATGTATTAAAAGTGAAAGTTGAGACAAAGTTGTTGCGGGCAGCAAATGAAGCCTTTTCGAACACTGTTCAATTAGTTTGTGAAGGATTCATAATTGACGGAATATCACCCAAGGAGCCCTTCTCCAACTGCCAAAGTTTTTTAGGCAATAAAAGTCATCGTCTAATGTTTCACTTGTGTACAAGGAGGATTTGGCTTGCTAGAAACTTTCGTGCTAATATAGTGTAACTGAGTACAGGCTTCTGCCTTGTATAGTTTGGGGTGTCTTGTGCTGTTGATTATTACTTAATTTATTATACCGTCTAACCGTCTAAAAGTAACTGAAAATACATTCTGTCCAAATAAATCTTCATTTCCAAGATTTGTGTCATTCTTTCTCAAGCGACATTTTCGCATTGATTGATATTTCTTGAAAAGCCTACCTTTTCACGGACAATGTCTGCATCGGAGTACCTACGTCGTATTATTCTTCTAGGTTCTTACGCACGGAGATCAAATCCTACATCAGTTCACTTAAAGGGAAAGCGTCACTCAGCTTTGAATAAATGATGTATATGCATCTGCATTAATTTCCTTAATGGAATAGTAATAAATTGTTTACTGTACATCCAAGCACTTGTGATACATCCCCTCTCTGCCTTGAGCTACCGTTTAAGTGTATGCATATTTTTTTCGCTTTCTCCAACTGTCAGCAACTCAGGCCAGGCAAGACTAGCACTGATTTAGCGATAGGAATGCACATAAATGTGCACTCAGGTTTGTTCCTCATTCTGGTTCCGTATGCCGCACGGTCAGCATTTTTCTGCAAATGCTGGATATTTAATCTTGATTTGTAGGGACTTGAATTTATTTACATAGTTGAATGATCCCTTACCAAAGATTAGAATGAGCAATTCTTGCAGTTTTACACGCAGTTTGAGAAATATTATGAAAACTCATTTGGGTTTGAGATTCTTATAAGGCATAAACTTAACTGAAATTGAGGTTCTTATAACTAGGAATTCGATGTATATCTGTAGTCTACAGTCTAGTTCCATAAAGGAAAAAAAATTGGCTTTGCTAATTACTTCTAAGAAATACTTACTTGTTCGTTCATCTATTTATACCCATATAAAAATGAAATACTTTCAGCGAACTTAACAAAGTAAGCCTTCCTTCCTTCAATCTAGTCTAGAAATGTTGAGTTTTGTCACCCAGATTGAGTATTAAGTATTAAATATTGTGCGTCCACTAAGGTAATCAAAATAGTCAGAACTTGTCTTGCACATATTTGTATCTGAAATATACTGTTTCTACATATGCTACCAGCACATGCATACTTTCCTATCGTCTCTTCTATAGTATCCTATGTATCGTATGTGGAAATGCACATCTCTTCGTCCTGTATCATATCGTATGCACGAGCCTATCAATTATAGCTTCCTACTGATATCTGAAAGCAACCAAAGATTACACCATCCAAATGCAAAGTACGAAAAGACGTTGAGCTCAAAAGAGCGGATGTGGGGAAAGGAAAAAATGTGGAGAAAGTATACACGACAAAATCCTCGAGCCAAAGAAGTTTTAAGGAGGCAGAAAAAGAAGGAAAATCGGGTAAATTTTATTTCAATTCTGTAATAGAGTTTAGATTTACAACTCTCGAAGATGTTTCACCACCACATTTGGTCTATCCCATCGTTCCATTTCAGTGGAAGAAGAGCAGCAGCAGCAGCATCAGACGCATGCAGCAAGGAAAAGTTGGGATATCCGTTCCATGAACAAACTTTGAAATGAGAAAGAGCATAAAAGAGCAATGACTTTGGAGTTAGTGTGGTAAATTAGTAGAAATCGTTCCAATTCAAGTGAAGCGACTACGGTCTTTAATTAAAGATTTGCAAATGCTTGCTTACTTACTCACTTACTTGCCACCCGGCCACAGCAGCCTCTTTAAATTCTTGTGGTGTTTTGGCCAGAGTGTAAATTTGAGATGAAATTGTAATTTACATTAACTGCTTAGGAGCGTCGTGTGTTCAAGAGTTGAGCACATCAACAGATTGCTGAAAAAATGAGATAGAAAGTTGTTTCACTGCTGGTAGCAATTGGTGGATTAAGTACACACGTAACATCCACGAAGAACCTACATACATAGATATGTATATACGTACGTACGTACGAGTGCAGAGGTGTTTCGCACAAGCACCATCGTACTTTTAAATATTATGAAAAGGAAACGAAGGAAAACAAGAGGCACAAAAGTTCTACAGACTTTGACGTCAATCCCTCTAAAAAATGGAACACAAGAAAATTTGAAATTGTAAAATATGCAGCGAATCAAACTACGTGGATATTGCTGAAGCAGATTAGCATAATAATGGTTGATAGCTTCTGAATATTCCATTTTTCACAACCACGCCGGCAATAAGGGTCCCATTGCCTGTAAGGGCACATGTGTATGTATGCACACATGAATACAAAACCTAGAGGAGAAGTTGCGCAGTGGTAGGTACAGATGTGCACACATACATTTAGAAATTGCATGAGTGGTGAAAGTTGGTGAGGACTTGTGTCTTGTGAAATGGCTTAATTCCAAATGTGATAACGAGTGCTGCTACGGTTGATCCTTGATAATTGATTGGATTTTGTCCAGGGTCGGTTGCATATGTGCGTATAAAATGACGAAGAAAAATAAAATAAAATATCACTCACATCTGCATGTCTGCTTGCTAAACTCACCAAAAAAACCAGTCTCTGCCACAGTTTCTGCCATAAGTCTCAGTTTGAAACCAATAAGGTTGCATGTAGTGTAGCGGCGCACACCTTCTTACTTGCCCGACTTGAGTGGAAGAAAGAACACACGAAATGCGAGGTTTACGGGTCGACCGAAAGGATGGGAAATCTGGGAGACAGAGAGAAGAGAAAAAGAAAGGACGTCTTAATAAGAAAACGAGGAATCAGGAAAGCCTCTGGTTCTTACTGGTGGTTAAGGGAAGGAAATGAATGAATGGATCACACCCCGCACTTTTCCAGATTTTTCTCAGACCACCAGAGTGAAAAGATGCCTCTGTATTCTGTGAATGAGAGTGAGCGAGTGAAAGCGAGAAGAAATGACTTAATCAAGTTCGGCAAACCATCATCAAAAGCTGTCTGAGACCTGGATATGAATTCATGTATCACCGAATTTGCTGATGAATAGGGAACACGCCCAGAAGTAGAAAGCGATTACAGCTCCAGTGGTTAGTCCTGCTGCTCTACTCTTATTCATGGCTTTAGATAGTCATCCTTAATACATATCACACAAAATGAATCCTTGAAATGAATCGAAATGTTGTGAATCCAACGTCGAAGGAGGAAAAATATTTCTCTGAGAATTTGAGAGGTTCACTTTAGAGATAGTAAAATAGGTGGTAATAAGTCACTCTCTCGCACGGAGGTCCTTCCTTCCGTGCGGATATAGGATTTTGTACGTACACACGCACGATGAGGATTTCAGTAATACATGGAATATCCTGGTACGTATAATGCAAAATGTATTTTTATGATTCAATATTGATTGGAAATGACTCTGCCAGTCTTAGGCGTAGCTTTTGTCTTAGATCCATCCATCCTTACGACTCGAAGAAAGCAAAGGCTGATATTCTCGCAGCGCTTAAGTCTGGAGAAAAATGCAGGTGTCAAAGAAAGGAGAAGAAAGCAATCACAACTGGAGAATCTGGAATCTGGGGAGTGGACTCGAGTGTGAAAAAATGGAAATAAACTGACTTGAGAGCAGCTGATACCATGTCATCCCAACCCACTTTCTCTATTCATTATTCTGCACTCAAACACTTCCCAAACCACACCATCACCATTTATTCAACTAAATCGGGGTTAATATGGTTGGCAGTTGGCAGTACCCCTGCTTCCTTGCAATCAACAAAAGCTGTGCTTAGTTGGTGGGAGAAATTGGGAGAAAGCTATACGACGACCTAACGTTGTACTGCTCGACTCTGAGTGGAGGACGAAAAGTTGTGTGATTTCATACTTCTAGGCCCCTCTTTCTTCTCTCGTTAAACTCATGAATTCCGAGAAGTCAACCTTTCACCATCAGGCAAAAGCTTTTACTTACTTAGAAGAAGACTCAAAACTCGAGCAAATCCACTTTTCGTCTTCCAAGAATGGGTTGGTTGGCTAAGTTAGATTTGTGCCCCCAATACGCGCTATCCTTTACGAATATTCATATTCCGCCATACATACATGCATATATTAAGTCTGAAAGTTCTTCTGGAAACTACTTCAAGCGTCTCCCGGTTTCCATCGCCTGAGAAACTTGTTAGCAAAAAGTGTGAGTTTAGGATGTAAACACCCTAATGATCTAAAGCATCACTATTATGCATTATTATGCTTGATGATGTCTGATTTCGGACTGCTGTTACTCATGCACAAGTACATACGTCGAAATGCTGTACGTAGCTCTGAGAAAATGAGCAGAAGGAAAGTCGTGTCATGTTGAATTGATTGAGAAGAGACATTTTATAGTCAAAGCTCACTTCTTGGAGCTTTGAGTCGTCTGATCCCTAATAAGAAATGTGTTGGATCGAACACTTGAATTGGGTGTGGCGACGACGAAGGAGAATAAATGGTTTATTTATCAAAGGGACGGTGGACTGGATGATGGTTTGCAGGGTGTTGCGTTGTAGCAGGACGACGTCATCCAGTGGGAATGATTTCATATGCTCTTTCCTCATATGTATATCACTCGATAAATACATGAGTTCAAAATAGAATCTATGTATTATTGCGTTATATGTAAGAGCAACATACGTAAAGTAATGTCATAAATGTGAGTGGATGTTACACATGCAAAATGTTGACTATGAAAAATGATTTTTTTACAACAAAATGAGATCAAAGGACGGGAAGTTAAATTACGATGTTAGTTGTTGGACAAATTCATAATTGAGCAAGGGACCTTTTTACCTTTATTCTTGGCTAATGACGAAGGAAAGTTTTCTCTGTAGCAAGATGACAAATTGAAAATCTGACTGTTGAGGACAAGCGTCAAAGCTATCCTGTGAAAACAGTGAAAGACTGTTCTTTTTAGAAAGTGAGATAAAAAAACCAAACAAATTTTTCAGAGTCAGAGATTGAGAAAGTTTAATGATTAGAGCAACAAAGTCGGAGAAGAGTATTCAGACATCTTAGTATTTTTTATTTTGTATTTTTCGTACATTGATCATACGTGCTTTATTTTTCATTCAAATTGTACACAGAACTGATAACTTGCTCAATTTCAGGAGCTTAATCAACGACTGAGCCGACTTAAAGAGCAAGTTCAAGAACTCCACCGTGATGTCACTCTCCAACGAGGTTCGTCACACACGGTCCGAGCAGCGAGTGCTTTAAGAGAAGGTCTTTTCTTGGAGGATCAACTGGAAAGGCGACATTCAGAAATGGAAAGAATACGGAAACATCTTGAAAGTATGAATATATTCGATTTATGTATTCGTAACTGAATTTAAGCTAATTTTATGAATTATATAGGAGTTTCAAGTCCAAGTTATTTGTGTTGATCATTAGACTATGATTTTTTTGTAGGTCATTGGAATGACAATATTCGACAGATACGACTGGAGCAGGAAGTCTTCCAGTCTCAAGTAAGTGACTTTTACATACTTCACTGACTGTGTTCACTAAGGATTGCAAATGCAATTTTTTCGAATTCGGATTATCCCGATTTGACAGGAATAAAATTCGGACTTTGAGCGTTTTAAAAGCATTTGCAAGCCCTAGTGTTCACAGATATCGAATAATCATAAATTGTAAAGTAAGAAAAGGAAAGCTAGAGAAGCTAAAGGAGGGGTCGTTCGTGTCGTGATACTCGCCATTGTCAGAGACTGTTGTATATACATAAGATAAGCAGGATGAGGGATTTCACCTGTACATCCCTCACTGCCATGCCACTCCAGTTTCACTTTATCCATTTTCTATCCAGTTGGTTGCTTAGTTTGTCTACATTTTGAGAAATATGGAAAGAGTTGAAGCTGGTAATAAATGCAATATTACACACTCGGAGCATGCGACTACGACAGTCCTTGTGTCAGTTGGAATTGAATTTGAAGTGAGGAAACCAGCAGTGACTGTGTACTAAATAGTGAGAGAAGTGAAATGCACGACGACACAATGACCAACCACTCGAATTGAATCTCGGCTCCTTCTTCTTTTTCCAAAGATGGGAAATAACTCAGCGTCTCTTTCATCTGTCTCTTTTGCCTTCTCCACTTTTCTCTTCCATTCCCTGATCCAATACAAATTTACAAGGGAGACAAAGACAACGAAACTACATTTTGTCAAATCGATGAGAGAACCGTTGAACTAACTGAGATGGAAAGGGACGCGAAAAGGAAGTTTGTGTGCCTTGCAATGCCCACCTCCTCATGATTCCGTCCGCCGACTTATTTGGGGGCTCCGAAATGAAATGAAACTACTGGGAAGACACTCGTCCCCTTTGAACATTGTGATGTATTGTGCGAAAACAGGTAGCAGCGGAGTGTATGTTTCAAGAAATTGATGAAGATTGATTATCCCAAGCATTTTTGGATCATTTGTTATCAGTTCCAGTTTCTGCTAATCTTATGGCGAGTAAAGATTGGACGCATACACCCATACATATAGTGACGAATGGTTGTTCTAGCAATGACGCTGACTGAGATTTGGGACACGCGAAATAGGTCACATTATGACATGGCTCGGAAACTTTTTACAGCTTGGTGCTGACTTTTTAGTAATTCGAGTCCATTTCAGCAGCACAAAATCAAAATCTGCATTTGAGTGTTTAGTGGAATTAATCATAACATAAATCTGAGTGCAGCTAATAAATCACTTTTATCCTAGATAAACGATCTCCTGGCGATGAAGTCAGAAGTCAAACAGTTGAGCAGCCTACTCCAACAATTGCAGTCGTTCCTCAAATCCTTAAATGTTCATCCACCCCCTCAGCAGCAGCAGCCTGGTCGAGGAGGAGGCGGAGGAGGTGGTGGTGGTGCTGGACATGGCGGGGCGTCGTCATCTGGGGGCGGTGGTGGTGGAGGAAGCAGTGCTGGTGTTTCTGGGACAAGCGGAATTGGAAAAATGGCCACAACGACGTCTTCCTCCTCGGGTCAACAAGGGGTCATTCAGCATGGGCAGCCTAATCGTCAAACACAACAGCATGTTCACCATTCCGGCGTTCCTGATGCTTCCTCCAGGTTAGTTCAGGTTCATGCGGACTTTGACTTATTCTTTTTGAGCCATTCCTGCTCACTCTATCCGCAACAACAGTCATCATCAATCATCCAGACTTTTCTGAATACGGGAATAAGCCCGATTTTTGTGAAGACAATTTCCTTGTCTGCCTTTCTGTCAGTCAAAAGTAGGGGAATGACTTTTCTGCTTACTGGAGAGGGAAACAAGAGAAGGATATGTGTGATGTTGAACGCTATTGTTTGTTGGTGAAAGAATTAGGAAGGCTAATACAACTATCTCGCTATTGGCTTGACGTATGTATCTCACAACAAATACAGAGAAAATTTCAGAACAGCAGGAGAGCATGTACGTATAGTGTATTTTATATGACGATTTTATTTCATAGAGCTATGAGCATGCTTCTCGAACTGCCATTTAATAAAGGTTCAGATAAATACATTGAAACTCTCCATATACATATCTCCATATATTTATATGGTATTACATATTTGCCATATAGCACGTAAATGTGCATATGGAGCTATAATAAGCTCTGGGTATGAGATAACTGATACAAGAGTAAACAACTCTAATACCTTTTTCATGTGTGCATGCTTACCATCATTTATCAGCACCAGCATAGATTTGGCAGATGCAAACTTTCCCTTGGGCCACAACAGCACGGCAGCAGATACGGGAGCTCGAATAACAGGGTTTTCTTTGTGTGTATTGTTTCAGCAGGACCGACATTGGTTCGCAGGTAACTCCGTCATTGGGAGAAATGGCATATTTGGAGCAATCTAAAGGTGAGACATGGATACTTTCTCATCGCTTCCTTCTATGCGCATATATGTACTTACTCGGCACAAGATAACCTGGCTTTATGTGTGTAGTACTGTGTAGTTGTTTGTAATGTTGAGGTGCCATTCTTTCTATGGTGGTATATACAGCAAACATTTTATTGTTTTCAAAACCAAAGGATGCAACAAATGTTTGCTAAATAAAAGCCGTGGAATTGATTGAATCCCGTGTGATTTTCTTTCTCTTTAGATGGAGGCGTTGGGGGCCAGAGTCTGGGGCCATCACAAAAATCCGATCCAAATCGCCCATTTGGAGCTCAGCAGCCCCAAAGACCCACTTCCTCTTCAATGCCCACTCCAAGCGGAGGATTATCAACGGCCAAACAACAATCCTTTCAACCTGCAGGCTTCGTTCCACGACCGTGTTACCAACAAAAACAACCCACTCAAGCAGAGATGGAGTACATTCAAGTGGACACTTCCTATTCGCATCCACCACATCAGCAGCAGCAGCAGCAGTCACACTCGTCCAAGATTGGTGGTCCGCCTCCTCATCCCAATCTTGGAGCCTCCGAAGCGTCGATGATGAAGTCGAAAGGGGTGCTAAGTCAGCTTATAGATAAAGTAAGATTAAAAGATGATCGTAAAAAGAGTTCGGCAAGTGGTGTAAGCAGTTCCTCATCCGGTGGCACACCTCACCCTCAGCCACCCGCAGTTCCTCCGTCAGCCTCGGCCCTAGCAGCTCGACGAGCTCTCACAATGTACGATGCTCAATGTCAATTCGGTCTGGATTCGTCCTCTGCGGTATCCGCCCTGGCAAAGTCCAATCTCAAGCGAGGTGTTCAAAGTGGCGAACCTGCTGCTTCTTCAACTTCTTTTTCCCACCAACGACATGAATCTCGGCCTACATACCAAAGAGCAAAGTCATTTGTCAAGTCGAAAAGTGACGATGAGCGTGGTCAGCTTATCGACAAGTGAGTTTACTGTAATTATTAATTGCTTCAATCAACTAATTTTATTATCAACAAGAAAGCTCATCAATATCACATCAAGTCGTAACAAACAAATACATATCATACTGAACAATCATAGCACATCCACCAATTTACTGACATACACACTCATCTTGAAGTTTTTTCATTTAATTAATTTTTCATTTTGAACTTTGAAGTGTGGCGATTATAGTATCGTTATAAACGAATATAAATAAGTAGCGTCAAAGCGATTTAAATTTCCTTTCCAATGATATGTGATAATTATGTATTTTTTTTTACTTTTGACCTCGTCCTCGCCGTCATGGGTTAGTCGGGGGTCAAAACTATAAAACTGGCTATTGACCTCACGTCATGGTCACCTTGGCCGCAGGGATTCCATTTTCTAACTGATGAGGGTAAAAAAATTAGAAGCACAAGGAGAAAATGGCGTTTGATTATGTTGAGAGGTTCTGGAGATATCTTGCTTACAAACGGACGGATAAAACGCAACATAAAGCTGTTGATGCTACTTAATAATTTCATACAAAATATTTCAGAAATTGGAACTTAACTTTTTCCTGAATAGTATTCTTTTTTCCTGTCATAATTAGTTTTACATTTTGTGGGTATGATTTGGTGCAGAAGTTAGTTAGACAAGAGAGAACAAGAACTAAAAAAATATTCTGAGTGAGATTTTTAACGTTTAGTGAGACACATGTAACAAACAGACGCCAGGCCAGCATGACACCTGGCTGGTACATGCTCACATGGAGGTAGAAAATAATCATGTATGACTGACTGACTAACTTGTTTTTTCTTTACCCCACCTAGCAAATTATCACACCAACGTGCTCGCAGTGCAGGTCATTTGGAAACGGAAACTTTACTCAGGTCTTTATCGTCCGGATCGAAGGATGCTACACGAATTATTGAACTCTATCAAAGCTTATCCAAGACAATTATGGAGCGAGAGAATCAGCAATTCCAGAGTCGCACACCGTATCCTTCACAAATCTACAACCCGTACTCATTGGATCAGCCCATCTACTTTGATTCCCGATATGAAAAGTATGGTACGTCCTCGTTCATGGGGACAATTCCCCCTAAATCATCCAGCAGTGCAGGTTCCTTCCCATACGGGCAATCCAACAGTTTAGGTCGTACCCACTCTTCTAATAGCAGGCAAGGGCCAACAACACCCTTCCGTTCCTCGTCTCATCCTCGCCCCCAAGAAAGTCTCACTGCCACCAGCGAGGATGACTACCAGCAAATTTCCTTCAACTTTCGTAGTCTACCAATGGCCCGATCTCATTCTGCCCCTCCTCGCAAGCCTACCCAGGAACATAGATCCTCTGGTGGTGGTGGGGGTGGTCAATTTGGTGGTGGGGCTGGTTCTTCAACAGAGGTGAAAGTATTTGTTCATGAAGAACCCCATTCGTCGACCTCTTCCCACCACCACCACCAACAGCACCACCATTCTCGTCACACTGCCTCCCGATCACCTTCTCCTTCCGCTGCCGCATTGTCCAAGAGTTTGGAGGAGTCCTTTTTGTATGGCTACTTGTCTCAACATCACGGGAGTGGAGGAGGAGGACTAACTTCCTCATCCTCTGGTCAATCTGGCGTGGGTGGTGGTGGTGGTTTCACACCATCACCGCTCGGGAAAAAGCCGTCCTCAGCGGAAAGCCTTGTTTCTCTGGGTGCAATGGATACAGATGGTCAGAGTAGGAAATCGAGCATTGATTTTGATCGTCGGTCTGTTGTGACTGTTCGAAGGGCAGGATCCAACCAAGGATCCAAGTCTGCCCTCCTGACTCGCCAACATTCATGGGAAGGAGGTGCTCAACTGTCTGGGACGAGAGAACACTCCATGTCCACGCCACATCTGTCTCCCACTGCAGATGATCCGTTTGAGAACAGGAGCGGTGCTGCTCAGAGTGCATCACGGGGTGGTGGTGTCAGGGCATCTGCTTCATCTTCTCATTCTCGGAGACGCTCTAGGATTTATGATGATGATGAAGATGACCTCGTTGTTGGCAACACGCTGCACAAAGCCGACAGTTTCGAAGGGCATGAAGAAGCCGTTCGCTCCATCGTTGCCGCAGTACAGGAGACCAGAACGTTACAAAGGCGATTACAGTCCAACTAACTCGATTCAAATTTATTCTGTGTCCCATAGAGCCCATAGTATTTAGTCGTCTTTGATGTTCGTTATCTGGCGCAGATTGTATGTAAGTGTATAATTATATAAGCAGGGTCTATCTATCTCCCTCATGTCTAACTTGTCTTCAACAAAGACGACGACGACAAGAAATTGCAAATCTCTAGATTATTATTCTAATTGGTACCTTCTACTTAACATTTATTGTGATTCTAATTCGTACATTCCTAACTATATACCCACGACATAATCCCTTATCAAAAGCATTCGTGAGATTAACTACACTCCTCCTCCTCCTCCTCCTCCTCCACCAAATCTGCTCTTCTAAGGTACATATGTATATGCCCCTCATTGCACTAGACTCGGAAATACAAACTGTACAAGTACAACGCACTTGAAAATGAGATTGAATAAAAAATACAACAAAGAAATTTGGCACAGCGTATTAATTAATTATTGCATATCTGCATCCTCATCATTCGAATTATTTTAGGAACAGGAGCAAAAAGTGTTTAGTTTCGTGCACACGTTTCCATTCGTTTCACGCAGAAGAGAGAAGAAGCTACATCATATCGAACACGGTTCGCCAAGTTGTCCATCCCCGAGAAGAAAAAAAAATATTTTGTTGTATTTTTTTCCTGACGTAGAATTACCAATTTGAACTGGACAAGGAACAGAAGACAATAACATCCATTCATCTGAGTCCAGACTCGAGACAAGGATTTGGGCTCCGTCAAATTTAATCCATTCACTGCTATCGTATCGCGTTCCCTGCTTGGACGGGTGGCATATACGGGAGAAAGTTCTGTCACTAAATTTTAACACGCGTGGTAGAACTTGACATAAAACAAAGTTCTGTCACGTTATGTTATCCAATGTGGAGAATAAAAAAGAGAGAAAGATGTCTGTGTGCATATACTGCGGAGAAAAATTGGTCAGCAAGAAGATGGTTAATAGGAATAACAAGGAGGCTGATACTTTCACTGTATTTATGTGCATAATATGTGTAGGGAGGAAAAGGAGGGGGTCCTTTGGCAAGAGCTGACTCGACAAGTGCACGTATATATATATTTACTTTTATAGAACATTATCCAGATAATGCATACATACACAACTTGATACGATGAACTCTATTATGAAATCAGATTTTGCTTCCAGACTTTATATGTCGAGAATTATTTATTTTTAATAAGAACATTTTGCACACGCCGTCACTTTCTGCTGGCGTGGAATGTTTTTTTCTGCGCTGAGTTGTTGAGTGGTTGAAAAAAGTCGGAAATTCAGAAAATGTGACAATGAGAAGAATTGTATTTGTTGTTGACAATGTTTAAAACTTGTAAAATGTCACGTATCAGAGAGGGAAAATGTTTCACTCAACCAGCATAGTTTTTGTTTGTTCTGGGCTTACTCGTATACATGCATACTCATCGTTGACAATGCTTAAATCAATAACAAATACCAATTTAATTGAGATTCCATAGTCCATGGACTCACGTCCCACGCCTGTGTATGTAGATAGTAGCTGAAAAGTTCATTTTGTAATTCCTTCATCTGGATGTTAAATATGGGGTTTATGTAACGAAATCATCATCATCAAAGTTATTCTCATAGTGTTTGAGTTGCGAGTCTTTGCTAAATTAAATTCTATAACTTCATGTAGCAATAACTCAGAGAATCGGGACAAATGGCCACCAGGATAAATATGAGGCTGGTAATCCAAAATGGTGTTACACCATTTCGCCATAAGTTGTTCTTCGGTTCATCCTGCTTACAGATATCACGTAGGAGATTGTACAGACGCACAACCAACTTTCACCAAAGATTTCATGCAAGACCTGCCCACATCGACAAGGGGACACGTATACAGAGTTACTTGTGTCAACAAAAAGATTTGTACAAGGTGAAAGCCTGTAATGGTCAATAGAATCGTTGCAGGGACACAGCATGGATTTCAAAGACGGAATTAGAACGAGACATTTGTCTGATGACGCAGGGATAGCACGAAGCGTTCTTTTTTTCATATTTGATCTCACGGATTACTGAATATTGTGGGTAGCATTACTGAAACGGTCCATATAAAGATTTTGCTCACCAACTGATAATATCGGATGGTCAAATAACATTTATTTCCAAGCAAGTTATATTACCTTACGTAGAATGTTTATAAATTCTATAGACATCATGCAGTGAATTCTAATTTACTACGTGTGCGAGTTATAAATACATATTGCAAAAAAATATCGCGTCACTTTAAATTTAATTAAATAAATATGCACATTTACTTTTAAATTACATAAATTTTTGTTAGATTTCTTTAAATCACGTCAGTTATCGATTGTTACATGTATGTATATTCACTTATTTTTAGTATAATTATAGGGTAACTTTGTAATTATCATAAGTCTTAAATAGCACCTGATATGATCAAATGAAGAATATCAATGACTAGATGAAAATCTATCGGAAAATGAAATCAACAATTTCTGACAATTTAAATTATAAAAAAATATACAAAGTCATTGTTTTGATATCATTGCGTTCGCAATTGCTAACAATATCCACGTAATTGAAATCTACTTAATTAAAATCAACCAGCTAATAGTGAAATAGGTCGACGTTTTGGAAAAAGAATCGCTTTTATGTTGTCCATTCACTGTTCTCTTTCGGATTCGGATAATAGCATCTCTCCCTCTGGTCGTGGTCGCCTGTAAAATAAGGTTTCAATTAGTAATGACATGAAATTGTGAGTGAAAATGGCGACAACCAACCTCCGGAAACGAAAGTCATAGACCAGTGTGATCACAGTGCAAGCGAATATCAGCAGAAAGATTGCAACAAAGTTGAGGACCATAGCATCCGATGGAAGGCCAGAGTACCTTTTTCTGCAATATATGTACAGTATACTGTTTCGTATGTTTTCAATTAAAAATATGTGCGTATTTTACACTCAATTCCTTACCCCACTGTTCCCAATGCTTTCATCATTAATCCAGTTGCAGCTGCCACCGTGGATGAAATGAATATAAGAGGACCTAAATAGTTTTATTTTAATGAACGTTAGAAATTAAACCCTTGGGTTAGAATTATTGTAATGTATATTATAATATAAATTGTTGCATAATGCACAATTCAAATTACCCATCATTTTGTGGTAGGGAATTATCATCGTCCGGACCCTCAATGAAGCCCATGGAAGGAGGAAGATGGTGAATCCAGCCAAGAACTGTAAGACATATCCATTCCTTATTTTATTAGCTGCACAATTATAGCAACAAAAAATATTTTACCTGTCCATAATAGAGGATAATTGCCGTGAGCCCAAACCAACTATGCAGGGTGTAGAAGTTCGGATCATTATTCAATCCATGATGTCGAATTGCGCTCCTGAAAAAAAAATCGTTTTCGTCAAGATTAAAGTAATTTAGATTTAATTTAGACTCCAGTCAAAATGACATAATAGTTGGCTACCATAGTCCAATAATCATTGCCAGAACCGTAGCAAAGTGAATCCCTGCAGGGATACATTAATTAAATTGTTGTTTTTCATTATTAAATTACAAATAAATTAACCTTATACTAGAATCTAAAGTCATAAATTAACTTACCTGCATGAAGCAATTTCACTTGTATTTTTGGTTTGGTTGGAAATAATCGGAACATGAGAGACCCTGCATGTCAGACCCCCATGCATATTATTATTGATCTTAATGGGATTGTACTATAGTTAGAATATTTAGTGTTAATACCATGTCCTTGCAGATAGATGACAAAGAATATCATGAGAACGATGTGAAGATTTATTTCCGACTTTACATTTGTGCCCCAAGTCAAGCCACCATTGTAGTAAAACACCCAAAAGAACATGAGGATCCACATTAATGTTCCTGAAACACCTGCAATAACAAATCCAATTTTGAAATGCTTCTGTGCAGTGTCATAGTCCCGAGGATCTTCTTCTGAGCCCATCGTGGCGTCCTTTCCTACATAAAGAAATAAATACAAATTGTAAAAATACTTTACATATTTTCATCGACGTGACATGTCTTTTACACATTATAGAAAATATCTGCACATCGTGCAGATAATGGTTCTCGTCTAATGGTTTTAGTAAGTTTCTGAACGACCGCATATACATACTATGAGAATAGAGGACAAGTGAACTCTATTAAGGCTCGAGGACAACGAATGCCTGGATTAAATAGTTTAACATTTCTAATCTTGACAAATCGACATCATTCTAATTGGTACTTGCAAACTTCCAGCAAGCGTAAAATTTTTAATTCATGTCACGTATTCAAGATATGTCAAGCCCCCTACTAATGAAATTGCTTTGACTATTCTTCTCCATTTAAGTAAAACACTACTAAACCGTATAGTTAAAATCATGCAATTAAAAGTACCCGTCGAATTATATGTTGTATTCCTTGGTAGCGTTTTTATTTAATCCCCATCCGATGGGAATTAGTTGGACGGTGTGGCAGATTTGTGATGACGACTGACTTGTGGAGGGTGGGCCGGAGATCAACAGGAGCTTCTTGGTGATCAATATGGGAGGAGAGCTCTAATCCGGAGAAAACGAGCAGCTGGCCCCTCCGAATTTCTCCAGCTTTCTCTTCCAACTCCCACACACGGTATGTTCACAATATTTACTTTCCTCTCCCGATGCTGTCAGAAAGCACCCCATGCAACATTTGCTCCTTGGGCTTAGGAGAAAATTGAGACTAAGTTGAACGCAATTACACGTTGAAAATCTCACCTTTCTTCCCTGCTGTTTGTCGACCACACTAACTGGAACTGCTTCAATTGGCTATGAGGATGTGGTCATATACTTAATTTGTTAAAACAAACCTTCCATAGTTCAGACCAAATATTACATTTACAACTACAAATAAATAAACCTTGTTGACTACACAAGGAAAGGAATAAAAACAAACTGTCACGCAAAGTTGCGACATACATACATCAGGATGAATAATGTTATCTCTGTAGGATGCATGCGGGTCAAGACATTACGAATGATATTATGTATGAAGAATGATATTAATACTGGCACAGTATATCTAATTGCATGACTAATAAATACGATCCATCAATCCTAATGATGTGCAACGAGTGGATGATAAAAAGACTTGAACACAAACGCGCAAATTTTGTTCCAAAAACGTTTAATGTCAGGTAAAAATTGGTTAATAATCGACATGAAGTATGAACTTTAATAATGCAATTTTTAGTACAGAATATATCTCTGTATAAATACGAGTTATCCTAACCACAAAGAATATGCATTGCCGGCGTTCGCTACGCTTACTAAATAAACTCAATAAAAGTAGCGAACGCCGGCTACACATAATATTCTTGTCCTAAAACATAAACAACTTAAATGAACCCTCGTGTGTTTATTTTTTTTCAATGATGGGTTGAATAGTTTGACCACGACGAATCTGACCCCACCCGATAAGCCTGCAAACAAGGTTATAATTTTATCAACCAATGACATTAACCAAATAGAAACAAATGTAAATAATATTACCGCCAATGTTTTTCGACACGACGCGACAGGGCAATTTTCTCTCCAATTTCAGTACACACTGGATTTGTTAGCGCAACTTTGGCTGCAATTTAAAATGTTTTAATTTTTTTAAATTTTCATGTAATAATTGTCTAACCGTCAGTACTATTTCGAAGCTATGTTAATAGAGTCATAAAATGTGAACATGAAATAACCTTACCTAAATCAGCCTTTACTGCAGTCACCCTTCCTCCAGTTGACAAGGACCCAATGTTCACCATAAGCACCTCGCCCTTGGAGAGTTTTTGAACCTGAACAAGAAAATCAAGTGTCATTTAATAAATGATTTCTTTTAATTGGTCATCATCTGCTATAATAACCAACCTTTGCTGCTTTTTTGTCGCCTTCAGTTCGAACACCAAGCAAACGCCTCAAGAGGTAATATGAAATTTCAATTTCGACAAAAATATCAGGCAAAGCTCCAACAGATCCAAGTACTTGACCAACCATACGATCAGCTCTGCAAAGTGTTGGATCAATCATCGTTCCCACACCTATAATGAAATTAAATATTGTTAAAGCTATGTCTACAGTGCAACTCAATTATGTTAAGAGATCAAAAAACTTTAGTTTACCAATCAATCCTCCCGGAACAGCAAATTGAAGGTCATTTTGCTCAGCATACAATGAAACAATCCGTGAAAAAATTGGTCTACACGTCAGTTTTCCTTCAGCATCCTTTGATACCAGTCCAGGGCGAACTTCAATTTCTTGACCAACCTTTAATACTCCCTTCAACAAAGATCCACCAGCTACACCACCCTTTAAATCTTCAACCTCAGAGCCGGGTTTGTTGACGTCGAATGAACGGATAATGATTAGACGAGGTTCAGAAGTAAAGTCTCGCACAGGAATTGGAATTTTGTTTGTAATATACTCGCAGAGCACTTCAATATTATACTTTAGCTGAGCAGAAATTGGAATAACAGGGGCACTCTCCGCCACGGTCCCTGTAACGAAATAGGTTTAAATTATCTGCTGAGCCATATATATCCCCTGTCTTCCAATAAAAATTTACGAAATATTTTATTTTGCATACCTTGAACAAACTTGATGATTTGATCATACTGCTCTTTTGCTTGGTTTTCTTTGACCAAATCTATTTTATTTTGTAAAATGATAATATGCTTCAATTTCATGATCTCAATGGCCGCTAAATGTTCTGAAGTCTGTGGTTGTGGACAAGACTCATTCCCAGCGACGAGGAGTAACGCTATAAAGAAAAGTTTCCATGTTTATACTCATCCTAACCAAACACCACACGCATGAATTATAAACAAAAACTAAACAAATGTACATACCTGCGTCCATGACTGCAGCACCGTTGAGCATCGTGGCCATAAGAATGTCGTGACCGGGGCAGTCGACAAATGACACATGACGAATTAAGCGAAACCTTCCAGTGCAAGTAGAACTGAGACATGGGAATGAATCGTCTTTCGATGAACCTCCCGAAATGAAACACGTGGGCCTGGGACACTTATCATTATCGCACTTGTAAATTTTTGCATTAGCGTAACCTATCGAATAATTAGAAAGAACATGTTTTACAAATATTTCAATCCAAAAACTTTTACCTCACACGTGTTGTCATTATAAATTAATAACTTACCCAGTTTGATTGTAATATTTCTTTCTAATTCATTCTTAAATCTGACTGTTTGTACACCAGAAATTGCTTTTACGACGGTAGATTTTCCGTGTGCTACATGACCAATTGTTCCTATGTTAATTGTCGCTTGTCGACTAATTACTTCTGGTGACAGGGGGTTCAACTTTGCAACATCCTGAAATCAATGCGACACAAAATAACATTTAATTGTAATGCCCATACAAGTAGTAAATTTATAGCATCCATAACTGATTTTATCAATTAAAAAAAAAACATTGTGACATTTCAAAGAAAAGATGATGCAATATCACCATATGCAAAGAAAAAGCCGGTTATTTCTTCTTTCACTTACCAAAGTTGATAAATCCTGCTTCGCCAAGTGAGGTTGACCAATGGGCTGTTCTAATGACATCCTGGCTGATGACTCCAAATTACCACTCTTCACTGAACACTGAAATTAAACAAGTTTCGAACACCACTTTCAATCAATTTTCAGTCAATGCAGAAATCAGAAAGCAATTTGAACGAGAATTTTGGAAAGTGCACCGAGCAGAGTAAAATCGCTGAAATGCAGTAGATGGAGACGGAGTTGCCTCTGCTCAACCACTGGCAATCTCCTTCAACCCCGCACGTGCAGTGCAGCCTCCTTCAATCGACCAAATTTTGTCGCATTTCATTCAAAAATAGATTTACTGACTTTTTTTTATCAAATTTTATTGTTGAGTATAATTTATCTAAAAATTAATTAATTATGTAAATGTTTGAGATTAATTCATCTTATGATTATTACCTGCGAATTTAAATGGCGCAAAAAATGTTCCGCGTGTTAATTAATTTGGCAAGAGAATAATTTCTTTGGCATTTAATTCGAATCGTGTTTCATGGATGTGACAAAGCTGAAGTGTTTTCGAGGTTTGGCATGAATTAATCTGACGCAAGGTTCATCGAATATTGTCGCATTCGTTTTTTATGGATCGAACTGTTCAACAGTATAATAATTGACTCTGATTCTGACTGCATCACTTGAAATCATTTCAAGCATGAGATTTATCAAATCAGATTTATCAGATTGTATTTTTCCCAATTGCATACTTACGGCATAATTGCGTACATAATGTGGTTATATTTGTACAAAAATTGATTGAGATATTTGCATCGATATTTCACACAACATAGAAATGCGGAAGACAGGTGAGGATCGTGATCACCGGAGTCTCACTTTCTCCACCGAGAGAGCAAGCTGCCGGATGTTGAACATCACGCCGGCCGCAGCCTTTTGGAGTTCCCCGTCCAGCGATCCGATCATGTTGATGAGGTAAGGGACCACCCCACACTGATGCATCGTGATGCAGTTGCGATGGTCCACCGAGAGTTCGGACAGCGCCTGGGCTGCGGCTCGATGGACGAGTGGATCCTCCGACGTGAGATAACTGCACAGCGGACTCACGGCCTTCCGACGACCAAATTCAGACGCGTTGTGTTTGTACTTGCAACATTCAGCGATTGCAGATGCCAAGGATTGTCTCAACATGTCATCCGTTGTTGGGGCAAGTCGAGCCAAATACTGGACAACCCCCTGTGGAAATATATACAAAATATGTACATATTTATTTGCTGTAATCTTGGCTTCAATATGTAGCCAATCAAATGACCTCAACTGACTGAGGTCGGGTCGACTTACGTGGTCACTCATAATGGCCAAGTTTTCATTGTTCTTTGCAATCATTGCGACGGCTTGGGACACTGCAGCTTGTACATTTATTTCATTGGACTTGAGCAGATTAACCAGTGCTTCGAGGCCCCCAACGAAATTTCGAACTGTGTCACCAGAGTCCTAACAAAATGTAACTTTTAGTAAGTATAAATACAGAGGAGAAACCATGTTTATTTCACTGATCATTTAGCTGAATTCTATGAAGCACTTTAAGTATTTTAGAAGTACCTTTGTACTTTGCACGTAAGGGCGAATCGCCCAGGCCGCACTGGCCTGTACCATTGAATTTGGGTGCTTTAAGAGAGACCAAACCAGGCGGAAGCCATCGTACTGGTCCATTTCTGCCCTCGAGTCGGGATCAATTGCCAAAACGCCAACAGCTTTCGTAGCATTCACCAACAGTGCCTGGGTATGCATCATAATCATAGTTAATTAATGGACCATCTTGACAAATATTATGATAGCTAGTTAATGACCGGGTTATTTATTGTCAGTAGGCCGATTAAGGGCGCAATTGCATTCGCATTCTTAATTATTTGAGCATTTTTTGGATCTGTCTTGACAATCTGTTCCATTGCTCCAGCCACATTTGTAAGCACGTTTTCGGGTTCATCTTCTAGCAATGATACAAGCAGTTCCACTAAGCCTTGTTCCAAATAACGTTGGGACAAGGATGCTGCGCACTTCCAAATAGCACCAGTTGCTGCAGCTAGTAGTGGCTGAAAACGAGAAATTCAAATTATGACAATTTATCGGTAAATGTGTTGAATCACCACATATTATTTTATTACTTTGTTTTTACGAAGTTGTTCGTCAAGAATGATCATAATCAGAGGATCAATGGCACCCTTCTCATAAATTATCTGTCTCGAGTCAGGGTCCTCGGCACACTGCACAGCACAGATAAACGATTAGTTTAGCCGCTGAACTATAACAAGATGCGTAAATGTGTAAATTAATAAGATATTCAGTTGCACGTACCATGTAAATGGCAGATGCACAAAATTGAACCAGGTCGTGATTTGGGTTTCGCAATCCATCTACAAAATGGTCCAACAATCCTTCAGTTCGTATGGCTAACCGGAAACTGGCCTGGAAATTTAATAGCAATAAATATATGTATGTAAGTATGCATAAGGGATTGCAAATTATCACAAATCATATTTGTGTACCTCGGAAGCACATTCATGCAAAATTCCAACCACTGGGATGACAACGGTGACATGACGTGTCTGTAAGAGTCGAGCCAACAAGGGGATCGCACCCGCTTTTCGAATGGCGTCCTTGTTCTTTGTCGAACGAGCGAGTGACCAAAGGGCAAGGGCACCGCAACGTGGCACCTCAAAGTCTGTCTCATCTGGATCCGACACTCCTGTAAACATGCTGGGCTGCTCAATATCAAGCATGTCCACCTGCAGATTAGAATTAAGACTTTTGACCTTTTGAAGATGAACCAGGAATATAGTGCTAATTTTTACCAACCAAGCGACTTATCCCATCCCCCTTTCTCATTGCGCGACGGGCCTTTCGAATCTTTGAAATGTTTGCAATAGTTTCAGCGGACAAGAGTTTCAGTTCCTTAGCTGGATCACGTAGCGTATTAATCAATGTCTCTAGTCCCTAAATTAAATTATGTATGTGATGATTCTTGTTGATTATAGAGGATAAACTGTAACTGTCCATGTACCTTCATGTTATAAATTGCTCTACTGATGTCTGGATTGGAAGAAATTTCTCTGAGAATCCAAGTATTTATGATTAATTTGATTCACATTCGAAATAATTAATATGTCCATGTATTCATGCTCACCTGAGAACCAATAATGCAGCAATTTTACATCGATTCTCGTCCGTCTCAAGAATATTGAGCAGTACTTCCAACCCCCCGCCCTCTTTTATGGCCATTTGTACATAGTTCTCTCGAAGATTGAAATCTCGCAAAGATGACATAGCGATAATGGTAGCAGTTGGATTACCTGGACCATCACGAAATTAATATTTACATATACTACGTAAACATGTAGCTTAATATAACAGTGATCTTACCAGCTTTTACGTATTTAATAAGCCTTTGAACTTGCCAATACTCTGCTGGTATTTCTGGGGATTCTGGACGATCTTGATCCTCTCCTTCAGATTCAGGCGATGACTCTGCGTCTGATGAGAGAAGTCTTCGACTCTTTTGTAAACTTTGTCTCCTTGTACTTTGGTCCTCGTTGCTATCACTTAATTCCAGGGCACTGAGGTCAAAATCTTCTCCCTTTGATCATTAAGAAATGCACATTAAGAACTGTCCATAAATAAATGGTTGACTGCTTTTAGTGGAGATACCTCCTCGTCGTCTTCCTCCTCCTTAGACTTGCCCCCACCTCCAGTCCCGTAGTTATTGTAGAAATCGTTGTCGTCATCAAACTCGGATTCTGAGGCGGCCACCGCATCCTCGCCATCCTCGTCATCCGCAATCTCCCCGTCCTCATCGTCACCAGGAGGGGGAGGTGGAGGAGGGGCCGCATTGTCTTCAACTTCCCCTTCCCACTCTTCCTGCTCTTCCGACATTCTTGCAGGTTAATCAAAAGTGTATTCTCTCTCTGTGTGCGATTAGTATTAGTAGTGAAATTGAAGTCAGTAGTACTATGAATGATTTCTGGATTTCCCTTGAATCATTTTTCAGATACAATTTTATTATATACCACGCTTCTTGCTTGAGACGTATTCGTTGCCTTCGAAATAAATAAAAATCTGTAAATCGTTCCTCTTTTCGGTCAGTGCCTATGTTACATCTATTTATCGAATACCCCCTTTCTAATTCCTAACTAATTCCTTTCATAACTTGACTGATATTGAGGAATCAAGATCCAGGCATTGCAAAAATTTCAATATTTTACAAATATGTGTTACTGAAATTATTGTTCGTATAGCTGAAATTGTCGCAATTTTAAAAACATTAATAAAATATGAAATACGCTTCATATAGCTAGACTTTGGCACGAAATATATACATTATGTCAACCATTTGCTTCCGTTTTATGCAGTTTAAGTTTGCCAAAAATATAATTAAAAAGTTCACATGCATTTGTGATTTGTGGCTTCTGCAAATTGGGTTGGGTATAGAAATACATGTTTGCAGCTTGATGTATATATGCCACCTAACGGAAGGGTAGCATTGAGAAAACTGTCCGGGAACATTTTTCTCTGCAGACGAACAATAATACAGCAAGTAATAAGTACATTGGTCGTACGACGGTACGACTTTTCGGAACAGTAGTTTGATACGTTCCCAATGAAATGGTGGTGTAGCGACCCAAAATGACGCCCAACAAGGACACGACGTGCGAGCAACCAACAACAGCCCAGCAAGAACAACAAGGAATAAAGGACATTGAAGATGTTTTCAGAGACAATTCTACCGCTGACAAAGGGGGCATTTCCACCGTTAAAATTCACACGCGACGTAGGGTCAGACCATCTGAAGACGATGTTCAGCTAGGTAAAGATATAGTATATAATCACAACCTTTAACTAACTGCTGAGTAATAAATATATGACTTTGACCAGGTTGCACTGCGGCAGAGACTAATGATATCAATCCGGAAATGCACAAAGTTTTCATGCGAACATGGGGTTGTTCACATAATACGAGTGACTCTGAGTACATGGCGGGGTTACTGGCGCAATCTGGATTTAGATTATCAGGTTTGACCTCTTCCCTTGTAATGTTGTTATATTTATTGATATAACATTAAACTAAATATACTTTACTTGAACAGCCAACAAAGCGGACGCATCAGTATGGATTTTAAACAGTTGCACCGTCAAGGGACCATCAGAACAGCGCTTCAAGAACGAAGTTGAAGAGGGTCAAAGTCTGAACAAGAAAGTCATTGTTTCTGGTTGTGTTCCTCAAGGTAAAGTAGCACTATTCTCAACTCAAAGTAGTCAAGCATCTCCCTGTTCTTATCCAATTCATTTAAATTCTCTTTTTAATTTTGCTCCAAGGGGATCCAAGAAGTGACTATATTAAAGGTAACTTATTTACATGATGTAAATTACATCAATAATTAAATTTTGGATTGAAGGACATGCATATATGTAGTAGTATGTACATAATTAATTTCAATTCGATGCCTCTAGGACTAAGTATCATTGGGGTCAAGCAAATCGACGAGATTGTGACGGTGGTTGAAGGTATGGATTTACGCATTTATCAGATTAATGTATGAACCAAGTAAATACATGTTAAAAATGCGACAGTTTTGGTTATTCAGAAGTGCTCAAAGGAAACACAGTCAGACTTTTGTCTTTCACAAAGAAAAATGGTGCTACAAATGCAAACGGATTAGTAAAGAATCCACCCGGCGCAAGTCTTCATTTTCCTAAAATTAGAAAGAACGATCTGATTGAAATTATTCCAGTCAGCACTGGCTGCCTTAATTCGTGCACATATTGTAAGACTAAATTAGCCAGAGGAAATCTATCCAGTTATCCAATCGGTAAAAATTAGTAAATTATTATGCATGTAAATTATTAATTATTATGGTATTTTATATTCTGCACAACTGATCCTGAGTTGTATTTCCTCATAGATGAAATTGTGTCCAGAGCCAGTCAAGTAGTGGAACACGAAGGGGTAAAAGAAATTTGGCTCACAAGCGAAGATTTGGGTGCCTGGGGGATTGATTTGGGTCTCACAATTGTAGACTTGCTAAAATCGCTCGTTGAATGCATACCCGCAGATTGTATGCTTCGACTAGGAATGACCAATCCCCCGTACATTTTAGATCATCTAGAGGTAACTATTTAATATATTTATAATTCACATTTATACTGGTTATATAATTAATCTTCAATTCTTTATATTCAGGAAATATCGGAAATCCTTAATTTGCCACAAGTTTATGGTTTCTTACACATACCGGTCCAAGCCGGCTCCGACAGTGTATTACTTGAAATGAAACGAGAATACACTCGCAAACAATTTGAGCAGATCGTAACCTTTCTCCAGTCCCACGTAAAATCATTGACAATAGCAACTGACATCATATGTGGATTTCCCACTGAAACAGATGAAGACTTTGAAGAAACTTACGCCCTCGTAAAAAAATTCAAATTCAAAGTATTGTACATCAATCAGTTTTATCCCAGACCAGGTACTGCTGCTGCGAAAATGCAAAGAATCCCCACACATATAGTAAAACAAAGGACAAAAGCCCTAACAGAACTCTTCCTCTCCTACACCCCTTACGACGAGTCTCGTATTGGAATGGAATATAAGAATGTTTTGGTAACTGAAATTTCCCACGACACCATCCACCTCGTTGCTCATAACAAGGCGTACGAACAAATTCTTATTCGACGAGACTTGTTCAAAGATGAAACATTGATTATGGGAAAGAAGATAGATGTTAAAATTATTGCAGTTAGTAAATTCTCCATGATAGCCTTACCCCTTGAAAAATCGTATAACGTGCTTCAATTTCTAAATAATCATTTAATGTTTGTTGGACTGCTGTTAGTCCTGGTAGCTGTGTTTTTATCATGGTTTTATCGTTTGTAGCATTACAATGCATATATAAATATTTTAGTTAATGGTTTAGAAACTAAAAAGATGTAGCAATAAAGGCAAATATTTAAGAAAATGAATATTCAAACCAACTCTAACTCAATGAATGCACAAACCTTCGGATTAATTCCTTTATTATAAAATACTGCGTAGTCGAATACAGCAAAAGTACGTTAGGTCGCAAATGCTAATACTACAAGGTTTATTCTTAGTCTTTAAAACTTAAGCATTTCATGAGAGACTTGACTCTTGTCGTTTCCAAAGATAAGGTTGTCCCACGCTGCCATTCAGAGGAACCAACAGGCTCAGCCATTAGAATTGATTTGGCTTCTTTCATAGTTTCCAATGCTTCTGCAAGCTCCTTTTTGCACCTTTTTCGGATTATGTCAAATTCCTTGGCATCATAACATTGATTGATTTTGCCTGTGCAAATGGTTAACAGTGCATCCTGAAGGACACACAAGAGATTTCCTGGAAATAATGAGCGAGTCATTTATTTTGTGACATTTTTCACAAGGCTCTATAAAATCTCGAGAAATGCACCCACCTCTGAATTTATTGTTGCCAGGCTGAATGAGATCAGCGACTAGAGAGAGAGAGAGTAAAATACTTATGCAATTTGTACACTTGTGGTTAAAAATGAACTTTGTGTTTAAAATAATTCGAGTAAGCAAACGTTTGTTACCTGAAAGGCAATGTCGGCAAAGGTCCACTTGCCATTTAGCCAGGCGAAGCCTTTCAGGTTCATCAAAAACTGTGCTCAACGCGACGTCAATCAGTCTCAATATCTCACATTCCATGTTAATTACAAGGTAGTGATTCTTGTGTAAAGTTTTATTCTTGTAAAACTCTAGAATATCCATAAATTCATTCAAACTGCCGGCTTTCCTTATTTTGGCTTTCACATCTTGAAGGATGTCTTCGACGAGCATGACATTAACGTCAGAAGCGTTGCATCCAGCGGTCAGATTCTGATTACAAATCCAATTTGAATTCGGATCGATTGGGTTCTTTGATATTAGCCACCCATTTTTGCACGAGTCACTGGTACATTTGACGGAGGAGAGATATGTCCCAATTTCCGTCGGGTCTCGACACCTGCTACATTTACAAGAAAAGTAAAAATTGTCCAGCAAATATGCCCGACGCTCCAGCGTTCCACAACTTGGCTCCACATATGAAATAGTGATGGGATCCTTATATTTTATATTTGTTGTGGCAATGACATTGATCACGAACGACTTTCCTTTTTGCTGTATTACGGATCTTGCGTTTGGAATGCAGTCATGCGTTAGAAAGCTTGCAAAATAGAAAAGGAATGAAGCATGCCTGCGGATAAAACAAGATATTTATAAATAAATCAGTTTATAGACTGGGATTCGTTGTGAAAAATCATAAAGCGATCACTAAATATTATGATTCAACCCTTTAGGTCATTAACTAACTACTATTTTATTATTTAAGTGGTACCTTAAGGGTCCATCAGAGTAGCATTGTCCTAGCAGTCCATTTCTGCTATACGAATTGATGGCACAAACACCAGAAAAATGACTGATTTCATTGAAAGGAAACTGCTTTAGTAAATGGCATTCATCTTTAATGAATTTGTAGTAAGATATGTCACCTGAAAAAAATCATAAACGAGACACATAAGTGAGGTACACAAGCAAAGATAAAACTTTTGATTAGGCTCAACATCAACGTGTAATTCATTTATTTTGCAACAATGCGATTTGTAAGAATTTGTAAGAATACGTGAGACTTTCACTTTGGTGTAAACTTCCTACACATTAATATGGAACTATTTTAAGATAGAGCTGTAGAGCATTGAATATCTAAAGTTTCTTATTATGCATCGGCATTTATTTAGATTGCAAATGAATGAGTTAAAGTTTTTCATCTGGTCATTTAACCAATGGGTGATTTTAAACAATTGTACAATAACTCACGAGACACTGCAGCAACATCTTGTTTCCTGTTGGCAATGTGAGACTGCAAATTCATTAGCAGTTTCCATTTGTCTGGACTTTTTTCTTTCAACATCAAACAACGTAAGATCTTTATTTTCTCGTACTCAAGGGGCGAAACGATTGGCGACACGGGACAAGTCGCAAATACGACGCATTCAAAGTTGGAGTGGTCAGGCATCTGAAATAACAAGAACCAATTTGATTCGGTCGTTACTTTCATGCTTCTTATCTATAGGCGTGTATGCGTGAATGTATGTATGTATGTATCTCTAACAGTTGGTTGGTTTGCCACATGTCACACAAGTGTGAAACTTTGGTTCAAGGTCCAATGTACAAATCTCAGCGATTCGCATGTGTATGTGTATTAACTGAGCCATACTATTATGATACAAGCTTTTAATGCCCATGCAGATTTAATGCAAAAATGCAGTATTTCTCAATGAACTAAATAAATCATGATGTGATATATGAATTTCCTTTAATATCACAGCTCAGATGACATAATCGTCACATTTTATGTATGACTTTGATTTATTGAGTGAGAAAGTGAGAGAATTAATTTTTCTCTTGACTCGATGCAATGCAGTCAGCACAATAATTAACGCATCTCTATCAGTCGTTTCACTTCGAAAGTGTGTCGAGCATCACTTTGTTTGTCTTTGTCATGAATGAATCTGAGTGGAGCCTGCACTGCATGGTTTGATGTAAACGTGTAGATGTGTAAAGTGCACAAATTGAAGTACAAAGTACAAAGTGCGATGTGATCTTAACTATATTCGTCAGTCCATTGAATTTAAAGTGTTGAGGAAGTGAGACGGTTTGAGTAAAATGCGTTCGCCAGCAATCTCATTCAAAGGCAATAACATTAAAAACACGGATATGAAGCACGCGTGGTTGTGATGCGATGCGACTCCGAGTAAACCGAGCAAATTATTGCAAACTCTCCCCGTGCCAACTAATTATTAGGTAATATGCATATGTACACGTCAGATTTGCACTGCAAACAATGCACACGTATAAAAGTGGTTTGACTTTTGGTACTCTCTCGGCCACACAAATATTTATACCCACACTTTTGGACAGTGACGATATGAATTTTTAATTTAAATTCATTTAGTGTTGTTCTTTACATAATCCATCAAAAGATGTTGTTTGAGATGGCGCTGGTGACAGGTGATGACCAACAACATAGCTATTTTACCTGGGATTTTACCAAACATGAGTATATACTACATCAATTTTGGCAGGTGGGGATTATGACCAGCAAGAATATCACTACATGAAAATGATTACGTTTGTATAATTCTGTGTCGTCGTGTGCATGATAATTCAAATCAACAGCACGGTAAATGCCTATGAGGAAGATTGAAAAAAAGTTCAATTTGCTATGATGTCACTCAAAGTCCAAGGTTCAGGACGAAAATCGGCCAAAGTCTAATACATAATTGATTGAAACAAACACGAATATTGCATAATGTGCGAAGCAGGTGCCCATCTACAGCACCACCTTAACGAACACAGATGATGGGTACAGGTGAGTGTCTTGACTTGGCAGCTTGTGCTGAATAGTACATATGCCTTATGCGTGTACATATATTTGATCAAATGGGCATGACGGACAATGGAAATGAAGGTACTCACCATTTCACACTGAAAGTTGCAAACAGGCCAACCACACTTGGAACATTTATAAAATGACGTTACGTTCTTGTAACAGCCGAGGCAAGTTGAGAACGTCTTGGATTTCTCAATTCCAACCCCACAAGGACCAACCATCAAAGGACGCTCTTGAAAAATAATGTCTCCTTGTGAAATGTCCTTTGCTGCCTCCAGGTACCTCCCTCGGATGGAGTCGGCTTGAATAGAAAATGGAGCGTCTCCAGAATTCATCGTGCAGCAGGGTTTTTTAATTATACTTTTTCCTGATTTGCCTGGAGTTAAGTTACGTGTAATGATTCACGTCTAATATAAAACTCACTAATATTCTTTAGTCTGGGTTGACAAGAATGCTCCATATAGCGAACTATTGCTTTTTTTACACCTTCGTGGATAATTGTGTTAGAGGAAAGTTCACCTGGCGTTTATTCAAATATTATTGAAAATCACAACAAATTGTTTTCATATTGTTTATTAAATGCACAGCTTTGGCTAGTCGAATTGACAAATGAGGCATGTCTTCTGAGCAGTACGAGTTGTGGGAGCAAAGACTTTGGTCTCGTTTGGCTTGGAAAGTGTGTGCGTGTCTCTGTGTGTTTCAGAGCACCCGAACGAGAGTGAGTGGGAACAAGACCTTCTCAGTCACAAAACTATGTCCTGACTCTACCACGATCATGCACGTTTCGACCTTTGACTTGGTTTGCTTGACTTTGTCTCACACTCCTCGTCGTCGTCGCTCCTTGTGGGATCGTGGTGGCTCAATAATCTCAATATGACAACACGCCAAAGCCTCCAGCCGAGTACTTATCTCTCTCCACAAACAATCACTGCAATGAACTTTGGATGCAATTAAGTTGAGATTGAATAGACAAAAGCTGGGAAGCAAACAAGGAATTTCATGGGATATGAAGCCTCATGGTGAGACATGAGCAGGAGAATGGTGTTGTTGACCATGGTGGAAGAGTAACCAAGCAATGCATGCAGCCGAGCCAGACAGGAGGTGAAAAGCATACATATATCATATCTGTACTCGCACCTATATGCAGTTTTGGTATATAATGATGTGCAACAACTTTTTATGTATAAAGATATCCAAACGACATAGTAAATCTAATATAATCACTCACATTATTATGTAGTATACAATTTTCTCATTGTAATAAGCTCAGGCAATACTCGATAGTGTGCACTTATACGTATATATGTGCTTAGCTTATGCATGAATTATTTTGATTAGTTAAGCACGCCATCATCAGTTTGATTGTCTCTGGTTATCTGTTTATTTACAGTTTTTCTAATCCAGTTAAAATAACTTTGGGGAACATCCTTCAATTTTTCATTGTGTGTCCTGTGACAGAATGGAAAGGGTGAGGTCAAATCCTTACTGAGCTAAAAATCTGGATGATGGATAGTCTCATGTTGTGAGTAATCTTATTATGATTACAATAAATAATCCATCTTTATTAATAATGTTATCACGGATGTTTGTATACATACGTTTAATAAAGGCAACATACAAAAATGCCAGCCTTATGAAGATATTGAATACATTTGCTACAACGCATTACATATTTCTTGGTTTATTAAAAAACAATATCATGCAGATTATATATACACCATCAATACTTGATCTGTCTAGAATCAATTATCAGTCCGAATCCGAAGAATCACTGCTAGATTTCCTTTTCTTGCTTTTCTTGCTGTGGGACGATTTATTCTTTTTCTTCAGTTCTTTTTTCAGGAGACTGAGTAGTCGAGTCTCAGATCTATGAAACAGTAAATAATCATTGTTAGTGAAAAATTTAGTTAAATATATTAGATTATAATTGATTATATAATTTAAAGTGTTCGTACGGTCGATCTGAAGACCTAGCTTGCTCTGAGGCGTGACCTCTTGAATACCGTGGCGGAGACCTGCTCCATTTATGTTTCCCAGCAGCAGTTCCAGTTGCAGCAGATGAACCATGCCCTCCTCTGTTGACGTCACGATGATCTCCTCTGTCATTGTTGTTAGATGATTTGTCATCTTTATTAGAGCTTCTTTGTTGTCCAAAATAGCGAGATGAGCCTCCTTCGTTGCGAATCCAAGGAGCAGATTTACTGGCATTTATTGGCTTCCCCTTCTCATCAAATATGTCGACTCCTCTTCCTTTCCCTTTCCATTTGTACTTTGAAACGCTCTGGCTGAAATCAACGTGAATTCTTCTGTCGTCTATGAGCACATTGTCCATTTTGAAATATGCATCTTCACAGGCTAAATTAAAAAAGATTCAGATTGGTATCTTAATTGTTTTCTTTCATGGTACATACTAAAGTATGGGCAACAAAATGGGATAGTTCTGTCTTTTCAAATTTCATTAACCTTTCTTGTCTTCAAATTCGATGAATGCATACTGCAAGGATTCCCCTGATTTGTTATCACGGATAACTTCGCAACTATGAACAAGAAGCAAGCATGATATTATTATATTATTACCTTCATGTAGGTTTCATGTAATACGTGCTATATTTACATGCAAATACACTAATGTTCATACTTTTTAATTTTTCCAAATCGACTGAAAATGATTTCTAGATCTTCGTCTGAAGTTACAGGATTTAATTTGCAAACAAAGAGGACATTTTCTGGGGGTGCTATATCGGCATCCGGGAGATCTCCAACCATTTCCAAAATTGTGGCTCTAGACTTGGCTTCCTTCTCCTGAATAATCTCTTCAATTTCATCCATTGTTTTCCCATCCATGTCATCAATGTCTTCATCTGCCGCCAGTCTTCCACCCTATAAAAATATCAATTCATATGAGCTTCAATACTTTGAATCAAGTTTCCTGATCAGCTATCCAATCCAATTAGCTATAATAAAATCCATATTACCATCATCCTCTCTGGATTGGGCGAAGGGGACCTACTTGGAATGTTTAGCCCTACCGGATCATCAAAAGGATCCTCTAAAATTACGGTGTGACTAATTCGAATATCTTGATAAGGGCGATTAGTTCCATCACATATGGCTTCATTAATTTTACCTAAAAGTAGATAAAACAATCAATTAGAATGTGACAAACCATAGGAAAAAAAGTTATTATTTCACAATACTGGTCACAGTAACTTACTCAGCACTTCAAATCCTTCCGTAACCTCCCCGAAAATACAGTGATCCGTATCTAAGTATGTTAAGTGCTCATCTAGCGTAAAGAAAAATTGAGACCCGATCATTGGCAGCATTCCATCGCCACAATTTACCATCGAGACGGTTCCAGGCTTTGTGTGTTTTAAACGAGGCGTCTTCTCTGCCTCATAGTAGCGAGCTTGATCTCCATATAATATACTGAAATAATAACACAACCAGAGTGAAGAATGCTATATTACATATCTGAAATATTTTCAATTATTACCCAAAAATAGAGTCTCCACCTTTTCCAGACCCGGTTGGGTCTCCCGTTTGTGCAATAAAGTTCCTCTGAACGGTATGAAATAAGTTGAAATTGTAGTACTTCATCTTGCATAGTTTGAGAAAATTTTTACAGGCTGGAAAATTGATAAGAAATAAATTCATATAAATAAAGACCGCTATTAGATATGTACTATTAAACCTTGATTTGTTGTTATTAACTTACTTTTTGGCCGTTCTTTGATATAAAGGTCAATGGTGATGTCTCCCTGGGTCGTTTCAATAACCACCGACATGGTAATGTAATGTATTAGTGATTCCAAATTGCAAAACAGAAATAGAAATATCAGGTCGAAATGCCGAAACCAAATTTTCTAAAATTTACATCCAACTACATTCAGAGACACACTGGATTATCTTACAACAAAGACCGGAGAAGAGCAATTTTAACTGTCTTTTCATCCACAATTTAAAACAAAAGTACTGTTAAATATTTTCTAAAAAAAATATTAAAATGTGCAAAAGTTGCAAAATTTTAGATCGTAAATTTGTAAACGAAGAGGTTGGCGGCTGATGAGTTGCATTTCACCCACCCGAACCAACAACAAACCAAATACAAGGAGGGAGGTGAAGTGAGACTGCTACTCCGACTGCTCAGCCAACCGTCTCATTTTCCTCACATATAAGAACATCGCCCACGAGCAACAGTCCTTTCAGTACTCGTCTCAGCTTGCCTCCGACGGAGTACAGCATTGTTGAGAGAGTCCGTGCTATTTAACGTGATATCACTTCCTTCATCTGTGCAGTTGCTGTCACCTTTCTTTTGATAACATGACCGCAACGTCCCCTGCCATGCCCCCATCGGTAAAAAGCAGAGTCACGCATGAGAACACAAGGACGGCACGAAAAGCAACCAGTGGTCGAAAAGTATTCAGAATTTTGAGTTATTCCAAGTTTACTTTTACATTACACTGGATCTGATTATTGCATAATTTTCCAATCTTAAGGTTATCAAAGGTCTCATTGAACGACGAAGGAGAGCTCGGATTAATCAGAGTCTCTCGATTCTGAAGGATCTAGTAGTGGACAAGGAGTCGCGAGAAGAGAAGGTTGAGAAAATCCCCGTGATCTATAAATGCAGCTTTGCTAGGTTTTTTTAACCAATTGTGCGCAATGCATATTTAGGTTCTCAAATTGGAGAAAGCTGACATTCTCACGTTGACGATTTCGTACTTGCAAAAATTAAATCAAGAGAAGGAACTTAATCATCGTCACCTCTGTTTCAATGATGGTTACAAGGTATGCAAACAATGCATCAAATTGCCTTATTCAAATAATACTAATGAACGGATTGATTACAGGAATGTTTTAGAACAGTTGTGAAATATCTGGAAACATGGAGTTTTCCGAAGAGTACGATAAAAGAACTTGTACTAAGCATAAGTCCGTCGTCATTCGCTAATAATTCGCACGGCGACACGTGTGGTTCAAATTCAGAAACTACACACGTCAGTGAGCCAACTCATCATCAGGATCAAATCCACTCGCACGGGATATTCACTTGTTTAGACGATTTTTCGAATGAACAAGGTTCAGGATTCTTCTCGCCATCGTTTGAACCAGACCCGCAACCTCTTGACCTTTCTCAATTTGGTAACCATTCGAAATTTGACCGTGACAGTCTTTGGAGGCCTTGGACTTACCATATACCTGGTCTATCGAAAATAACAGGAAGTGGAGAGACATGGCCCGTACAATGTACGATTTGAAATTATTATTTTTAACTCGTAGTTTTCTATTGCAAAAATTATTGCCATTAAAATAAATAACAATATTGTACATACGTACAGTCAACTTTATACATACTCCTTTATTGCGAAAAGGAAGAACACACCCAGCAACAAAGTAGTTGGAGCGATAAGAATGGCAATTATGGAAAGGAATCGATCTGTGTCGACTGTGTCGTCTTTTTTTCTTCGCAACGATAAGTTCTTTATCCACGTAAATATTCGAGGGAGGAAAATATTCCACAACAGTCACACGACGGTTTCCTCAGTTTGTTACACATTCATGGCGGAGGAATGAATTGGAGCAAATTGACATACAGCAGGAACTTAACTTAATGCTCTGTCAGTCAAGTGATTTGCCTGCAATATTTATTCACAAGCAGAAGTCGCAGAGTGGGTGTAATGAGCTATGCGACTGAATAACTTTTGTCAACTGCCCACCCTTTGGGCATTCACCGTTTATGCTGAGAACACGTCCAACAATTTCCTGCAGATCCAGTCCACTAATTAGTACAGTCCTTCCCATTATTTATGCAACGGCTACACCTATGAATACTGCCATTTAAAGACAGCAAAACCATGACGGGAATGTTTCCTACGTAGGTATGCAGATTCATCAGGGCATAACATCATCATTTTGAGAGAGGGCATTCTGCCATGTGTCCTGTTTCCGATGAGTTTTCTTACATACGCATGCATACCACTAAAATACGTAGGCATCTAATTGTTGTTTTTTGCATAATAAAGCCTTGATATTGGAACAATTACATAATTCCCGCATGTATATATATATATATGTACAACACTTCAATAAGTGCGATATTTCAGATATAATAAGTATGGATGTCTATATCCTATCGTCATATACATACATATATATTTGTGTAGTATGTATGTGTGCACTGATGACAACACGGTTGACGGTGCCTTTAGTTTCGTAAAAACTGCGGGGGTAAAAAAATCCAACACACTTGGTTGACAGACCGGTCCCAGCATTCCATTATTCCATCGTCTGAATTTCATAGATCGTTGAATTTTGGCAATGGGATTCGTGTCTCAAATTCATGAATATGACGACGAAATGCTTCATAGCAATGCTTTAATTTCTTCTAGTATGAATATTGCATGAATATGACTGTGGCACTATCCAAAATTAGACATGCACGGGTAGGTGCAAGTATTATGTTTAGAAAAATAGTTTTATTTTCAGTACCATAAGTTTTAAATTTTATAATTCGACAAACAAATTCAACTATATTTTCATTGTAAAGAATAAGTTTAACGATTCAAAGAGTAAATTCAATGTTAGGAGCGTTTTCAGAATCCAGAGGAATAAATTAAATTCTGTGCATGCACTGTACAAAATCTTATAAGAGCTAAGGTGACCTCGGAACACTGTCCGAAAGGTTTTCCAACACTAACATCGGGTTTTCTAAGTGACTATTTTGAAGTATTCTATTACGAATTTATGTCGTGTAAAATAAAATAGTACACAATTCATGGTGAAAGTGGCATCATTTTATTTTTGCATGCAATCTGTACTGGACCAATACCGATTGAATTCCCTAGTATTGTAGTGCAATGCCAATGTTCCTAAGATACCAAAAGTCAAGCAATCGTGTAGTAAAAGGTAACTTTTATCATGCCACTGAATTTGACTACTGAATCCAGCAATATCATTTCCGATCTATAGTCATCCCCACTCCATGGATCAACAAGAAACCCCACGATACATTTGAATTACTCATCGGCATTGAATTAGTCAAATTATCTACATTAAATTAAAAGTCAGACTGAAATTGTTTTTTACGCAAAATAAACTAATCATGAGCGAACGAATTGGCAAACAGAAAAACACACTTGAAGTTGCTCAAAAGTTGTCAACAAAGACGAGATTCTCCACCGACGAGGTTATCATCATTTGACAAATTATATTTCGTACATTTTATTAGGAACTGCATAATGAAATGCATTTTATGAAATTCAGTGTCGGTCATTACTTACTATTCATCAACGTATTGCTGCTCTCGGAAAAGTGGATCGATTGCGATTTCGAGAAGTTTTACACACTGCATTTGATATCACGGGTAAGAATGAGCATGCATATGTACATTGTGTAAATTATAATCATATAATCTTAATCCTTTACGTGTAGATGACGTGATGTTGGACAGAGTTTATCGGGTGTTTGACAAAGATAACGACGGAATTGTAAGTCAAAGTATATTTTGAAAATTTCAAAAATGAACAAATCTTACAAAATTTTTTAATTGGAAATAGATCAGTGACCATGAGTGGGTTGAGGGGGTATATTTTTATTATTTTATGTTATCATTATATTATAATTTCTTACTTCATATATTTTTTATCTTACATATTTCGTAAGGTGTCCTTGCTTTGTCGTGGCACACCAGACCAACTTATAGACTTTTGCTACATGGTTTATGATATCAACGGAGATAAATCATTGGCACGAGAAGAGTTATCTCACTGTCTGAAGGGGGGTTTAGTCCCATATGCGGGTGTCATGAACGGAGATGAAATTGAGGAAGCTATGCGCGAAATTGTTGAGATTGTAATTTACCGATCTTGTAAATATCATATAGAAATCTTCAGAATTAATAATTACTTTTTACTTGCACACAAAAATCGTAGGGCATGAAGAAGTTAGATCGGGACAAGGATGGCCAAATCACTCAGGTAAGATGACCAATTTGCAGATTTTTTCACTAATGCAATGTAATATTCAATGAATCTCCCAGCCTGATTTCACAAACGCCTGCTACTATGATCCCCTTCTGCTTCAATCTATTGGACCTTGTCTTCCTCCAGCAAGATCATTGGGTAGACAGAGAGTTTTACGACAAATTTAATCTCTATTTTAAATTTCCTCTTATTCATTGTAGCTGCATTTATGGCAATCTTTACTGAAAATTACCGCTCATATTCAACAGAGTGGAATGGTGAGGACGTTAGCTTTCACTCGAGGTTACTGGAATTATTCTAGTAGAATAGCAAGTAAAATATTTATTTTCTTAGATGAATGGAAAGAACAACAACGAAGAGTTGAACTTGGTGAGAATCCACTGCAAATTGATCGGACGTTTTCAAAGGACAAAACGAGTACGAGCAGTGTATTGGTGGTCGGACGCTCTGGAGCAAAATCAAAACCTCAAAAAAGCAAAGGAAGGAAAAAATCGATGTCAAAAAATTATAAGTAATGAAAAGCTTCCTAATTTACGACTTCTACTTCCAAATCAAGAGTGACGATCATTCATGACGAAATATGCACAAAATATGCACTACAAATTATTGTACATAATATGGAACGCAATGTTAATGACGGCAAAATGAATACATGTTTGTGCGTTTTAAATAGAAACCCTAACTGTACAGATTTATTGTACACAATGCATGAATTTTGTTACAGTTTATATATTGTCATTAATACATTGGATTCGTGGCCTTGACGGGGAGAGGGTGACATTCCGTATTCATCACCCACTCATCCAACGAGATGAGGTCATTCGTACTAAATATTAAGTACAAGTACTTCAAAGTCTCGGCTAAAAAGAAAGTCTGTTGCACGTCATCCTGAACTGGGCTCAGTGAGTTGGTGTTCCGAAGACCACTGTATCCTCGCCCTGGACCTGCCTTTGAGTAGCGTTCGATAGCTTGTGCAGCATCTACACGATTTATTTGCATGCTAGTTATGTATATGTAAGAGCCAAGTCATTTATTAATGAATAACGAATTGCATACCCCACGCCCAATCACGATATTTCGAATCTCCAGTAATCCTGTACATGACGAAGTAAGATTCGATTACTTCTGGTCTCAATATGTATCCTCGTTCACCATCACTTCCAGCTTCAGCTTCCAAGTTATCTGTGAATCTAAATATCTCTGGCCCTGAAATTTAGTTCACAATTTCAGAATTAATGATTAATAATCAGAATACCATAAAAACTTGAAACATTTACCAATATGCGTGTTTGTACGAATATAACTCTCGTGACAAGTGTTGGTAAAGTTTCGGCCAATTTCAGCATCACGATCTGCATTTGCATTGTTGGGATCGACGTGAGCTCCCAACGCAAACATTCCACCTTTAATACATATATTTTTAATTTGTAATTTCTAGTTGTCACAATTTATTTAAATACATGGATGACATTACATGAATACATAAACCTACCAGCAAAGCAGGCTAAATGACCTACCACCGGATCTACAGAAAAGAAATTTAATTGATTTTACATACGGAAATAACACCGCAAACTTCTTTGTGTTGGTTTGAACCTGCAAATCCTGCCCGTGATTCCGCAATATACAATAAGTGGTTTTGTCGAGAAACTCTGACAAGATCATTGTTAACAAAGGCATCCATTGCTTCGTCATACATCGTTCTGGCCTCTTGGTCATTAAGTTGGATTGCTGCTTTCAAAAGATACTCGTAGTAAGAATCGCCTAGAGCCCCGATTGACACGTGATCTACAAACAATAATATTTATAAATTTAACCATATAGTAAGACACTAGGTAATAGTGACTTATGTAAATATGTATGCATATTTGTACCATCAGTCCATCTGCCTTGGTTGACATCCAAGTGGTTGGGATAAAGTCCATTTGGTTTTTCAATCTCTTTCAAAAACTTGCGAATAGCTTGAACTTTTTCAGCGTAAATAGGATTTCCAGTAATTTCCGACAGGTACATAAACTCTAATGTAAATAGATTTAGATTCAGGTTTAGTTTATAAATTGATTTTTTGGTGCACATAATAAAGAGAAATGGCATGCTATCTATCATTTAATCACAGAGGAAAAATTGTGGATTTATTAACTTCAAAAAACCTTAAATAAATCCCCCTTCTTAAAGGTCCCATTCACCTAACCGGCCTCCAGATTGGGTGAGAAATCAATTACATATGTAACAACACAAAATCGAGGTAAACTGGATGAACTATGACATAATTAATTAAAAAAGTGGATAGAGCGACCCACTATTGTAGCAATTGGCGATTTTGGCGACTAGTTAGTATAATTAATATTTGAAAAAGTGGGTTCATGATCTCCTACTCCGGAACCCTCCCCCGTTTGGGGTGGCATCCCAGGCGACATAGTATTGATAAATAAATAAATTCACTTTCATACATGCCCACGGATTTACCTAAATGTAATGTCCCGAACTCGGCTAGCACAGCATTTGCATTCGTTCCCGTCTCCCCAGTCAAAACGTTGACACTACCGAAAGGAATCTGCAACATTATGCACACACATTTTACATTTTTTGATGGAACCTAGAATATATAAGTCGTCTTTTTGCGAATTATGAATAATAATAAACCAACTAATTGTAAGATCACAATTTATGTACCCCCTAAAGTAGATAGACCCGAGACACCATTGTTTACGCCCAGTGCTGAATTACATAATGTCTCTCATCTACAGTATTGTTTCTCAAGAGTAAAAATTGGGTAATTCGATGGTTTCAACTTTAAACCATGGAATAATTACCCAATCGAATTTCCATTGAATAACCCAACTTGAGGCTCTCAAGTTACTCATGTTTAAATATTTGTGTGACATCACATATATGAATGTATGAATACTGAAGAAATATCCTCCAACATTGATGAAAATAATGCCTATAAATAATTTTAAATTTTACCCCGGTTGTCGAATTAAAGGCAGGCAGCAGTTTGTTTGTAATTTCTACAGCGCGATCCCTGTAGATTGTATCTTGGGTAATGGCGTAAGCAGCAAGAAATCCGCCCACAAAACGTATATTTGTTTCAAAAACTGAAACTGTGGCATTCTGAAAAAAACAGTAAATTCACAAACTAAACATACTCCACCAATGCTGACCTTTGGAATATTGGTTATGCCGTTACCACTTCAAAATCCAGCTCATTTGCGACATAGCCCCTGGCCATTTCATACTCTTGCATCAACTCCATGATATAAAGAGTGTCGAGTGAGTCTACAATTGTCGCCCCTATTTTCGAAGGACCGAATATGCCCCCCGTCTGGCCCGTTTGGCTGACTGGTTTTAATTCATTGTCCCCCCACGCCCACCTAATTTGTTCAAATTAACAAATTAGTTCATGATTTGAGATGACATTTTAATATAATAACATATTTGTTATGACGCATAAGTAGCATGCATAAGCTATTCAATGTCGAAATAATTAAAGCGTTATTTGTGACAACATTAATTAGCCAATTCGACTACCTGACATAATCATCCCAAGCATCTTTCATCATCTGGAAAAAAATTTCTAAGTTTCATTACGAAAATGATACTATCAACTTCTGCATATGTAACTATTAGTAAATATGTACGATACCTGCTTGACGAAATTCCTGCGAGCTTGAATCACTGGATCTGGGTCTTCCCCACCTTGGTTTGCGAGGGGCTTGTAGGCCAATTTCAATTTAGAAATTTCATTACGATCCAACGGGACGGCCCAGGATGTAGCAACGAGAGCAAACACGAATCCCACAACAATTGATAATTTCGTCATCTTGAGGATTGTCTTCAATTATATCAGATTCTCCTGTGCTCCTGCATTACACATGAGTAAGTTCTCATTAAACGCTGCGTGGTTGTCACAAAATGATACGCTTTTTAATTCAAGTTCGATTGCTGCGCATGTTCATAGACCTCATTGACATCCAACAAACCCTATTCCACACGCAGAAAAGATTCCATTATGATAATTTAGTGCATTACAAAAACAAGTCAATGGAAAAATTGTCTACTACTTTGAGGACTCGAATGATTGGTATGCTGATCACAATCAACAAACAAATAATCATAATTTGTGATACATGCATTAAGTGCATACGATGTGGACTGACTTGAAAAGACTGTGCCTGTTCCACAATCTAAGATTCTGTAGGATGGAAAAGTTCACAAACTGCTTATGGAATACAACCAATCAATATAGAAAACAATAATTTTTACAATAATCAGGTTATTCACGTCTCAATGCTCCCCCGACTGACTGATTTATATAAGCAGTACGTACATACGTACATACACACTGATTTACCTCCGAGATGATGATACTTTGGCTTAATATAACGAGTGTCTTTATTGTCAACCACTACGATTCCACTCGGTTTATCAATTGCAAAACCATTATGGTATTCTCGTAGTTTAGTAGTTAACAGCTTAGCAATTTAAATATGTCATGATTAAATATCTACAAAAATTCAATAATAACGAACAAGTAAAACTGTGATACTGGGAGGATTGCTACGTATGTTGTGTACATACTTTTATGAACTTATTAGTATCTGTAAAACCACTGCTCACGAAACGACCAACTCTATGAGACGACTGGAAAAGGACATCAATTGTTCATTTTCATGCATGATCTTGTAGACCACGAGCATTTTATATTATTATTTGTGCATGCTTTTGTGATCCTCGGCCACTTTTCCACTACCCCGAGCCCATTTCTCACAATATTTAAATCGGCAAAGGGAATGTTTCCAGTTCATGGTCTCGGAGCCAGAAGGAGAGTTATGAAAGGATAAAAAAAACGAGGAAATGCTTTGACCATCCTCCGTGTGCATTATACACGTTCAACAATGCGTGGACCCCAGATCAACCTCCTCCCCAGGTGAGATCCACCAAAGAACAACAAATATCAGGACACAGCCAAGTTTGTGAATTGACAATAGATTTGTAGAATAACACGAGGAGTAGGACTGAAGGCAAGGCGCAGGGCTAATCTGATTTTCTCATTCTTCTCAGGCCATAAATAATTTTGACTGTAACGGGTTACATGTTCCCTAACTGGAAGTTAACCACAGGAGATCAGTCATTTCTCCAAAGTCTCCTGTGACTTTGCCGTCCAACTATGTACGCTCATGTACTTGTGTACATGCATATACACACATAGCTAGCCTTGCATTGTGTACTGAAACCGGATGGGTCAACCAGACTCTCGTCATCTTCATGTTAATAAAAGTATATGTGGAAAAGGACTACGGCGTATAAGAAACACATACAAAAAATACAATGCATTCGAATAGATGACAAACTTTTACTCTTTTCCATCCAGCCCACAGCCACCTGTCAAACCACATTTCCAGTCAAATGCAACAAACCAAAAGCCGTCTTTGTCCCACCGGTTAAATATTTACAGAGTTGTTCTAGACCATAAACTCGTAAAATGCAACTTATTCAGGCTCCTATGCATACAAGGCCCACTAAACTAATCCTAAGCCTATTTAACTTATGGATCTTTACTTATTCGAATTTAATACCTTTTTCACCTGGATCCAAAACTTCCTTCACTGCCACCCGATGACAAAGGAATGGTTTAACATCCAAATTCGAAAATGTACGTGTGTGGTATCCTTCGATAATCAGACGTTATTTTCAGATTTTTTTTATCATGCCACACAGTTGACAATGTAATCACTCAAACTAAAGTTTATCAATCTGGTCATCGCTAACTAAAGAGCATCCACTCGTTGTGCTCAATGTGATTAATCATTGTCGCATCGGATTATGTACTTGTTATTGTCGTATCTAATCATTATGAAAATGAGAGCCCCATGGAATTAAATTAAATATTAAGGGCACGCCCGCACCAAGTGATGACAATGTGCTAATGTGCAAGGTAAAATGTTATTGCCAATTAAATGCTCAAAGTTAAAATCGTGAGCCCAACCTTTTATTAATTGATGAAGAGAGGGTTTGATAACGTGATAATCCTTTTCCAGCCTTCAATTGAGTGCTACCTTGCCTGTTCACAAGATATGCATATGCAGATTTATGCAAATACTCAAATATGCAACTCTATTTTCTGCCAGATTTTACTTACAATATGATGCCGAGATTGACTTTGCATTGTCTTATCGACATGCTCATATGGCCAACATGCTCATACGGATTGAATATTCAATATGCTTGCTTGTAACAGTATGCAAATAAATAAAGTCCATTCGTAATTGTTGAACTCAACCATAGCTTATTCACTAGAATTTTAAGCGTTATAAATTATAGAAAACAAGTATTTTTACAAAGTTTTGTACAATCACTCATTTGCGAATTAGTTTTTAACTAAACGTTGAAATGTGAAAGTACGGCGTGGGGTGCTAAGGATCGTGGTAAAGGTGTTCGTCCTCACACTCTTGAATGCTCTGCAGGGGGAGAGAGGTCCGAGTTCTGACGTTGCCTAATTTTCGACCTCGCTCCGACGTCCTCGCCCCTTGTCTGCTGCCCTCCTTTTTGGGGCCTCCCATGAATAAAGTGCTCCGAAATGCGGGGTGTTCGTCATAGCGGGAGGACATTTTCAAGTTTTGAGATGAATTCACCCTCCTCTCGTTATATATTTGATTTGAAGACTTCTGAGGCGTTGCAGCATTAGCACTCTCCAAGCAAGCCAATTTTGCCTTCTTTAGAGCCTGCACACATATAAAAATGTTGAATTTATTTTTAAAAGTATATTATCCTATCAGTAAATGATTGAAAATTACTTACGCAAATGTCTCTTCTGTTAGTTTCAGTCTTCAATTGGTCTGTAGCTGGAAATGTTGGGATCTCGCCGTGAAAAACATGCTGTCCAATGCACCCTCCGTTTTTAACGGTACGGCACATTTTGAGGACCTATTGGAACACATGAAACCTACTAAGACTTTGACATTGTTCTTAAGCCCGGCTTCATGCCATATGACAAAGATATTACTGCAACTCACTTGGACTGCCTTGTTCTGAATTACGTTTTTCTTTTGTTTCTCCATCTTTTTTGACATCTCATCGGTCTGTATTATGCAATAAAGAAAATTAGTACCAATAAAATAGCTTTACATAGTCCGAACCAGGATTTAGTAGGAAACGTATTTATCAGTCCTTTTCTATAAAATCTTCCGGTTATGCATACATATCTATGTATGCCACTTTAAAATAAGTGAATATTTTCCACTAAATTGAGTCAATTTTTCCTATTATTTGGCAGCAATTTATAGAAGTATTCACTACACATTACTTTATTACTCAGAGTTTATCCCTCTATTGAGACCATTCGTCCTTCTAAGACTATTATCCTGCACCAAACCCTCCACCGAGACCACTAATATCACCCCCACAGGTTCTAAACGTTTTTGATTCTGCTCATCTTTGAACTCGGTCGTTGCATTCTCCAGATACATGTTTCTACCAAGTTTACTCGCAATCACTAATGATATCTGTGGCTATCGAAATACAGAGGGACAGACGGAAAGATTGCATGAGCCCTGGTTCGGAGTAAGACACATCTAATGCATTATAATTTTACGGGTAGCTTTGTATATACCTGGTGTGGGAGGTACTGCTGATTTGAGCGTTTGAATAATTTCTTGCGGAACAGCATTTTGATTTTTTAAATAGTTTAAAAATCTTGTCAGCTGTGTATGTATTTCTGCTAATTCTGAAACAGAGATGAAAATGAACTGAATAAAGCAGGTCAAATCTCTTGGCTATATAGACGAATATTATGCAAATTACAAGAGCTTGTGATTACGTGCCTCATTAGGGTTTAACACGACATGAGGGGAAAAATGTAGCAACTTACGTTGAGCTTTCCGAATATTTTTGTAAGCGTTGAAGTTCAAGGAATGATAAAAACAAACTCATTAAAAACAAATTCATTAATAATGACTTTGTAATAAACGGGTTGCTTCCTTCATGGCCTTTTTATAATCTACGCAACGTTCACAAATATGCATACGTTCGTAATCTCAATTTGGAAGAACATATTCTAAAATCAGTGATATGATAAACTGTTGCCTTGATCTCAGCCCAGAATCTCACGAGTTAGAAGCTTAATGAAATAAGAGATCTTTGTCATTGGAAATTTTCCATTTTCCTAAATTGTCAGGAATAAGGTCTTCCTAATGAGGTATTCATACAGATACATACATATGTATCGCATTGAACTAATCTGTATTGTTCCAGTGGTTTAATGGTGTCATTAACGTAGTCTATTTTTAAACTTTAATAGTCTTGCTTTGCTTATGCTATTTAAAAGTGTACAATTAGAAAAAAAGATTTAAATATTCATCCAGATCTATTCTACATGTCTGTTGGCCATTTGTGAGTAGGTTTGGTCCACACATTATTAACGGTGTTGTTCTAAAAATGAAACAACAGGCTAAAAATAAAGCACATTTAAATAATCTTTGCAGCATTTTGTCGTATTGCATATTTGCATTGATAATTATTTACACAGAAATGCGTCTTGTACATAATGCTAATATGGGGTTTTATTTACTTGTCCAAAGCATTTGACATAAAATCGCTATTTATCTCGTTTGTCGCTTTAACTTTGCTTATAGCAAAAAGATAACGAATGTACAGATATTCTGTCATCTTCACTGGATGTAATCTAATAATAATCAATAAATGAACTCGTATTTATAACGTTATGAGCAATTACAGATGAACTTTGTGTACACCACATTTTTTAATGTATACTTCACACAGCACAACCACTTGAAATATAATAGCTTTACCATGTTTCTTTCTTTATATTGACATTTTTTGGAGAGTGCAAAGTGCAACTAAAGGCCTGGGTTAATAAAACTCGTAAATATCATAAAAATGTCGCCAAATCTACAAAATAATCATAATTCACAAAGCAGACATAGGGGTACAGATTTGAGTAACGGAAACGTCAAAGGTTTCCAATCCAGTTTTCCAGGAGTCATTTACTCTGGACCAAGAGGAGAACCGTTTCCAAATATTTTTGATTGGCTACAAGGTATAAACTAGTAATTTATAATTTTATGTAATATTTAAGTGGCAAACAAATCTTTACTACTCAAGCAAAACGAAATGGCGATAATATTGGCAGCCTTTGGAGAGTGCACGACAATCTATATGACCTTGAGGCTTTTGTTGATAAGCACCCTGGGGGAAGAGACTGGATCAAATTTACAAAAGGAACTGACATTACGGAAGCATTTGAATCTTCTCACATTGTGGGTTTCAAAAATGTGGAGAAAATACTTGAAAAATATTATGTGGCAGCTGCCAGTGAACCAAGAAATTCTCCCTTCTCATTTAAAAAAGATGGTTTCTATAAAACGCTCAAGACTAAAGTTGAACCAATTCTTAAAGTGCGTATTAAATTTACTTAAAGTAACGTTTAGAGCTTGGGTAATATGGCCATCTTTCAGAAATAAAATTTTGAATAACTGCAGTTTATGTACGTATTTAGACAGTTGGCACCGACTCTTCCCATTTAGCACTACAAATCGAGGACGGTTTGGCAATGACTTATCTAATTCTCGCATTATTCTCTGTATGGATTGACTCCGTGGTGCTGCAAGTGATTGCTGGGTTGGTCTTGGGAATGTGCATTGTTGGTGCGCATAACTTTTTTCATAAAAGAGACAATTTTCGAATGTACTACATGGATCTCAGTCCACTTTCTTCCTTTGAATGGAGACTTAGCCACGCGTTAAGCCATCATATGTACCCCAACACAGTTTTGGTAATGCGTAATACTATGTGTACAAAAAAATATGAATCCTTTATAGATATGCAATTAGTTTAACCGATTTTATTATAGGATTTTGAAATCATGCTGAGCGAACCATTAGTTGAATTCCTACCAAGTAGGCCAAAGAATTTTGTTCAAAAGTATATTGCTGTATTCTACGTGGAAGCGATCTATTTGCTGTATGGCTTAAGTCAAATAATTGTTCGGGCCCTGTCCATTATTCAAGGGAAGCAACGATTGAGACCGGAGAACTTGCTGATATTTCTTGAACTATCCATTTTCATGACAATCGCTCCATCGCACAAGGTAATTACAATTCATCATCATATATCCTATTTGCATTCAATATGTGTAATTGTAGTCGGGAATCATTGCATGGATTATTATTTTTATGATGAGTTCATTTTGGTTCATTGTTGTCTCAAACAATTCTGCTCATCATCACCCAGACGCTTTTCATGATGGTGATGAACCTCGTATTGATCCAGATTTTGGGTATGCCACCGTAATTAGTAATTAATTGGTACTATTATAAATTATAATTAGTGTGCAATGCTAACAATTGGGTTCCACACAGTTTATGTCAACTCGATGCCACCAAAGGAAAATCAGACTGGTTTCATAAACCACTTTTCTCCGTGCTGACTACGTTTGGCGAACATCCACTACATCACCTCTTCCCAACAATATGTCACTCAAAGTTGAGCCACCTCAAACCAGCGTTGGAAGAGACTTTGAAACAATTTTCTGAAGAGTTTCCTCAACTGACGCAACTTGAATTGTTTATTGGAACTCACAAACAGATTGGAAGAACGACTCGTAACCGTCACAAGGCTGCACAGCAACGAGGACACTGAGATTTATTAAATCTTTCCAAATAAGATGTGTATTTATAAATATGTACCCGTGTTTCAAAACATGAAACACATTTATCCGTGTCATAAATAATAATGATAAAGTCGTTTTATTTCCGCTTATTTGCTCCCACAGCGGACTTGGTCATGTTATCCACAAGACTTCTTCTCTGTTCTTCAAGCAATCCTTCTAAATGCTGAATCTGGAAATTTAATTTTTCCACCTGTTTCTGCAAACCGTGAATCGTTTCATCTTTACGTTCAATTGTTTGTTGTACCCTGTCCCCGATTTTGTCAAGCTCTGCATCTTTATCCTGACATAGTTTTTCCGTTTCTAAACACTTTTGTTCAAGCTCTAATTTGTGTTTTGATTGGATTTCAACTAAATTACTTCTCATCCCTTTGATTTCATTTTCCAAACATTCAATTTGAGATGAGAATTCTCTTCTTATTACAGATGTTAAATTGGTCCTTTCTTCGAGCATTTTCATATTTATATCCTGTAGCTCTGCGTTTTGTTTTTCTTTCAAGGACAATGCTGCCCGAAGACTGTACACTTGTTCTTCAGCCAGTAAAAGTTGAGATTTTGCTTGATTAAATTTAGATTTTAGATCCTTTTCTGACTGGTCCATTTCTTGTATGTCAAGGGTAAATTTTTCCTGCATTCTCCTGAAAAAATAGGAATGTGTTGAGGAATAAAAAAATGGAATTGTTATGCACGTATTTAGAAATCTTATTTAAATAAAAATGATTGAGTAAAGAGAACGGAATAATTTACTTGAATCGAATGTCTGAGCTGGCTTCTTCTTCGTTTCTGACTTTCTCAAACTCATCCTTCAACCTATTTTCTCTCTGTTTCAGCTCATTTTCCATTTTAATCTTCAAGTCGGCAATCACATCGTTCTCCTTTTGCTTCACTTCAATCTCAAATTGTTTAGTTAGCTTGCTGATCAAGGTTTTGGTTTCGGCTTCGTGAATATCTTTCATGCTCTTAATTTCACTGGTATGTCTTCTCTCTAGGTTTGCAATTTTAGACTCGTATTCCTCTTTCAAGTTGTCCAGTTCCACTTCTCCTTTTATTTGGGCCTTCCTGATATTTTCTTGCATATTTTCCTTAAATTTCATTTCGTCCTTGGCTGTTCGCTCTCGCTCTTCTTGCAGTTCATTCAAAAGCTTGCGTTTAATAAGTTCAAAGCCTTGTTCCTGCTCTTTAAATCCCATCTCGAAACGGCACGTGAGCTGCTCTTTCTCTCTGGAGACAATTTCATCCGCTTCTTTCGCCAGTTTTTCTCGCACGTCTTGTATTTGCATTTGTAGCTTTCTTTGATACCTTTCTTCCGTCTCACGCAGTTCATCAGAATGCCAGGCCCTCACTTCGCTGAAATATGTTTTGCATATTACATTGTGTGTAAAGTTATGATGGTGCGTGCTACCGTAGTTCGTTACCTCATTTCTTGTTGATGCCGTTGAATTATTCGCTGAACCTCAGGTTCGAGTCCGATCAAAGTCTTTTCCTAGCATAATATTTAACACAATTTGAATGTGCTGGTGTTGTAATACGTGACTACAAAAATATATACATGCGCCCATATATAGTTGGAATTTGGACATACTCTGATTTCTTGAGTTTTGCTCCCCATCCACTGTTGCTTTTTAACGCTTTCTGCCGTGATTTGAGCTTTTCTTACACGCTTTATCTCATCTAAATGTTTTTGCTGCAAATTTTTAATCTGTTCCTTGTACTTTTCTTCAGTTTCGTCAAAGTTTTTCATAAGCTTATCACAACGTTCTTGTAAAATGCGTTTTTCAGCAACCATTTCATTTATTAGGGCCTCGTTTCTTGCAAAAGCGGCATCAAATTCTTCCTTCTGTAGCCGAAGTCTTTTCTTTAAATCTCGTTCAGAATTTCTGCAGTACAAAAACGTATGTAGTACATATGATTAAATCCTGTTTATAAGTTAGAGTTGTATGATGTTTAAATTAAATCTACACACAGACAAAATTATATTCACCTTAAATTGCGCATATTTAATTCACGCTGGTGAATTAGTGTTTCTTCCAGAATTTGAATACGTTGTTGGGACTCTTCAAACTTTCTTTCGAGAATTATGTGTTCTTTGGCCAACTCAACACTTCCCTTCGTAATCAAAGAATCGATCCTAAATCAATAGAGTTGCTTATCAAGCAATTCCTTGTGAACCATACGCAATGACCAAATACTTATATTGTAAATAATACTTTTGTAGGAATGACAAGTTACTTCCAGGTTCGTTACTGAATGCTCGTGACTTTTTCGTATTGCTGTCTCCCGTCTGACCTGTCGTGTTGCTGTTGGAATTGGTGGAAAGTCCGAGCAATGTCTCTCTGTCCGCTTTCTCCGCTTGATCGAGAAAGGAGAATATTTTCCTAATGCAGAGAAAACACGTTCAACTTGAAGTTATAGATAGATAAATCAATTTTGCTATACTTTGAGTTATCCGTACTTGGTTTTTTCATTGCTGCTTTCCATCTTTGCGTAATCCTGAATCGAAGCTCCGGGCTCTGAGTTATGATTATTGGCTTCTCCCTGATGCGAATATTGTGTCATGACCAATAATGGCACATCACCACTGTCAAGAATATTAGATATCCGAGATTGAGAATAATGAGGATATTGTACGTCTTGGGAGGAGTCAGTTTTGAGACTTTGTTGGCTCTCAATAGGAGGTTGGGAAGGCTGAGTAGGTTGGAACTGTGGGAATTTACTGCTATCAACGCGTAGGGGCTTTTGATCGGTATTGTGACCGCATTTGACACTGGACGCTTGGGACGAAGGCCGAGTTCCAAAGTTGGGTGAAAGAGCAGAGTTGTTTAGTGGAGGTTGAACCTTTGGATATTGATATTGAATAAGAGAGTCCCAATTACCCGAACCTTGGATGGTTTCTAATCTATCGGGAATGGAACTGGCTTTCACGAGCAATTCTTTTAGTTCCCGTTGTTCTTCTTGTTCAATCATTTTAATTGTGAGAGCGATCCTGCCATGAATGTCCTCGTTGCTCACAGACCGTACGAAGGAGGCAGAAGCAGGGCGGCTAATCGAGGTCCCTCCTCCTGTGATTATTAGAATTAATAAAATAAATTATGAAATTTAAGGTGTATATTTAGTAGTTCTTGGTGTCTACCGTCTGGGCTAAGGTCAAATAATCTGTGTCCCATAAGTGGTGGTGAACTACTAAAGTTAGTACTTCTTGCACTATCCATCATGACAATGGAAGGACACGTAACGTCATCTAATCCTTCAACACTCTGAATAGTAGAGTTTGCCAAAGTACGAAATTGTTCGAGGTCTTTATTTTGCAAAGTTTCTTCCTCATTTTTATTTGGGGAGTAGGAAAAGTTGAGTGAAACCGGAAATTGTTTAGTACGAGCAGAGTTGATGTCTGCAAAATAGCGAGTAACGTCTGATATCAAGTCGTCAGTTTGGGCAATTATAAGTTCATCTTCTGAAGTCAAATTGTCCAACTGGGGAGTGGTTTTAATTGAGGCGATTGGTCGTCTGTCCAAGCGTCCCGACTTTTTTTGGTCTGGAACATGATGACTCGTATTCATAGGAGTAGGAGCCACAATGCTTTCACTATTTTCAATGCTGTCATTCTGTGATATTACTCTAATCGGTTCACTTATTTTATCGTCTCCTTCGATGGGAAGAATAGTTTTGCCATTAGTACTATGCAAAGGTTCTGCAAAATGAACTCGGGGACTTTTGACGGCTTGTTGAATAGGAGGAGTCCCTTGATATGGTTCGTCAAATGAACGACCAATATTTTTGTATTTCTGATAAGCGAAAGGTATATCTTCATCTCCTTCACCACCACCAGTTGCAACAGAGTCGTTAAAGTCAAAGTTCTTGGAGAAAGAAAAAGGGCGTCGTTTTTTGGGGCCTCCTTGTCCAACATTATTTCCAGTACTTTGACTTTGTTGTACTTTTCTTCCATCATAGGCCACGCTATTAGTACGCTGAATTTTTTGGGCAGAAATCTGCATTTGATTTATTGGAAATAACTGTAGGCTTGCTGCATGACCATCTTTTCCCTAAGTACAAATATATACGTAGCATTTACAGAATAAATAAATATACAGCAGCATAGATAAATATATGTTGTATGTATGTATCTGTTAATATCGTAATACATACAATTTGCTTCGAAATTCCTGTAGATTCAACACTTTTGCTCCTTGTCAATCTGCTATTTGTCTTTGTAGTGTTTTTCGAATTATAACTTTCTACAGCAGAATTTGCCCGATATGGACCGACTTTAAATGGTCTCTTTTTTGTTCTACCGTCATCGTTCCCCTTTTCTGATCCGAGTGATTTACTATTTTTGGACTGTGAACAAATTATTAATATTATTGTTATTAAGGAATTCAAATTATATCCTGACAATATTTTATCATTTTTAACAACACAAATCGTATCCAAACTTACCATCTTTCCATTTTGTCTCATACTAGGCTATATTTGGAAGTAAAGCGTTCCAAAAATTTGTATGCACTTTCACCACAAGAATTATTGAAATAGTATTAAGTTAAAACCTAAATTCGGCCATTCACTTCATGATAAAAATGTATAAGTGGACTCGAGTGTGTAGTTTGTAATAATGTAAATATGGTGAAAAAAGGCCCCCTCTGACCAACTCTGAAACTCTTCTGAGCACTCCACTCACTCAGCGTCAACAGTATCCTGGTTACGCCTCTCGACAAACAAAAGCCCAGCTTCTTCATATACATAATTTACTCTACTCTTTTTATTGCAATAAATCTTTTTATTTACTCTACTATATCGGTTTATTTTGTAGTATCTCATTTTATTGATCAATCTAAACAGTCAATGTATGTACATAAATATACATGTAAACATGGGGCCACATGAGAAATCGATTGGAATTAATAGAGATTGCATAAATATCAAATCAGCTATTCTTGCCATGTCACCTATGCAAAATAGACGCCCCTGAATCTTCATACTCTGATTTTGTGATCCATTTTTCCTGAAAAGTTGGCAAAGATGCGAGGATTGAGCCTCCAACCCATACGGAATATTTCCTTTCCGGTGGTGCAATTACTTTCACTTTGATGGGGTCTTGGGACAATTTCGTCATTTCGATTTCAAGCCGATCAGGCAAACCTTGATACATTGTTGATCCTCCGCTCAAAACCACGTTCCCAAAAAGTTCCTAAAATAATAAATGGTAAAGGCAAATCAAATGTATTAAATATAAACAACTTTGCCAGTTGTAGTTGAATTTCATTACGATTTATAAGAATGTTAACTTTCTCTCGATTGTTCTTTACCTTGCGAACATCCAAAGCGCATTTCATAATCGAATTGTATGTTGTTTCTGCCAGTCCAGGCATTTCGAGACCAAGCATGGATGGCTGAAATAATGCTTCTGGACATTGGAACCTCTCCTCTCCCAGGGTCACAACTTGACCGTCAGGAAGTTCATACGATTTTGCAACTGTTTTGGTTTTACAATTGCTCAACTCTTGCTCATAGTCGTGTGCTACGTAACACATTTTTTCCTTCATTGAACGCACAACTTCTTTCTCTGCACTTGAAATAAATTGGTAGTCCTTTTCCAGCAACAGTTTTATCAAATACTCGGTCAGGTCTACAGTGAAAAATTGACTATATAAGAGGTCATTTGTTTCCTTCAAACTTTATTTTTTTACCTCTCCCAGCAAGGTTTAATCTGCTTATCCCGTGCGAAATCACGTATCCTGAATGCAATACATAGTACTTAAGTATTAGCACTTTGTTGATTATAATGGCATGCATTGATGATAACCTTCATAAACAGGCGCAGTGTGAGACACACCATCTCCTGAATCTAAAACCAGGCCCGTAGTTCTTCCGGAAGCGTATAACGTTAGAATAGCTTGTACTGCAACATGGAGGGCAGGGACTCGGAACGTTTCAAACATGATCTGTGCAATGAATGGGAATTAAGTTAGGATTTTTTTTGGGGGGGAGAAGCAGGAAGAATGCTGTGTAAATATTGACCACCTCTGCCATTTTCTCTCGATTAGCCTTTGGGTTTAATGGGGCTTCTGTCAACAATACTGGATGTTCATTAGGAGATATTCTTAATTCGTTTTGAAAACAATGGTCCCAGATTTTCTCCATGTCCAACCAGTTGTTGATTATGCCATGTTCTATGGGATATTTTAAAGCAAGTATTCCACGCTTTATTTGGGCTATTTCACCAACATAGCAGTCGATGGTTGATGCTCTCATCGACCTCTGTAAATGCATCATCAGTTAATTGTTATAAATGAAACTATATTGAAAAATGTGCAACCTTGTGACGGGGTCGGCCAACAATTGACGAAAAAATGGAAATAGGAGCTAGATCGCCACTAAATCCAGCCTTACACATCCCAGAACCATTATCTATCACGGCAGGAATTTTCCACTCTGATTTATTCATTTTTTATTAGTATAGAGAGAACAAATTTACGCAATACAACAAAACAAGATTTCTTCAGTTATAAAAATACAAACAATTTTGTAACAATTTTTGAAAACAATTTCAACTTGCTTATAGATACTAATACAAGCATTAGTACCAGTATGTAATATACGATAAAACAGCCGATATTCAATTACGCTCAACACACAATCCAATCGATCTAATCATATGGCTTATCAATATAATTGTCTTCTATCTGAATACTAATAATTGAGTAAATAATTGGATCTATCTCTGGACACCGGCATTTTGAGTGGAGAGGAAAACTAACTCTGTATCAAATATCCAATATAATCCAACTTAGTTATATGCTAAAAAACAAAAAAAAAACACAATGTCAGTATCCCAAATTTTTTAATGTTTTAGATTTCAGAGAGTTTTTTAAAGAATCGCTAAGGATAAAGTCTTACAAACCATTCGTAGGTCCTAGAACTGCATGTATAGCCTCAAAATTGTCAGTGAATTTCAAAATTGTAAGAAAATTTTGAAAATTCTTTTCATCTTTTGTAGCAATGATTTCAAGCACTTCTACAGAACGGATGTACTCAGAAGAAATATTTTTCTAAACGATTAAAAAAAATAGGAATGAAAAAATGTCATTCTCCTTTATGCTTGTATCGTAACATTTATAGTGATTTTATGTAATTACCAATCTCATCTGATCATTGTATGTGATTACTCCAAAGTGATGTAGAAGGACAAGTATATCTCTAGTATTTCGCAGTCGCTCAGCAAGAAAGTTTATATTGTGCTCTAGCAATTTGTCCAATTGTTCCTCTTCATTGGCGGAAACCTTATTTTGAGAGCAAGTAGTACCATTGATCAAAGGTTTCGTAAAAATCTTCACTTTAACGTCTTTCGATTTCAGTGCAAGCAGTAAATTTGGTGGTTCTATAGCATCTTTCGATAAAATCGGACTATATCCCGAATGGTTTGCAGTGGGAAGTGCTTGACAAGTCGAAGCTTGAGAGACGATTGGTGCCTGGGAATCTAAATCGACATGTACACGACAAATAAAACTTTGCAAATTTACTGCATGAAGTAATATAACAACTAACCTCCAGATTGTTGCAAAACCGGTAAAATCTATAGTGTAAAAATGAGATCACACTTTATCATTACTCGTATCCGAAAAGCAGTTTAACTACAAACAATATTATTGATTATGATTATACCTCCGGCAAACCCGAATTAGTTCGCCGACTCAAATTGTAAACAAAGTCCATGTTTGTCCGAGCGGCAAGTAATTTGACGACCTGGTTGCCGAACATCTTCCAATCATCCAAGCTTGTGGTATTCGGGTGAACATATTCTCGTAGTTGACACAACCAATTCAGATTTTCTTCATTGAAAAACGCCTCTACAGAAATTTGTGCCAGACGAGTCACAATCTATGTTTACAAACAATAGAACAACAATATAAATAATGTATGTAACGTAAATTCCTAAAATATTGTTAACAAAACTTACCATAGACCAGTGACATCCAATTTCTGGATGATCATCAATAAATTTCGTGGCAAGCATTTCAAGTATCTGAAAATATTATCATTATTTTACGCGTCAAATAAAATTATCCAACTCTAATTAAACTGCATGCACGCAACACCAAAAAAATCATAATAAATACCTTAAATTTGTCTGCAATCCCAGTCTTTATCATTTGACGAATAATACTGCCAACAGCCCTGAATAACCGAACATCCGATTTTTGTACGACCCACGTGATCATATCGTACACAAACAGTTCCGCTGAATTATCTAATAAAAAATAATAATTACAACGTCATTTGAAATCACTTTGATTTCGAAATGGAATAAAATATGTTAAAAATACCTGACAGCAAGACACTTTTTATTTTCATGGCTGTGTTGTCCCAATCTGATGTGTCAACATATTCGCCAACAATGTAAGCTACGTGTTGCGAATAGTTGAATTTTGATTTGATTTCGCTCATTGTGGAATCAACCTCCAATGACATGACGTCCGTATCTAAAATTTCAGTTGCGGGGTGTATATTTGTTTCGTCGTCAAAGTAAGGTTGGTCCTGCTGCATTTCTTCGAAATCCGAGACAGTTTTACTGTCACCTAAAAATCAGGAGCAATAGTACTTCAATGCAATTCAACTGGTTTTGTTGTTGAATTTTTGTAATTCATTAGAACATCACAACAAATATAAAATCGCTGCAATTATTAAACTTACCAACTAAATTTCGAACCTTGTCGTATGATGTCGCAGGAACGGGAGACATCATATCATACACGTTGTCAACACAATTTGGCGCCGGACATGCATCTACCATATCATCTTGATCGTCTGTGTAACCATTGAAGTCGGGTTCTTGTAACGTCAACGTTGCTTTATTTTCTGATTGCAGGGAAGAAACTTGGACCTTGAATTGTGCTGATGTTTTCTGCAATTTTAATAACATATATCTCAAATCTTGAACCAAAAATGAATAGATAGCCGCTGCAAAAAAGAAAGAAGTATCACCATATCAGGCGGATGATGGCTAAAGCTGCTACTGGTTGGGCTACTATCTCCGGCCGCCTCTTTCATTTTACGGTGAAACTCGAGTCTGACAGAGTCAGACGATACGGACTTTGTAGGAACTTGTCTTTCCACGCGCTTAAGATTCTGTTCATGCTATTTATTAAATTATGGTATCAGAATTTCTGGTCTAAACATTTTTTTTCAAGACACATATCTTTACCTTGATTTTGCATCCATCCGTTACCATCTTCATTATATTTTCACCATCGATGACTCCTATACATGGTAAATTTATAGACTTATGTAACTTTTAAGTTTTCGAAAAAAATCAAACAGTAGTAAATAGAAAATTCAACGTACTTGCAGTCGGAACATCCAGAGGGTCCATCATATTTTCCAATTGAAAATCGAAGTATGGGCCTCGTTGTTTTTGGTAACGTAACCTCACCTCGATGGGTGAAAGTTTATGCAAATAGCACACTCTAGCATCTTTCATAATTTTCGGATTTGTTTCCAAGTTTGGGCAGCGAACAGGGCCCTCGTCCAGTACAGCTTGGTCAATGAGACGCATATTTGATTTGTATTTATAATCTCTCGAAGTTGGCAAGTATTGGGACTGCGTCTATTTCGGAACAAATAATGTTACTCAAGCTTGCAATTTGTAAATACAATGTTTAAATAAACTTACTCGTTGTGGGAATTGTTGTACAGCGGTTTGTAGTGGTGTCACAAAATACGTTGCAACCGGATAGGTGGGAAATTGTGCGTGGAATTCTTGGATTGGTACAGCAGTCGGTAAATTTGGAAAGGAGCCGAAACTGCTGAAACCTTGATTTGGACCTATAAACTGTGGGTGTGGCTGTGTATACCAGTAGGGTTCGACGTTCCTGTAGTTGGGTCCCCCGCTAAAAAGATTAAATAGAAATTACCCTTTATGCATTTCTACACATTGGAATTATATAGTTTAGATTTTACTCATGTCACAAGTATCGTAACATTTAATAAATAAACCACCTAGCACTACACTTTACTTTAACTAGCAGACAAGTTGACAATTGTAGTGTTAACCAAAACACCCATGACTTACTTTCCGATCGTCCGCCAGTAGGTGATCATGATGGTCCCACCCCAAACAAGGTCAACCCTTTCAGTTTTACGCAAATGTAATGTCACGAGGAACGGAAGTTAACAACGAGACAACCAAGTGCTCAAGATAGCGAGACTAACATCTGACTCTTTCTATCACGACATTATTATGACGACAATAACTCGCAGTCTGGTCGTTCAACTTTGGAATGCAATGAATTAATCAACTACAGGAGTTTCGAATGACCGTTTTGTAACATGACTTGACTGTTTTTGCTTAGTTAATGAAAAATGAGTACAGAAATAAAAATTTGTTACTACATAAATAGTAATTATTTACTTACTATCGAATTTCTTCCAATTAGGAGCAGACTTTCGTTTATATTTTAATCCACCCACCCAACACAGTATGACAAATTTGAATGATATAAAATTCTATGATGACGAAAGTAGCACGGACAAATTCAATAAAAGAACAACTGCCAAGCGAAAAAAAAATCACCACTGGACTCTTTTTTCAAGCTACGATCAAGTACGATCTAATTACAGAGCAAGTTGATAGATGGGACACGCAAGCAAGCAACAGTGGCAGAACCGGAAAGTTGGAGAGTTACAAGTGTCTCAAACTTGTCAAACCGTCTCAAATTCCCAGAAATTAACAAAATCGGGCTTAGAAAATAATTGCTTACATTTGCACTGGAAAAGTTGGTTCGTGTCCATCCGTCTCCAAGCAGTCAGAACACTGCTTATGGTCCTTAAGTACACTCCAAGAGTACTGGGTTAATTTCAGGCTGTGCATCACGCTGACAATTTTTCTCAATCTTTTCAAACTTAAAATAAACAAATTTTCGGTCGGGCAAACTTCGCCACTGCTGGTCTGATCTGCACAAAGGACGGAGGATGACTGACTCAAATGAAGAAATGCTTTAGAAAACTGGTGATGATGGCGTCGCGTCCCTTCTGTTCACGTGCTTATGCTCATTTTTACTTGGGAAGGGCACCACGCTTTGCAGTTTGCTTGGTGCATCTTCACGACCTTTTGACCCACTTTTAACAATACAGAGGTGGATAATATTTTATCCTATCTATTTATTCCAGACTTATGAATAAGACTCCCACTATATGTCTTATAAACCCAATATTAATGCAGAACTACATCATGTATGTACTAAATATTCATATGTGATGACAGTGTCAACACCGCGAGTAATGGTGATAAGTGTGGTTGACTGATTAAAAGTCATACAAAAAAGCAAGAGCATCAGAACATCTTTATGATGCCAATTTGCCATTAAACTTGTATTTTGGACGATGTGTAAATATGCAAAGAGAGGCTCAGTTCTGATTGAACCTTGTTTCTTGGCTGATAAATAAATTGCAATAAAATGGTGGTTCTTCATACCCTTCAGAAAACTGTGATATTTTCACTTATTTCCATATTTTCTGGCTGTCTACCAGCAATACAAGCAGCGAGTCATCCTTATCTTCAAGCTATCCATGTTTTAGATCCCGGTATATGGTTATTTTTTAATATTAAAAATATTCTATTTTACGTAATGATAACGAGTATTAAATTTTTTAAATGCCAACAATGTTAGAGGTCCAGGAATTCAAGTATCACAACAGTTGGAATGCGGATCAGTGGGTTCAATGGGTTCGAAATCTGTATAATCAAGACTTGGCTGAGCTGAGGAGAAATCGATCTGAAGGCGAGGCTTCTGGGCCACGACGACACGGTCAGTGGGTCAACATCATCATAATTGCGACTCCGGAAGAAATAAATTCAGCTTTTTCCCAACTCTCCACTAAATCTTACCCGGATGATAAGCCCGATTTTCTATGGAGTGACATCTCATTTCCCGTGTTCGTTGTTGTGAGGAAATCCATGACTAATCAGGGTGCAGATGATAACGATCTCCCAAGTTCTCACTTTAACGTCTTCAACTGTTCCGACAAGAAAATGTACATTAATGCCCAAGTTGATGTGTCCACTTTCATTCCGCTCTCCATTAAACATTTGTTTCCTAAAAAAGTTAAAAATCCAATAGACACACTAAGGATTCCACTAATTACATGCACCAAAGTTGGTAAAGCCAGAGGACTCTTGGACGAGATAATGTTTCAACTTAAAAGCAGATAATTATCATTCTGAAGTGTGCATTTTCATTTATTTCTAATTTATTTGTTTGTTGTACATATATGTATTTAAACATAGGCAAAACAGTACGTGATGTATAATAAATAGTTTACTTAAAACTTTTCATCATTCATTTTCGTATAAACTTTTAAATATTCCGTTGCACTAAAATGCTATGCAGTTTGTATCCAGCCTACAATACACGTTGCACATAATCTGTAGTTAAAATATCTTGAAGTTGTTGATGGTGTTACGTAAACGCATGCATGCAGACTGCACATGTTAATTGTATTTTTAACTTTATGAGCTTTTTGTGTGAAGCATCTTACCTTTCACGAAGTTATTAAATATACACAATCAATACAGTCAACTCCAGTCTGGTTGTTGCATAATTACATGACACATACCCATTTAAACTGTTTGGTGGTATCAAAAATTTTAGTCGTTCGTTCATTTATACCAACTTCCGGCCTAAAACTATGAACGTAAATATATGATCATAAATTACTCATCGTTTGCCTAAAGTTGAAGTAATAATGTTATCTTGTTTGATATTTAAAGACCTGGACTTTCTCATCATGGATAAAATCCCAACCAGAGGAGAAAGAACGGACATACTTTAGAGATAAACTTCAAATTTTATCATTAGCCTTCCTGTTCTTTGTGTTTGTACTTTTATTTGTTCTCATATTTGCTGCCATTGGGGTATTGTGGTCGTTGAAAGGCCGATACGGATATAACAGAATCATCGAGCCGGCAGATACTTTGCCAATTAACGGTAAGCTTCTATATAATAAACTATTGTGCAACGAATAATAGCCAATGAAACACTAACATATAAATCCAACGTACGGAGATGCGAAACTAAATAATACCACTGACCAATGTCATTCAGTCAGGAAAAAATCATAAATGGCATTTAACAAAAATTGTGCGACATTTGTCAGAATTCGTATGCACGACAGCCAAAAAAGCCAGCATGGTGCAATATGTTCATGTTTTAACGATGTTCAATTTACAAGTCTAGGAATATATTTTTAAACATGTTTATTCGTTGTAATAAGATATGACGTGTATTCTAAAAACTATAACAATCAAAGTATTTATCCCATGTGTCCCACGTTTCAATCGTGCATACGAAGTTATCACACGTTAATGAGTGGTAATACTCGTATCGAAAAATACGCATACATATGTAGTATTTGTATTACTAAATAAAAGAATTTGAAGTTCTGGAGCACTTTTCCAAACTGTCGAGTTAGCATTGGCAATGAATGAACACAAGGTTTCCCGGAAATTGCCCTGATTGTGCTGCGTATGCAAAGATCACAATAATTACAAAACATAATGCACATCGCGTGATTGAATTGATATTGTACCTGCTTCAAGTACAGCACTAGTAAGGTCGTAATTGTGTGCTTCCTCCGGCATACCAAAATATATACCAACTCATCATCAGTAATATAACCGAAGTCGATTTAAAATCAGTCTTCATCAATTCGTGTGAATTTCTAGTCTTGATCACAATTCATACGTACATATATTTTAAACGTTAGAAAAAAATAATATTTAACATGGGACAATTCATAATGCGTTCCTCTCTTCATACGACGCTTATTATGGTGCTGTCATTCGGATTACTTTCTTGTGCTGCATTCTTTGAAGGTATACATTGTGCAAGGGGGTTGATTTTAAGGGTTTTAAGATACAAACTTTTCACATATTAAATAAATATCGTTGATTGTTGTTAACCCTGTTGTGCTTGTTTAGACAGGAAAGAGTGGTCAGTCACGGAGTCCACCTATGGAAGGGCGAAACCGAAGGCACTAATTTTTAGAGAAGAATTTAATACCCTTGATCTTGATTTGTGGGATCATGAAATTACCATGAGTGGCGGAGGAGTAAGTGTGCAAATATTATTAGCATGCAACATGCAGTGAAATGAAGTATGCAAAAATTAATTCTCTAAAAAATATATGCATGTACGCACAGAATGGAGAATTTCAAGTGTATCAAAATAACCGGTCAAATAGCTATGTGAAATATGGAAAACTTTACATAAAACCAACCCTCACAGCGGATAAGTTTGGAGAGGATTTTTTATACGAAGGAAATTTGCAATTGGGAGGTCCTGCGCCGGCAGACCAGTGAGTTAGAGATGATTTTCCTTGTCGTAGTCTATTTTATTGATTAAAATTAAATCCAGATTAAATCCAGTACTATCATATTATTGAGAAATTAAAAAAGTCGACTAATCTCAATCTCTATAAATAAAGATGCACAAACCCTTTGTGGGAGGGATGTGAGCGTCGGGGCACCCAAAAAAGTATTCTCAACCCAATAATGAGTGCCAGGCTTAGAACTGTACACTCCTTTGCCTTCAAGTATGGAAAAGTGGAGATAAGAGCGAAAATTCCAACAGTAAAATCAGTTTAAAAACAAATAACATAGACATTTAGATAAGTTCTAGTATGACTAATGATATATTTTATGATGATAGGGCGATTGGCTATGGCCAGGTAACGTTTAAATCTAAAAATAGGTACACATTTAATGTCGTAACGAATATTATTGATATATATATGCAGGAATTTGGCTTCTTCCTTTGAAAAACCAATACGGTTCATGGCCTGCTTCTGGAGAAATTGACATTCTTGAGGCCCGAGGAAATACCGATTTAAAAGACAAAGATAAAGTGCATATTGGCACGGAACAAGTGTCTCAAACTTTGCACTACGGACCCTTTCATCCCATCAACGGATGGCAGAAAACACATTTTTCAACAAACTCTGATAAAGATAGCAAAGCGTATGACATAGATTTTCATGTGTATGAGTTGCATTGGACGCCAGGTATAAAAATCATGGTCAATCATAACTCTTGACCATGAATTTTACATGGAAATCTTCATAATTAGTTTAATCAAAGGGTTCCAAAATCTTTTCCAGATTTTATCAAATTCAGTATTGATGGAGATCCTACAGCAGAGGTGCATCCGACGGAGGGTGGCTTTTGGGAAATTGGGGGGTTTCCTGATAATATTGACAATCCTTGGAAGTATGCAGAAAACCCTAAAATGGCACCATTTGATCAAAAGTTTTACATATTACTGAACGTTGCTGTTGGTGGGACCAATTCCTATTTCCCTGACTCGGCAAAAGGTCCTTATACGAAACCCTGGAAAAATAATTCTCCTACGGTCAGTTCATTTTGCTTGACTTGATAAATAATCACAAGTCCTCACTCCTCAATGGCTGTTTTTACAGTGAACTTGACAATAACATATTTCAATTGATTTATTTAGCCCATGCTGGACTTTTGGAAGGGGAAGAAAAACTGGTGGGCAACATGGAAAGGAGAAGATGCTGCCTTGGTGGTTGATTACATACGCGTTTATGCAATTTAGACTTTTTTTTATAAAAAAAACAATCGAACTAAAACCAATTTCATATAAGAAACCATCAACTGAGGAATTACAAAATAAGTCCACTTTACTTATCTTTTATAAAAATGCAGTTAGAGTTTACACTAATTGTCTCATTTTCACCCGATTTTCATGGGACGATGATGCCCTGCCCAGTACTCTCCAATAACTTGAATTATTATTGTTTTTGACCATTCCGTCCAATTGCATTCATATCCCATCATCGCATTGCATTGCATTGTTCTCCGTTACACACACACCACATTATGCATTGCATGCCAAGGAGAGAGATAGTAATAAGACAACGCCGCTGAAAGTGTGATGATGATGGAGAATACAATGGGACTTCCACGTATAACGTGCAGTTTCTCACCATTTCCATCTCTGCTCTTTTAGCGGACGGAAAGTGACGAATAAATAAACGATAAGATGTAAATAGATGATAAAATAAATAGATTAATTGGTGGGACGAGGTTGTTGGAGGGTGTGCGAGGATTTCCGTGAAGGCGTAAAATTAAAAACTGGCGGGGTGAGACGCACTCCTGGCGAAACCCCGCCTCCCTTCGCTCACTCTCCAAATCTCCCACTCTGCTCATCCTCCACTCTTTCACTACCACTCTTCAGTTCTTCTCCGCCACTAATCTGCGCAAAAATGGCAGACGCCAAACCGGAAACCAAGGCCGAGACCGTTACACCCCCTGCGAAACAGGTAACATCTTATCATCAATTCATTCCTCTCTTTCAACACTCCAAAGAGAAGGCTAGAAACGGCTCCGGGGCTTTCTTGGGGGTCGGCCCGCTCTCTCAAATATATCCTCAAATATATTTCCCCATCCGCCAACCGACAATAATATTCATAAAAATAATAGTGCATTCAAGAAAGGATTTTTATCATCAAAATGGAAGTTGAGGTCAGTTTTTCAGTGGGGATGTCACCCTGGGGGTTTTGTGGGGGGAGGAAATGTCATAAATTGTTGAAATAGCTGAAATAAACGAGAGAATAGGACATCATGGCGCATGGACTGGGTGGACGGGCTATCCTTCCAGTATTTTTGTGCTGGTGGGAATGCTGGACTCCACGAATATAACTTTGTGGCTTAAATGGCTGTCGGCTCTTCCGCGTCTTTACCCCGAGTCAAGTTCATCAGTTCATTGCAGAATATCATGTGCAATATTCCCGCCCCGGTTATTTGTAGAAATAATAATTACAATTTTTAGACCCTTAGAGAAAGTACAAGATTTTAGAGGCAATATGAATGAGAGAGATGCATTATTATGGATAAAAAAAGAGCATCGTCGTCGTTGCAGAATGTCACACTTGTTTATAAGATATTAATGCAATGACTAGCTAATTTTAAAAACATTGTACACTTTTTTCAGGATAATGAAAGTACGGAAAAGCCAAAGGGACGTCGTGGCAGTGCAGGACGCCCGAAAGTGTCCCAAATTATGAAGGCGGTCCAAGAAGGAGAAGCTCTTCTTAAGGTGCATATATATACTTGTATTTTATAATTCTAATATAATCATATATAAATTAAATGCAAGCGTGTAAGAGAAAGTGGATAATGAGACATAATCTGATCGACCGTGTTCTCTCCTTATTTCTAGGAAATGGGCCACACTGAGGATGGACCAGAAGTTGAAGGAAGGAGACGTACTAGATCATCCGCTCGTGGTGGACCACCCCCACCATTAACGCCGCCACCTGTGAAACGTGATCGTAAGTCGGCAGCTGCTTCAAATTCTACAGAAAAGAAAAAGGCTACGCCGACCCCTCCTGCTGCCAAGGGACGCAGAGGTCGAAGAAAGAAGAGCGATGTCGTGGAAGATGAAGACGCTGTCCCCGAAAATAATGGAGATGTAGAGATGCATGATGCTGAAGAAGAAACTGAAGAACCTAAAGCTGAAACTAAACCAACTAAAGTTGAACCTAAAGCTAAAGTTGTAGAAGAAGTCGTTGAGAAACCCAAAGAAGAGGCTTCTCCAACCCCAGTTAAAGAGGCTCGGGAACGTAAGGTCGTTGACAGCAAAGAAAAAGCCAAAGTTGAAGAACCCAAGGAGAAACCCAAAGAAGAGGTTCCTGTAGCAGAACCAAAGCGAAGTCCGGAAAAACCCGTCAAAGAAGTTAAAAGTAACGATGTTTCAAAATCCCCAAAACCTAAGGTTAGTTAAAAGTAGTCACCTATTACTACTCAAATATGATGTATATCATATAATTGTTTTCTACTTTAGTATGTAATTCATTAATTTCCTGTATATCCAACAAAGTTGAATTTAATTAATACCATTTCATATATATTTATTCTGCATTGTGTGTATGTGTGTACACAGGTTGAGGAAGCTAAACCCGAGACTCCAAAGAAGCCCGAAGACAAAATTCCAACCCCAGTTAAAGAGACTCCACCTCCTCCTCCTCCCACGATCGTAGAAAAGCCTCGGGAACCAGTTAAAACTTCACCACCTGTTGTTATAGAAGCTAAGAAGGAAGAGAAGAAAGAAGCTCCCTTGTCCCCAGTAGTGGTGCCCCCAGCAGTGACAGTGAGCAATGCAAACTGCACCACCCCTGAGAAAAAAATTCCATCGTCTTCGTCACTAGAAGCTGATAAGGAGGTGAAAGGACAAAGCCCTGCAGTTACTACATCCCCTGTTAATAACGGTAACAGTAACACTTCCGTAAATGCTGCCGTATCTCCACCAAAGGCGGATTAAACTGAACATCGTTAGTAATAACCTTTTTCAAATGAGGTGTTAATTGTAATTCGCGAAAATCATCATATTTGCACATAACATACATTTATACATCTTGACTTTTTAGACTTCCTTGTGTTTAGAATTTTCAGTACGCAATTCCTTGAGCTCCTCCTGTTTTTTTAAAATCCATTTCATTTAAGAAACATTGGGAATTATATATACATATATAAATGAGTTTGCGCTATTTTTGTTTGTTAATTTGAGTATATATATATACTCATACAAATAGTCTTTATAGCTAACAACAAATGTGTATGTCGTTTAAATATACTTTTTTTTGTCTCTTTCAAAATTCCACATTTTGTGATTCTAAATGAATTTGCATTTGCACAATTTTGTGAAGTCGATCATCTCTATGTTTTGAAATAAATAAAAGTAAATCAACCTTTTATATGCAAAAATAAAATCTCCTCGGTATGTATATCCGCCTCACAGTTCGACTTCACAACACATCCCTCACTATTTAATTATTAGATATTATCTTGACTTTAACAACAGATTTAAGTTTTACTACTGTGTGAAAATAAACAGCCGATAATTAGCCTGTATGTAATGTAAAGCGTGATTTGTAGCTTGGTACAACTGTATTCAACTTTTATATATGATATAAATCATTTTATCGGGTATTGGTATTTTCTCTAGTGTAAACCATACTATTATATAAAATTACGACTTTATTTGGATGAACCTGATTATAACGGTAGCGTAAAAATGAGTAATTAATGAGACAGGGTGGACCCGACCCTTGCATTAATTTGTTTACAAACTGTTCTCTTACATTATAAATATATAAATATTTGTGTTACTCTGACTGAAGTACCAAAAATCAAATGTTTCAAATCACTCTCATATTATTATTACTATTATTAGCATGATATAGTTTAAGAAACCCTAGCACTAATATTGTTAAGAATATAAGAATATATAGAATTAATTAGAGTCTCAGGTCCGATAATGATAACTTTAACGTTGATTACGTCTTGGTTTTCCTTGATATCTTAAGATAAATCACGTGAAACCAATGTAATTCCAGGTCGGTGTCTTAAGTACAGCATTCTAACCTCAAGAAATAAAAGAGAGTTAACATTTTGTGAAAGAAATCCACTCTGAAATTCTGTCTAGCATTATTTATTGAATTTTAATATTACCCTTATTCTGCATGCCCCCAGAACCAGCATCAGATAAGTAGTCCCATAGGTTTCGCACAAAGCTGTTTAATTTCAACTAGAAAATGAAAAACAAATCAACTTGACGTGCATATTATGTTATGTTGTTTTTCTGATGTTGCATTGCAGTACTCATGAAATGGCAATGCTTGAAACTGACAAGCAACGATAAACTTGAGACGTCAGTTTCAGTCCTCACAGCAGCAGCAGCAGCACTCCGATTTAGTTGAGATGCCCACTAAACTCCTCAAATATGTGTCACTGCTGCCTCGCCGACACTACAACAGCGTTCAAGCCTGCTGCTAACTTATGTAGCTCGTACCCACAACTGGAGAAATTGTTGCAAAGAAAGTGAAAGTCGAGATGAGATTTTAACTCGGAGTGTAGTGCTAAGAGGAAACTTTGTCCTACCACGACTTGAATCGGCAGTGGTGGTGAAAGTTGCTGAAGCTGCTGCGAGAGACGGAAATTCCGATCTTGTCACTCACTCACGTTTTCATCGCCATTTTCTCCTCAATTATTATTATTGTGTGCCAGAGAGAGAGCCAGGATAAAAGTTTCAGAGCAAACAAGCTGCCAAACTCGCTCTTTTCTTTGCCATCTCCTCTCTAATAAATAATGTGATGTAATCAGAAATGGAATTAGGTGGAGTGGGAGGAGGACCAGTCTGACGCTACGTTTGGTTTGACAAAGTCCAAGTAACAACGAGGGTGTCGAAGACAACAAAGGCATCCTCTCGCCCTCCATACTTTGAAACCAGCAACAGAAGATCTCAATTATCAACATTGCATTGACAGAACTTTGACATTTGTCAAAGTTGTGTGCCACTTTGAAGTGGACTTTTCCTCTCTTTCTCTTCCTCCTCATAGATAAGTAAGTAGTAGCGTGAATGAATGAGACTGACATCAGTACTTCGGGAAAGGTTAGCATAATTTAACTAATATTGGGTCATCTTGCCAATAATTAGCTTCATCTAAAAATCCATCTTTCCATATGCCAAGTGCATGCATGTGGAGAACTGCTTTTAGTCAGTCTTTCATGTCAACGTCTTTCTTAAATAAAACGAGGAGCTTCGAAGCTATATTTTATCAACTTATTGATACAACTAAGGTGACTAAGGTGTCTTTTCGGTTTAGAACAGCAGGGTAAAAAAATTAAGGAGAGCATGATGGTTTTGTAACCCATTTTGTAACTTTTTTCTTGTGGCATTGGCCCGTTTAAATTCGAAAAAGTTTTTCACGAGCTCCACCACTTTTCCGCGGAGAACGGAATAAGATCATTTATCACGCCCCCGTTTTCTCCTTGCATATTAGGCATAACTTTTATCAGTCAGATTATTGATCTTATTGTACTTTTAATCGGCTGACTGACTGAGTTGGCGAAAAAGAGAATGTGGGATCTCGGAGAAACTTTTACTGTTTGAAAAAATGTCTAAAGAAATGCGTAAAAACTTGAACGTGTTTTCATTGAAATTGGATGTATGTAAATGCACATATAGCCAAAAGAGAAAAGTTGAATTTAAAATGCTCTCGACCTACTATCGCTATCACCACCACCGTCATTTGTCTACTTGCTGACTAAAGGTGATCTTGAAGGAGAAAATCCATTTGAAGTATCTGACATGGCAAGAATTGAATTTCTAATCGCTTCCTTTCCAAAAAATAAATAAAAAAAGGTCTGGGAGTCGGTGAAATGGATAAGTCGTCTTAAATAAGGAATCCGATATGTCGAGCGTCTTATAAACTCCGTTGGGCAGTAGAGCGAAATTGAGATGGATGAATCACGTCATCGTGAGTGAGATAGTACGTACGTACGTATAAGCCCAGATAAGCTAGTTGGTAGAGTGAAGTGTGTTCTTCGTCGTCCTTGGGTCTAGATGGCTCTTTCAAGTGAAAGTGTTTGTTCCGTTAGATTTTAGATTCCATTTCCGCCTGGAAATGCATTCCTTCCAGAAAAAAATATTCTTTCATATGGACGAATCCCTCATTGTCCATCCGGCACTTACAAGCCCATTTATCATGCATACGTCTCGTATTATTGTAGAAAGGTGCGAGTTAATCAAATATGAATGTCTGACTACTGATTGCAAGAGAGATATGATATACTTCCTTTGATATCCAAAATGAAAATTCCACACATACATCATAAAAACTAGGACTTACAACATTTCCACACATGTGCTATGGGATTATATTCCAAAAAGTTGATATTTGCCCATGATAATGCTATGAACTTTAAAACTAATACTATTTTATTATATTCATTTCCTGGTTTCGTTTATAAATACATACATAATTGGACTTTCAATGTTCATTTTTTGTAGGACGGCCACCGGTTTATTGGTTCAGACACACATATGCAGAACTATAATTCAACCCTCTCAAATCCTACCCGGTAATGGCCTAGTTACACAGACAAAATATTGCCATAAATACTTATTAATATTTCAAGGAATCCAGGCTGCAGTTTTTCCGGCAGACTACGAAGCATTATAAAACTAGCACGAATTTATAGCAAACTCAATTGCAGATGCAAATCCTAGTTCAATTACAAGATTTCGTTGAAACAGACATAAGTGCATGCCACTTGGTGGAATGAGGCTTGAGAAAACCAACATCTGCTCATCCTAAATCCTAACTGGTTAGATTGTCAAAATTACAATATGCAATCCAGCCAGATTGCCGAAATTATATAATGGCTCTATTTAAACACGGAGAGTGTCACACTCGTTGACTGGTTTTCCATTCTCATGTAATGAATAATACGTGTCCTTTGCCTAATTAAATGAGAACAAGCGAGAAATTGTATAATTAATTAGCTACACATTTTAAACACAAACTTCTCTTTCTGCGATTGATTCCGAGGGCTTTTACAGATAAACGGAACCTACAATGGTATACAACTTTCTCCAACCTTAGCAAGTACTATTGACACTCGATACTCGTGATGCTCGATCGAACAGAATTTTTTCTATTCCTTCCATTATCCCATATTATTAGTCACTGGAGCTGAAGCGAATCACACCACCAAAGGCATACTTCCAGCGAAAGCAACAAAGTATGTATGCGGTACACAATTCGGATATTGCTGGGTGTGAGTTACCAAAAAAGCACATTACATGAGCCCACACCTGACGATGTGGAAGAAAAGCTTAGTATCGAAATCAGAATCACAGACGCATGTCTTCCTACATATATGTTCCCGTATCATCCCTTTGAAAATGGCTTGCGTTTCTATTTGTATTGACTGACGCAAGTTGACATATTTGAATCCGACCATGCAGAAGTGCAAGCAAAAGTCAGTCACACAAAAGTCCTCGTTTATTTATTTTGCCAAAAGTCCATATTCGAATGAGTCAGCATACGTAGGAAATGTGAAGCTTGGTGGGCAAATAACCTCGTGTGGCAATTATAATACGACAATGCTCGAATCTGAAGCGGATGAAAAATCATTTGGTCACGTTACACACCAAAATCGAACTGTCATAGATATGTATCAGACTCACAGAAGAACCAACATATTTGGAAATGATGCTATGTCGTCACCCAGAGTTTGATCTTTTATGCTCCTTTCAAATAAGCATGTCTAACATCAAACAAATAGATACAATATCTACCGATGCAATATGTACACATCAAAATGTGCACAGATTTAGGGAAACAGTAGTAGCACCGTCATATTAAGTATTATTATTACGTCTCCTGCTTGGTTTCAATATCCAGATACCCATTGTCATCAAATTTCTCTCCACTGCTGCTGGTACATGCAAAGTTCCAAATCATCAGCTCCAAAACAATACAAACTATGGCACTGTATTTATTCGTTATCGCTTTCTCCACCTTTCACAAACTGACGCTCAACCAACCAGACATTTGTTTGCTTTCACCAAATCTCCACCCTGCACATTCCAGTTGAACGAGAGAGCCAGATCCCAAATTATTTGTTATCTATCATTGTGAGCGGACGTTTTACGAGCTACTTTATGGATAAGAAATGGTCGATAAGTACGAAGAAAATGAACTTTTGGTCCTTCAGCTAAATGACTGACAGTGGGTTTATTCGCAATAATGCGTATGTATACAACGTCGAAGCAAACCAACCGCACTATAGTTTCTCCACTCGTTGGTGCCTCGGTATGGTTCAGTGCGACCAAATATATAGTTGAGAAAAACAAGAGAAATCATTTATTGCTGATTACTCATTAGGAGAAAGAAGAATGCAGTAACGATGAGAATCAGTAAAGTCGTAAACTTGCGGAGTGAGTGTGATTATGATTTAAAGATATGGATGCACAGGCAGAAACATATCTCATTCTACTCGACTTGCCACATCATTGGCTAGAGTTACAAAGCACACAGAGGCTCTTCCCTTTTGATGATAAGTCCATTTTATTGCTGGCGATTCATCTCAAAGTTTAAGCCTTGCTCACTAAAGTTCCCCAGCATTTCTACATAAAGTGCACCATCATCATCGAAGGTTGTTAACATCGCACCACCCCATCGGTTGAGTATCATTATCATTCAATATCAAGGACATTCTCCGGGGGGGTTACCTCCTGTTGGTGTGTCTGCTTTGTGTCCTATTCATTCTTCCAGGAAATCAGCACAACTGTTCAAAGTTGATATACATTGATTTGCATATACGTACATATGAACATCCAGCCATATTTAGATAGTTATTTTGTTGTTTTACCTGAATATTGTTTTGTCTGTTTTTGTTGTGTGTGGCAAAAATCCCAACAACTCCGCAATTGCACATGGACAAATAACGACAGCACATCTTGGGTGTTGGGTTGGTAAATGACGTCTGTCCAGATTTTGTCAGCTAGCCCTTTGGAAGTGAGGACATGGGGAAAGTAAATCCATATCGACTAATGGGCGCAACTCTCCCAGTGTATGCACGCACAGTTGCTAAAGTGGTGGTGGAGAAAGCTGATTAGAAAAAAATCCAGTAACAAATCATCTCCTCCGTGGAATTGAACTGTAACCCTGTCATCTGGTCTATCTGGAAAATCGCTAAGCTGCCCCACTTCGACAACAACTTTTGTCTACCCACTTTCACCGAAATTGATATTGACTACTCCAAGGAGAACGATAGCGAAAGTGGTCTGATGCCTTCACACTCTCACGTTGCCTGTCTCCCTGCCTACCCTGCCTGCCTGTGGGACGTTGAGACATCGCCAAAGTCCACCCGCACACCGTGCTCAAGTTTTTGAGCCATGGCGAATTGGATCTGATCGGACTGCTCCTATCTGCTCGCCCTCCCTCCTTGTCACCAAAAGACATAAACGCGTCTCTAATCCCAAATGATTTGTTGTCCCTCCAGAAGAAGTAGAACTGGATCCAATTTCACCTAACGAGAAATTACTACTGTGTATCGGAACTCTCACTATTAAAACCATTTGCCCTTCTCAACCTGCTATAAAATGGAACAAAACGCTAACCTGTCGTGTGTCGCACATCTTTATTACAGAGTCTCAAATTCCCTTCTGCTCTTGAAGATAGATATATCGTAAAACAGTGCTCCGCGTGAATGTCCATGAAACTAATTTTTTTCAAGAAAAAGAGAAAGAAAGTAAAATCAGAGACTTAAACTGATTTCCCACAAAGTCGAGCACTTTACGAAATACATGTATCGTCTGGTCTCATAAGCCAGCATACGACACTGACATCGACTCATACGAAGGATATGTTCCTTATAAAAATATAAAATAGCAATTCAAAATTTGGCTGAAAGTGTACAGAAATAAAAAATGTACGTCTCCGATATCAAATTGCTGCTTGAATGCCAACCCTAAATCCAAATTTAACGTCTTCAACATATTGAACATATTGCTCTCCTGTACAGACATACATATAACGAAAGGGGCGATTCACTTTGTGATTTTTCCCGAGAATTAACTCCATATTTCATACAATTTTATATCCCACAGTAGTCAACCTAGGAGAGGAAAGCGTCGTCGAGAGATGGGAAATAGCATGGAAGGGAATACACAATTTTTCTGCCTGCGAGAGTTGAGGGGGTTGTTAGGCCTTATGCCTTGGTGGTTTGTATGCAGACCAAAAGAATATCCAAGGCTCAAATCCCTTCCAGGCCCACACTTTCTACATATCCGACGTATTCAGAGCAGCGGAGGAGGTTGAGAAAGTTGAGAAAGAGAGATGAAGCGAATATAAAATCGGAACAAGGGTTTGGTTTGGTGGATGGATGGATGGATGGTGGGAGACGAAGGGCGAGAAAGCGTAACCCAAGCAGTCGTGAAAGAAGAAGTAAAAGACGAAGAAAGTGAACTTCAAGACCACGGTGAAAGCAAGGCAGGCTTCATATTATTCGCCCTGCCTGCCCAACTGCCTCCCTGTCTGCTTACTAAACTTGCCTGCTCTCGTGTGCTCTGCTGCTTATTGCCTCCTCCTCGCCTACGACGATCCACCGCGTTGGGTAGAAATCAGTCTCTCGCTGGCAGCCAAGGCAAAAATATCGGAAGCAACTACTTTCTCCGCCAACTACTCGCTCCAGTATTCACCGAATTTCCATCGGGTCAGTAGACATTTATTCACAGGAGGATCTATTTACCCACAAGCGCAAAATTCCTTTCAATTCTCCACTAATACTACTTTTCTCCCACACTCAAACTCAGGCACTGTATAATACTAATAGGAGGGCTTTGACGAATCCAACACACACACTCACACACAACAGCTCTCAAGCGTTTTTATTTTCTAGTCAGAACGAGTCAGGAGTGAAGCTACGAGAGAATATAAAGAAGCAAGAGAATAGGTTGAGGATTTGTTGGTCGGAATAAAAATGGACATCAAATGATGGATTGTTAACTTTCTAATTCATTATTCTTTCTTTCCGGTAGCAGTGTGACAAAAGGTTTCCCAGATAAATCATACACTTTTGCGTGCTCACTGTTGAATCTTATTCCAATTTGATACGTGACCGTGTTCTCAATATTTTTCAGTCCAAAAAGATTCATTCTATTTTCAAATAATTTGTCACTAGAAACACATACATTACAAGTTTTTGACATATTGATTTCCGATCCCGACTAATTTCTAAACAAGATCAAATTCCATTCAAGGCGACTGACAACGAGGAATTACTTTTGGGGTAAGTTGTTATATTGCATGTTTTCCGTGTAAAAAGGCATTCGCATGTTTTCGGTCTGCAAAGGAATGGTCACTTAATAAAAGGCAAACACCTACACTTGCGACATATGGTCTTGGTTTCCGTTGCATTTGCACTCGGCGATTTTATTAATAAATTTTCTAGGCAGTTGTCGTGGGTCAGGTTAACCCAAGTGGTGAGTCTGCCGGCATGTTGATCGAGTGCAGAATAATGTAATGGAGTTAAGACGCAGATATTCTCAAAAGGGAACTTTATTCTGCTACATCTTATCGATTGTTTATACACATTTACAACAGTGAGTGCTTTGGTCATGAGTGTGTGAAGACGGCTGTAATGTAGCAGTATCAAACAACGGGATTATATCGATAAAGTATCAATTACTTGCTGATTGATTCTTCTAATAATAGGCCATTGAAATGTCAAGGCTCCTGAAGTTTTATCAGAAGGATTGAACGAAAACATGATTATGATAATTGAATAAGATTTGCTAGTCTCACTTTGCCCCATATGGATGATTATGGAGAAAGCAACTTATTACACTTCGGTTATTTCGTTTAATTCAGACTTCCATTTTGAACGGATTTAAAATTAAGTTAAACTTAATTGAGTATTAAGTTAATAGCACTATTAAATTACACTGACGCAGCATACATTTAATGTATTATAAGTTTTGCGTTTATTCGGAGAAGTTTTCTTCAATAAACCAGTTCACTAGAAATTATACACGAATAAATTATAAAAGGAAAATCTTTTAGCCAGACTCCTATTTACATTTTGAGACAGCAAGAGCGTGAAATTAAGGCAACTGAAATTATGTAGTAGAGAGGAAGGCTTAAATTTGAATGCATAACATCTATTTTCAATTCTGTAATGAAATTAGGAGAATTGTGGTAATGCAAAGTATTAATTTTGAGAATTGCTACAACGTCTACTCAGCTTAATGAGCTACATAAGTAATTCTGATTAGCTAAGCGAATTGTCGTTAATAACATTTCATTTAATGAGATCTCTTCGCTCAACCATGACTCTCTCTCTCTTCCATAATTGCACCACCGAGGCTGTCACATTCCAGGAAACTTTCGGAGTCGTCATTGGGGCGAAAGATCTGAACCATCATTCCTGCACATAAATCGCATCTCGTATTCCTCCCTTCCATGCAAACCTGCGACAATATACATGTATCTCGTCAGCAACCTTCTTCATGCATGCTGAGACTAGTGAAATGCTGTAAACACCTCTTTTAATGAGATATATGAAGCATATGTACGATTGTTAATATTCGTGAGCATTAATATTCGTGTTAGAATTTAGTGTAATGGGCCACATGATGAACATTCACTACTTGAGCTACTTCAAACCTCATTACCTTCAGCTCCATCCATTACGATCCCATTTTATTCCATGCTATGCTCCAATTTAATCGGGGAAGAGGGAATCATGTGGCGAAATTGACATCGCAGGATGGCGAAGGCACCTCCCTTCAGAGACACACCACAGTTTCTTGATAGACTGCGTGGTAAACTAACTATTGAGAGTGAAACATTGATGCCTCGGTGGTATCCAGTGTCGGAGTGGTGGAGAGAAGAGAGATAGCAGACGAGACAGAGGGACAAATTTAATTAGTTTCGTCTCACAATGGAACCTTTTTTCAAGCTACACCGGGATTGACTAACGACTTATATCAAAAAATCAAGCCAAAAATTAGGAATCACATGGCGCTTATCATTCCGTTGAATGGCCCCTGTGAAGAAAAATATTGGCGGCAAAGTTCAATTTTTTATTTAATTTTCTCTCCCTGTTTCCCCACCAGGCGAAAACCCACGGCGCTCGAGGGTACTTTGACCCCCAATATTTTTCTTCAAAGGGGTCATTCAACGGAACGATAAGCACCATGTGATTCCTAATTTTTTGCTTGATTTTTTGATATAACTCGTTAGTCAATCCCGGTGTAGCTTGAAAAAAGGTTCCATTGTCAGTCTCCTCCTTTCTACTTTTGTGGCACATAATGCATAGTTACTTTTACTTATTTGTGGCTCTTATTGCAAAAGTTGATCCGGTGAGTATCAACTCAGTCGTCTCAGTTTCTGAAATCTCTCGTATCCATTTCTGCTCGCTGCTGGGCTTGGGCAAAGAGAAAGTACAGATTTAATAAAGTTCTTCTTCTTCGTATTCCTCTCTCCCTTGTACTTTCTGCCACCACTACATCCATCCGTCCCTTCCAAACCACGACCATCTTACGTTCCCCACTGTTTCAGTTAATATTGCTTCTACTCTCTCCGGTGGGCATCTCTGACTTTCTTTTTTCTCAGAATGAGGATGTACATCTACTTGTAATAGAAATAATAAAAACCGGGTAGAACCACCTTAGTCTTCGAAATTAGAAGATATGCAGATAATTGGAAGATACATAATTGGCATATTATTTTCAGCTGAATCATCCCAACTGAGAGTTATTACTTGGGGACAAAGAGTTTAAAATCATGGACAACTGGTACTTACACGTGCGGCCAATTCCAGATAACTCGTCGACGGATCTGGCAGTTATAACTGAAGATGGTCTCCTCTCGTTGGCAGTCGTGCTTGGCAGCAGTCTCTCTCTCGTGGGTCTTGTTTTTGCTTTCATCACGTACAGGTAAGCAAACTCCACTCTTTCGTATTTATGTGTTGCTGTGTTTGCAATTATGAGACAATCTGACAAACTTGTTCAGACTGCATACCTGAAAACATGTACGTTACGTCCTTACACTTACGTATTCTGCCTCAGAATTACATAATATGCCGTTTTATAAATAGCTGAACCCCGCAGAATTTCTGAGAAAAATGCCCACGTAATTGTGCAAGCCATGAAAGAGCGCTAATGTCGATGGAGATCACACGCAGTCCTTTGACAAGTAAATGAAAACTACCGCAAGGGGTTTCTTTTTAGCTCACTGCAGATTATTGTATGCAGTTCACTATCTCTCTCCTTTTTCATTTTCAAAAAGATATGCAGCATTTATTACGACATATATGCACATACATTATGGAATATATTAGTATATGCCAATGTTCTGCAGTCCCCAGTGCACCTTTCTTCATTCTCAATCTTCCATTTTTAGCCCGAGCGAGGGCTTATGGATTTGCCATGTCCGTCTGTCTGTGGCACAGCTAACAAATATCCATGTACAGTAGACCAACTACTGAACGGATTATGACAAGCTTCGTGTTAAAATTTGTATCTCTGTGGATGAAGTATGACATGATCAGTCCAGTTGACCGGTGGGGCTTAAGTAACACAAAATTTTATAAACTGTTGTAGAAACCTAAAATAAGGGTGCAAGTCAAGTCAAATAATATGAAGCCAGATTGACATGACCACACCAGTTTTTGAAATTAAGTAAGCAATGAGCAAAAATGACAGACTCGGGCTATATCAAATTTGCCCCAGGTTGCTTTAAATGGACGTGGGCGAAAGAATGTAGACATGTTTTATATTCTAAAAGCATACTGACTCATGAGCACCCACACCGCAACCCATTTAAAACGTTGGACTGATTAATCAGAAGGAAGTTTCCGGCTATGGTTGTTGTTTTTTTTTGTGGGTACATCGTCTCAGGGTTGAAAGTTTATTCTGACCTTTTCATCCGTTTTAGAAAATTAGGGATATACAGGAAGACAAAACTCTGGAAATTTAAGAGGTTCTAGATTTATACCAGATAGTAGACCTGCAGTGCGAGTACGGAATATTGATTGAGGCATTTTCATGGTGAAATTATTAGTATGGATAAGCGTGTCTGTCATCATCTAGTGCCTCTCTTGTTCATGTTCACTTTTGTTATTGGCTGGGGTGGGCTCCGACACACTGCTACCACGCTATGTACCAACCAACTATTGTCTGCTGGCATTTGAAAAGTGATGGCCTGGCAGGCAGTAGCAAGGAAGGAATTTGAAGTGCCGAATTCAAGGCTGAAATACTGGATTGGTGAAATGCTTCGGTCAACAAAGAAAAGCAAACTCATTTTAACTTTGATAGTGTGAGTGACGCCTTATTTAGAGTATTATTTTCTGTTTATGTTTTTTAACATTTTATTTTTGTTTTGATTTATTTTTCATCATGCTAATTTATAGTACAAGATGAATATTTAAAAAATTTTCATCTCTCTTTCTTTTAATTTTCACGACAACGTAAAACCAAACACTATAAATTGACAAAAAAATAATCCCGGCCAAACATGAAAAATTGCAAATTACTCTACATATTTCCATCTAATTCATCCTGCTAATCATGGATCGAACTACCATTATCAAAATTCTTATTGTTCAACGTCTGCGACGGCGACTGAAGAGAAAGCAGAGATCAGTTTACATTCGTCCCATATTTCTGAAGCGTGACAATGACGGCGAACAGCAGTTGGTCATGGATCTTCGAGATGACCCCTACTATCATTTCCGATACTTTAGGTAAACTAGATAATATGCATATTATATTACCACCACCGTTACCCATACTTTCGCATTATAAAAATAGGATGAGCAAAGAAAATTTCGATACCATTTTGGACTTGGTGACCCCAATGATCTCGCATCCGGCTAATCACATTCGTCCTATATCACCTCTTCAAAGATTGGCAATAACATTGAGGTACTGAAAATATCCCAATTTCGGGTAGTGTCGTATGACAAAACAAACATGATTTTCGTGCAGGTACCTCGCCACAGGAAACTCTCAAATTTCTCTTGCAATGAGCTTCCGTGTATCGCCTTCTTCTGTGTGCGGAATTATTAGAGAAACTCTTGCAGCAATTAATCAAGCATTGAAGTCAGATTATTTGCCCACCGCATCTACTTGGATAAATAATGAAAACCAATTCAGAACAAAGTGGAATTTTCCTCATGCTTGTGGATCATTGGATGGCAAACACATCCGAATCAAGTGTCCTTCGGCATCGGGGTCCCTGTATTTCAATTACAAGACTTATTTTTCAATCGTCTTGATGGCCCTGTCAGATGCAGATTTCAAGTTTACAGCCGTAGATATTGGGTCGTACGGATCTGAGTCAGATGGAGGAATTCTGGCAAAATCCCACATTGGACGCAAGATTTCCAACGACACTTTCAACCTTCCATCGCCACAACCACTATCCAATACTGGTACTCCTCTGCCCTATGTTTTTCTAGGAGATGACGCTTTTCCGAAACGGCACAACTTGCTGAAACCATACAAAGGAAACTTCCTGCAAAAGACGGACCGAGTCTTCAACTATAGGCTTTCAAGAGCTCGAATGACCGTTGAAAATTCCTTTGGAATAATGGCTGCACGATGGAGGATTTTCCATTCGGTGATTGAAGCGGATGTGGACCTCGTGAAGCAAATTACGTTGTCGGCCGTAATTTTACACAATTATCTAATGAATAAGAAAGACTTCAACAATATTACTCCTGATCGATTTGAGGATGGAAGAGTTCAGCATGGGAACTGGCGTGATACTGTTCAGAATGATAACGGGATGATACAAATACCAAGGCAAGGCACCAACAACTACACCCAGTATTCAGCTCAGGTCAGGAACCACTTTCGAGACTATTTTAATAGTGAGGATGGACGACTGAGCTGGCAAGATCATCATGTTGACGCGGGGGTAAATGATTTTCTATTATGTTGTATTATATTGTGTTATAATCTTTTTGAGTGCATTGATTTGTAAATTATTTTGAGCAGTTTTTATTTCACCACATCTTGAAATAAACTACAAATACAAATTTTGGATATGCAACATAAACTCAACGCCTATTAAATATAGTTATATGTATTGTATAGTAACTGTAATTACAAAATATCGAGTTCTGTTTTGTACAAAACCCCATGCAGTTCATATTCGCAGGTCGCAGCAGCCTTGGGATCCTTTTCATGAATTTTGCGAAGTTTTGCAGCCAAGGTCTTCCCAAATCGCTCAAATTCGTCATCCTTCGAGTCACCTCCCTTGACAAAATTAAGCATTTGTTCCTCCAGACTGTCCAGCTTCCTCTTCTAGACACAGCACAAGAAAAATATAAGTTTACATGCATAAAAACCACGCAATAGAAGTAATATACGCACCCCTCCGAATTTAGCATGGGATCTCGGGCGAGGATTAGACTCTGGCACCGAGTTTTGAGTTTGAATTGGGACAACGGAAGTGTCAATGTTGTCATCGTTCAAGTCAGCGAAGTTTATTGTTGAGAATTCGTCATCTGCATGCTCTGTCTCGTCCTCATCACCATCAAGATTACAAATGGTCCTAAATGAAAGTATAATATCAATAAAAATTCTAAGAGAATCATAAGCAACAAACATCTCACTGAGACTGATCTTGTCCTCCTGAAATAAAGGACATTGCATCAAACAGTCGGAAGGAACTTCGTGCTTTAGCCCCACTTCCCGTTGGAAGAGCTCGTCTCGCGGCCAAGTACTGGGTCCTCAAACTTTGCCAAAGTGCCATACACACGTCACCTGTGTTGAGGTGCAGTTAATAATTATCAGAAACTTTATGATAAATTCAACCTACCAGGTTTTCCAAGCTGCTCTCCAATACTAGTAAAAGTATTTTGTCGCATCGTGTTGACCTTGTAGTCCTTGTCTTTGATGTCCCAGATGTGGCGGTGGGGCTCCACTAGGGTCACCAACTTGGATTCGAGCGCCAGTTTGTCATCCTCTGGCGAGAATGCGCTTTTCAGGGCTATTTTTTTGGGACCCATTTCCGCTTTATATTAAAATCTGCATGATGTTTCGTTTTATTTTCACTCGGAAAAAGTTGACCGCATGTCAACTTTGCAAAATGATGTGAAACAGAAAAGAAAACGAGATGAATTGCACTATAAATAATTAACGAAAACAAAATGAAAATAAAATGTTTGCATGACATTAATTTTGAACGAAATCAAAATGAAAAGAATATACTATAAATTGATGTCGTGGTGAAAAATAAATTAAACAGAAATTAAAACGACATTAATGCGTTACTCTAAATAAGGCGTGAGTGGGGCGAATTCTTTGAGAAATGTGGATTATGAAGTCCTCTGTTCCTATACATGTATGTACATGCATATGGATGTACATGGCCCAATTTCACCGCATCCAACACTCTCCAAGCCCGAGGCAGAGTTAAGCTGCAATTCAATGGATTATATGAATGTGATAAGCCGTCTCCTTTAAAAGTCACTTGGTTGGCTGTATCTGTGTGTGTATGAGTTCCGTACAATGTGCACTTCACATTAATCATTTGGTAAACACACTTGAGCGGTGACTACTATCTTCCCATTTCAACTGACTTATTCATCTTTCAAAACATGATCCATCCGTCACTCTCTTTGCTCAACAAACAGCACGAGTTCAGGTGAATGATGATGATGGGCTCGAGGGAAGATCTATTTTGAGGGTAATAATCATAACCCATGAACGACTTTCACTTAATGTTTGCTTACTTTAATAACATCAGACACACAACAGTTCAAATACAACGCTGAATCGACCTCCTACGCTGATAGGATACATGATAAATCTGCACACGGTAGCACATCGATTTTCCGTAAACTTTGCCACAAGTCATGACAATAATTTCAGATAACCTGCTGTGTGTGATTGCAAAATTATTGTATTCAGGTGATCGATATTCGTGGTTAGAGGCGTCATTAAAGTGTGAAAGCTCCAAAATGACAACGGCATTTTGCTACTGAATAAGTGATGCCGATGTCGATAAAACATTCCTCAGTTGTCAAACTGCCTTTCAAACTGTCCAGGAAATCAAAACTCAAGAACCTGGAGTTCAGATTCCTTGATATTTGCTCCTCAGGGAGACAATCTATCTCGAGAAACTCTCCTTAGAGAAACCTGACTTGTAGTCATATTGCTGCGATAATTTGACTTATTTGTTCATCAAAATTTAAGTTCCAATCCAAAGGCGTCGTTTTGATGCTACAACGACAGTTGGCATACCAAAATTATGTGGGCTACTTATCTTCTCTATTCTGCCGCAGATCATAAATTCATCATCGGTTTACAATTCATGAATAGCTAACCGTTGGTAAATTTAAACAATAGGTAGACAACAACGTAAATAATACCGCGAATATTATAATACCGTTTCAACGATGTTATAATATGCGAAGTTAAATAAGTGAAGTACAATATAGTACATAATATAGCTTTCACTGTGTAAATACTAACGGGTGACACGAAAAGAAAATTAATATTTTATGCATGAATTTCTTCTTTAATACTTAGGTCTAGTTCGACTTTATGTATGTCACTCTATTCCCTTCCCTTGATAATAGTTATAAAGCGTCAGTGCATATTTACGATCTTAGAATATGTAACACATTGACCGAAAAGGTTTAAAAAGTGCAACATAATTGTACTGTCTTTGCTAAACACGATGAGATTAAAACTTCGTACTTTTCCATTAGCTGGCTGGTACCCACGAGTATCAACCCAATGTTATTTACGTAAAGTTTGGCAATTACTCTCGCTGGAGGGGTTAACTTCAGACTTTCAGACTTACATAATTGCAATTTTCACGCGAAATTCTTAGTACATAATCAATAATGCATAAACTTGTAAGATTATTTGTTCACCAGTGATATGGCTCACATGGATGGATTTCATTACAGAAATTATATTGTCACCCGTAAAGAAATGTATCCACTTACATTGTTGCGAATAAAGAGTTGAATAGCATCTGATACAAAAGCAAAGTTGTAGACAGGCTGAGAAACAGTGTAGCCGAGCATAGTTCCTTGTGTCACTAGAAACTTCTCAGAATTAAGCTTATGAGACCGACCTCGTTTTTAATAAATCCGACTCATCTGCTGGGCCATTATCATTACCCACTATTCTACTTTGCTGATTGCCACTCTTAGGACGTCTTTGATCTTCCTCTCCTGCCCCAAAGGGTGGTGTGGTGAAGAACAAGATGGGAGAAAATTATTCTAATGAATTCTTATGTATTCGAGCCAACAGCGATTTATTCAAGTCCAATGGTTCCTAACTAGGACATTTCTTTGCATTTCGAAATGTAAAACATCCCCATTTATAACAGCGATGTTGAGAATCACTTGACTTTATATTGGCTGTCTAATGCCCGAGTGGTTTGGAATACATTTAATTCTCCCTGCCACCCTCAACTCGTGGATAAATCGGGAAGGAATTTTGGCCAACATTTAGTTTCACTTCTTTGGGCAATTTATGGAATCTTCTCTCAAAAGCTGTTGTGGCAAAAGTGTTGGAAAATGTTGTTGCATGGTAAACAAGCCGCAGGCTCATAAGATGCAGATGCGAGATAAACGGAAGAGAACAAGGACGAAAGAATTCGCAAGACTTTTATGGTGATTGTGTTATCTGGAAACAGGGGAAGGCAAGGTAATGAATTATGAACAGGACAGAGAGAGAGAGAGTGTGTACGCCACATCATTTATTTTCATCCTGTGCATCCATTCTGCTACAGTTGGCTATAAAACCATCCAAAGTTCAGAAAAGAGTGAGGACGAGGAAAGAAATAATAAAGCAAGAATGTCTCGTTAGTTATTTCGAAGGAAGGAAGCGTGTATCCCAAAATCCTAACAACAGGAGGCAAATAATGAAATGAATGCTATTCATTGCGTGGTCTGTTGTTCTGTTCCGCCTGCAGTCAATTCATCTCCGCTTATCGTCTCACTGACTCTGATCTCATCAAAATTCATTTATTCCAAATCCTCCCCTTCCCCCCTCGCCACAAACCAAAACACAAATTTGACAGATAAAACTTTTTTCCCAAATAAGAACAGTACTAAATTGGTTGAAATTTATGAGTTCACCGTTATTTGTACTTTCACTGATGAGCTGATTGCGCATCTTTACTTTTCTTGATTGAAGAACCAAGAAAAGTAGGAAAGTTGTACAGAACAACTTTCAAGTCTACAGAGCACCTAATAATTTGGCGCACATAATAAAAGAACGATTTTACCGCATAACCAGAAACAAAATTAGCATACATATTATTGCATATATTAAAACGCAGAATTCAACGATTGTTATGGGATAACGGATGGATGGTGGATTTCCAAGACGGCTGGCCAGATCGAGGAGAGTAGCAGATTACAACTGGAAGTTGAGCTGTGGGATGGAGGGTAGAATCGGATGGGAATCGAGGAAAACAAGCTGAATAAAACATCCACATGTCACACAGCGGAGGAGTCAAGAGGATTGAGCAGTAGTGTGGGATCAGGTCTAGCTGTTTCCTTTCTCCATCTATCACATCACTTCCTACTTTCCCCTGATACGTAGTGGCAACCAGGATGTTTTACTTTCATCCTCATTTTTTCCCCTCTCGCCCACTCCGCAACATGCCAGGGCCTTGCAGCAGAGAGTGTTTGGTTGGGTTTTTGTGAAAGAAGTTTTGGAGGTTACTCGTTATCAGGAAAGTAAGCACTATGGAAAAATGGAGCTGAATATGAACGAAACAAGGTTGCATTTGATATGCAAATAACAGCGGTGGTGTGGATGGGATTGAAATATGCGTCCATGTATTTTTGTACATGAGAAAAACAGGCCCAATGCTTGTGATCTTTTCTCAGAGTTACCTTTCTTTCCTTCCTTTTTTCGAGAGAATATGGAAATGATAAGGTGATAAAAGGCCTTCAAAGAGAAAAGTGCAGGGAAGAGCTAAGTTTTATTTAGCTATCCCAAAATTGGTTTACATCTCCCACACCCATCACCACCCCGTCAGACTTCATTCCATCCATGCACTACTTTATTTAGAATATTCAATGCTCAAGTTGCAATCGGATTTGTAGCCCTTTTGTGGCCGTGGCTGGAGAGGATAATCTGGTTGCGGGCAAACTTTGTTTTTTGTTCGTCGTGCAATTCGTGCACAGCTTTCACTTCCTCCCCAACAAGCTCCAAGTCTCTCCGTAACATGCATAATATCACCACCACCACCGGCCCTTGTTATCCTGGTTGGGAGGGCTTAATGCAATTGGAGACATTTAATTTATTTTGCGGAATTGAAATTAATTTCAACTCACACTCGCTCTCTGCCTTGCTCTGAATGGCAGAGCAGCACACTAGCAACATGTACTTAGCGTGGTTCACTGAGTGTGGAAAAGGCAGTGGTGAATAACATTATGTGCTTTGTTGGAATCACATGAACTGAACAAGTTTCTTGATAAATTGGGTGATATTACACCAGCACCACCGCTTGCACAGTCAGCCACCAACGGTCCTCAGAGACTGCTCCATTGTTGGATTTGGCACTTATAATAATAATACAAAATCGAGTTCAGCCACCGTTCCAAAAAAGAAAGACTTTGCAAACTTGTTACATATATTCACTGGCTAATATTTTACACGTCCGTTCCCCTGCCTGTACGACGTACGTGGATGCGTGTACTAATGGAGAGAAAATAATAATGGTGGTTCACATTCACCGGATTTTGCTATGCTCAAGCAAAATTATTCCACGATAGGATTGACCAAAAACTACTTCTCGTAATACGTCTCTAGTATAAATGGAACCAAAATTTGATTGCCATGCATGTACGTTGTATAAATAAAGTGTGTCACCCACTCATACTAATAAGGTCTTATCTGAATCAAGAGATAACAACGCTTGAAATATTTTAAATGGAAATTGAAATAGAGAAAGGAAGCAGACTTTGACTTCAACCATGCTCAACCGTGATGACATAAGTACTCTGATTACTTAGGATATTCTGCTCATATCTCAAGTTGAACACAGTTTCAAGTTAGCTGGTGGAATTTGCAATCGGGTGCGAGGAGAACGAGTGCTCAATCCAAGGAGTGAACTTTAGACCTTGGCGATGAAACAGAGATGGAATGCTACTATTTAAATTCAGGGATGTTCCTCATCATTTTCGGAATGTGAGTCTGTCGCCAACTCATGAAGATTCATACAAGTATTTTAGCTCCAACCACTCCAAGTCAAGTACATTCCTTGACTCTGATTCATTTACTTAATGCTCGC